TCGGTTAGTTTTCCCTAAATATTAAAATTTGATTAAAATTACTTTTGACAATGACAAAATCATAGTTTGTAAACCTAAGGTATGCCAGTTTTTGACTGATGTTTGATTGTTACCTTATATTTTGTTGATGTTTGACCATCAAAATCTTAAAAATAAAGAAGTTGTCTAAAAATGTACTACTATACGGATATAGTATAATCTTTTATCTTTAATTTCCTTCTTCATTTGTGTAAAAATACTAATCCAGTTTTACACAAAACGTTAAATGCCGAACGCTCATTTTGCTACTTTTTCGGACTAGTTAAATGCACTCTTAAGTTAAGCACTGCACACGATTATCATGCTATTTAACCAAAGCTTTTGAACTATTAAATCCCTATTGTTGTTCTTCCGTAAATTATTATTGACAAGGATCCGCGCGATCCGCATCAAAGTTAAACCTATTATTTCGATTTAATTGCGAAACAAGCGACTTCCGGAGCTCAAAGTCAAAACCTCAAAAGGCACGCGTCCCGCCGCGGGGCGCCCCTTCTAACGAGACGGACGTGGCGGACGCGTCGACGGCTCCATTGTAAATTAATGGGCCGGACGGTTTTTAGTTAATGGGGCCACGCGACCCACAAATTCGTTTGTCGGACGGAAAAAATGGAAGGCATATGGTGGAATCGGAGTAAAATAGCATTGTTTATAGACGTAGGGTCAAGTGGTGTAAAAATGAGACACGCCAGATTTAGTTAAAAAATGAGACGTTCAAACAGAACTACTGAAAACTTATATTCAGTCAATTTTCTTGTTAGGAACATTGGCGAAACTTTACATTTGTTTACATTCTATGTTTTTGATGGGATATATTCATATACATGGATGTATATCTTGTTTGATCAAATACATGGATTACTGGCCATTGAGGTTAGTTATTTATAATTTAAGAAATTTCATTTGTCTTGAAATTAAAGAAATCGCTTAATAATTTTGAATCATCTTGTATACTAGATATTTTTGAAATATCTCCCGAATGTACCCCTATCAGTTACTGAAATTTGGTAGGTATGTTTTTTCCGCCATGTATGAATAAAAACATACGAAAAAGAATTTTGCGTTACGTAACTAACAAATAAATTGTCTGCTTAATTTTTAGTCGCTCTATTTACCTCGAAGTGTAAAGTTGTATATGGCGTGTATTGTGATGTTTGTGTTTTATTTTATTATATATTCATATACATGACTGTTGTTTGATCAAATACATGGATTACCGGTTATTGCGGTTAGTTATCTATAATTTAAGAAATTTTATTTGTCCCGGAATTAAAGAAATCGCTTAATAATTTTGAATCATCTTGTATATTAAGATATTTTTGAAATATCTCCCGAATATGTTACCTGTACCCCTATCACTTACTGAAATTTCGTAGGTACACTGTTTTTTACGCCATGTATGAATAAAAACATACAAAAAGGAATTTTGCGTTACGTAACTAACAGAAGTGTCTAGCCCTAGCAGTCAACTTTTAAGCTTGACCAATCAGGTTGGTTAGCGTGGTTATTTGAAGTGTGTTAATTCATTTGTGTTTGTCAAAAACTCTAACGTGATTGGTTGGGCTTAATAGTTGCCTGCTAGGGCTAGACACAAGTTAACTAACAAATAAAATATCTTTTGGCTGCTTAATTTTTAGTCGCCCTATTTACCTCGAAGTGTAAAGTTGTATATCGCGTGTATTGTGATGTTTGTGTTTTATTTTATTATATATTCATATACATGACTGTTGTTTGATCAAATACATGGATTAGTGGCTATTGAGGTGAGTTATCTATAATTTAAGAAAGTTTATTTGTCCCGGAATTAAAGAAATCGCTTAATAATTTTGAATCATCTTGTATATTAAGATATTTTTGAAATATCTCCCGAATATGTCCTAAAAATTAAATTACAATATCAAATTAGACACTTTTTCCTACGAATCTTATTCTAAACTGTTATCACCCTCTACGCAAATGTACATATTTCTAGATAAAATGTTCATAATGTGCGACAATTAATTGTTTTGGGAAAAAATGTTTAAATAGAAGTGTTTTAGGGAAGGTCAGAATTTATAATTTAAAATGATTTTACCTGTACCACCCTGTACTATCACTCACTGAAATTTGGTAGGTTCACTGTTTTTTACGCCATGTATGAATAAAAACATACAAAAAAGAATTTTGCGTTACGTAACTAACAAATAAAATATCTTTTGTCTGCTTAATTTTTAGTCGCTCTATTTACCTCGAAGTGTAAAGTTGTATATCGCGTGTATTGTGATGTTTGTGTTTTATTTTATTATATATTCATATACATGGCTCTTGTTTGATCAAATACATGGAATACCGGCTATTGATGTTAGTTATCTATAATTAAGGAATGTTTATTTGTCCCGTAATTAAAGAAATTGCTTAATAATTTTGAATCATCTTGTATATTAAGATATTTTTAAAATATCTCCCAAATATGTCCTAAAAATTAAATTACAATATCAAATTAGACACTTTTTGATACGAATCTTATTCTGAACTGATATCACCCTCTACGCAAATGTATTTCTAGATAAAATGTTCATAATGTGGGACAATTACTTAATTATTTTGGGGAAAAACTTTTAAATAGAAAAGTTTTAGAGAAGGTCAGAATTTATAATTGAAAATGATTTTACCTGTACCACCCTGTACTATCGCTCACTGAAATTTGGTAGGTACACTGTTTTTTACGCCATGTATGAATAAAAACATACGAAAAATAATTTTGCGTTACGTAACTAACAAATAAAATATCTTTTGTCTGCTTAATTTTTAGTCGCTCTATTTACCTCGAAGTGTAAAGTTGTGCCAAGAAGTGTATTAGTACATACATAGGTACATATATCGCGTGTATTGTAATGTTTGTACAATGCGTTTATAATGTACTGAACAAAGAGAGGACAGTAAGCACGTTGCCAAACGTATGAAATAAACCGAGAAACTGTGCACATAGCTAAGAGACGTGGAAGGGGATATAGCAGATTTGTCGCAGTTGACCGGTCGACCCAATTCAATACCTCTGTCAGTACTTAAAGTTCTAGGGAGAGATGTACGTCATGCGTTCAGCTTCATTATTTAATTATGTCTCGTGATACTTAATGTGTTTATTTATTAACGAGTCGTTGTAATTTTCCCTATAGCTTGCATTTTTTTAAGTGCAAGCTAGAAACACTTGCATTTTTGGTAAAAATAAGTGGAATTGAGTGGGTGTTCGATAGTGCTCGCGCTATTAGAAATCTGAATTCAAAAATCGATATTTCGAAATCTATTAGAAATAATAGATTGTAGTTTTTTCAAGAACTTTGTTAATATTTCTGCTGTATTATCTTTGTAGACAGTATGTGAAAATCTTCATCAATAAAAAAATTACACGATTGCTGAAAATTGCTATGCTCTAAAAGTAAATTGATGGATTGTTTACAGTTTGAATGGAAAAAGCAACCTTATCGAATTTTTCTTATGTAAACATATTGTAAAATATCCGATCTTGAAAATAAAAAAAAGTTTCAATATCTAAAGTGGTTCTTGAGTTATAGCCTGTTATGTGTTAAAAAGTTGAGTTTTTAAATTATCGCGATTACTGACGTTTTCTCGTTATAAAAAAAAATGACACCTTAACGATATCCTTATAATTCCATTTCAGATGCTCAGAAACATGTCTAACGATTTTATCTAGTTATCTCTTGAAAAAAAGGCTTTTAAAAATAAGCGGTTTGCGATCGTGATTTTACTTTACTTGATAGGGAAAGGCGTATCGGCAACGCCGCAACAGCACACCGTCGCGCGTCGCGTCGTTCGGTCGCATTTCTCTCACTCCGACTTAATAAGATCCCTATGCGATTTACTTCCACACATGTAAATGCCGACCCAGAAGCAACAGTTGCCAGCACGGTATGAGAAGTTTATAGTTTTACGATTTCTATATTATTTTAATGCGAATAGTATAACATTAACCGGTAACCGAGACGGCGCACGCGACGCCGGCGGCGGCGTGAAACAAAGTAGGCAGTTCTGATTTCTACCGTACCGGGCGCAACTGTCGGAATTTTAAAAAATCGGTTGAAATGCACCAAGCCTATACTTATTTTTTCGTTTGTTTTGGCATTAGTAATAATAGGCAATACATATTCGATTTTTTTAACTTATTGCCAATTACGAGCATAATCAGAACAGTCGACTACTTCAATCATTGTTGATCGCTTCGTACATGTCTATGATCATAAATAATGAAAGAAAATTGATGTATACATACCTAAACAGGGTACGGTATTGACTAGTTAAAGCTTAGGCGGTTTGCTGGAATAGACTGGAATAGACTCTGAGTGAATCCAGATTCTTGGCCAGGTACAAATGGCAATGGGTATCAGTAAGGTATCAGGTATCCACCTTGTTCCAACTGGCATCTTTCAAAACATAAAAAATAAATGTTTTACTCCCCTGTAGCTACGAAACAAAGCAGAATCGGTATGTTGATATAAAAAAATAAATTTAACTGTGTTACCGGTCAGCAAAACATAGACCACGTAGACTAAATCGACTAAATCAGAGAAAAGACAGAAAACACCGAAAAATGTTCAAGATTTTAAATCGAACACTTTATACGAGCCTGCTTGATCAGAGAACTTTTTGATCATATATAAATTCGAATGCGCACAATGGCGACATCTATTGCATTTGCCTAGAACTAAAGTAACCCGGCAAACTATTCATTTAGTCGAAATCCTGAAAATATGTAATAACTTTGGTTTAATTAATGCGAATACATTTGATTTATTTCTCTATTTTTTGTAGCTCATTATTGTTTAGGGTATTTTATAATGATCGTTTTATATTTTAATTATTTTAATTAAATGCGTTAAAATTTAGAACTATCAAAATATGACGTAATGAGATTTGTCCTCTCTGTCTTATTCCTAAGCACTCCCGAACTAAAGAAGGATAGGAACAAAAAACAAACGTCGCCTAATATTAAAAACATCTGATTAAAATTAGTAAATAACCAAGTGATCGGTGATTATTCAAATTATTTTTTTTAAGTTCCCAGTTCCGAATTTCCAAAAAAATCATTTAAACTTGAGAATGGATATGTTCAAGTCGTTTATTTTTACCTTTTGGGCGTCTTTGTGTGATATTTAAACGTGTCAAATCAATAAATTCAGTTCTGTCTAGTAGAATGATCTACTTATAAAGTTGCTGACCACTGGTCAATACTCGACAAAAACAGTTCTTGTTTTAAAAATATGGAACGCTCTAATAAAGGTGATCATTCAAGAAAGAGTGAATATGCAGATGGAGAAAAGCCTCTTAAGAAAGCTCGATATGTGTGGGAAGTTAAAGGAAAACATCACTTAAAACAGCCTTCGAATAATTCTGCTAATGCATCCACATCAAAGGAAAATACACAAAATGGTGTTAATTCTGAAGATAATCAAAAGCAGGGTTATAAAGATATATATATTTTATTATGATATAAGTAATAACTTTGAATTTCTATAGATTCCATTTCTTCATCTGTAACTCCAACAAAAAATTGTTGCTTAAAAACTTTTTTGGATAAAACGGAAGATATAATGGATAGAGACAGCTCGGATGAGGATGATTCTCAAAAGCTACCCTTAGAAAGTAGTCTTGAAAATGAAATACCTGTTACGCTAGTATCTGCCCAACCTAAAAATCAAGATTATTATCTAAGGTTTGAATGGTAGTATTATGACCCTCGTTTTTCTATATATTAAAATTCTAGAAAATGGCAAGCCAGGCAAATTGCAAGAGGATTTGTTGATAATACCATAAACAGCATGTTGGAAACTTGGGGTGAGCTTGTCCCAACTCGAATCGATACAACTGACTTTGTAGAAAATTGTGAAAATGATGGTCAGGTTGAAGATGATGCCATTTTAATGGCTATTCAATCACATGGGCTACAATCTGGGTGGAAGAGTAGCCCCATTAGTGAGCCAAACAGTTCTGTTAGCAACTCAACCACAAATTCTAATTGCAGTTCTAATTTTACCACTACAGTTTGTAGTAAAATTGGATCTGATTCCATTATATTAGGTATTTTAATCTACAGTTTAAAAATGTAATTGTTAAACATATTCTTCTCTTACAGAAAAAAATAGTAACATTCAGGAATCCACTTGTGATAATTATGAAAATATTCAAAAAGAACATGAAAATGAATCATCCGTAGCATCTACATCAAGCTCTATGAGTGTCGATACAGTTAGTTCTGTTTCAAATCCATATGATGAAGACATAGGTGATGAAATGAATTTTTTAAATGCTGCTGTGTCAGTAGCGATTCAGAAAAAAGGTCTAACCTATGGATAAATTTTTGTCAGAATTTATCACAAATATTATTTAAAAGTAGATTTTTCTTGCTTTGCTAATATCATAATTTCTGTCTTATCAGTAAATATCTGTATAACTTTTATCCAAACATATATTTTGTTGTATATAAGACCAAGTTCTATATTTTATATTTATTTTGGTATTACTTATGTCAAAAAACGTACTAAAATATTCTCCAAAAATTAGGCCTAAAGTAAACAAAATTAAAGTGTACTAAAAATGACTTAATTGTATAAAATAATCTAGTGTACTGTAGATCTATAATTTTACAACCTATGAATTAATATAAATGTTCTTTGGATATACTTTCTTTTCATAACTAAATGTATATTGTGTTCATGGAAAAATTTATACTAATTACACTCTAATAGTTTTATATACTACATATTTTTTTTTATTTTTATACTACCAAAGAATATTATACCTACTATTTAATATTCCTTGGTGTTATAATACTTATATATAGTTTCGTAATATGTTAAATAGTTGAATAAAGTTTTTTTTTATATTTATTTAGATTGTGGAATTTTGATGCATCTGTATTTTTCATATAAATGAATAAGACTAACAATTTGAATTTCAAATCTTAATTGAAAATTATAGTATTATACATATAAAAGAATATTATGTACGTACCTATACTTTTTCAGTAACTTTTTCACTTTAACTTAACTCATTTGCTTCTACAAGTGCACTAAAAAAATACTATTATTAACGGCCTTTCGGCCTTTGGCCTTTATCAAATTCCCTAATCAAATTTAGAAGATATCAGATATGATAAATAATTTGGGGGGAAAACCGAAAACCGATCCCTAAAATAATATTATATATGATTATGGAGTAATATGATTGATGAAAATATTTCCATTATTGGTTCTGTGGTCAGTACTAAACCATAGATAAAGAATATATATACTGATATAGATAGGCAACTAATAGTACATTGTCAAGATTAAGTTGCGCGCAGCGCCTCTGGTGTCCTTAGGAAAGAAGTATTACGAAACAAGCGGGAATTCAAATTAAACCATTTTAGTTACTTGTTTATTATTTATTTTTACAATGACTTCGGAAACTGGTGATGGCAGTATTAGAGGTCTCAAAAACTGTAAAGGTTAGAAAAAAGTTTACATAGGGAAAATTTTAGACAATTATATTTGTAATGAATTTTTTTTTGCTTATTTACGTTTTTTTTGGTTAATTTTTAAAACTAAAGATGTATTTTGAAGAACTTTTTGAAATAAAAAATTAAGCCTATATTAAAAAAAAATGTTATGCCTTAAAAGAGTTTTATATTTAAATTTTCATAGAAAAAAGTAGAGAGCTCGAAAACAAAGATATATAATTCCAAATAAAACGACAATGAATTACATAGAGGGATAATAGAAACATAATTGTTTAAGACTTTCATTTAAACTTTTTTCTGTTGCTTATATTGTTCAAGATCCTAATACAGTCATTACTAATTTCAGACACCATAGGACCATACGATAAAAAAAAAACAGCATCAGAGTTAGCTTAGAAATGGTGATCAGTGACATTTACCACATAACTTTACATACGATATGTTATTGATCTTCACTTCCAAGTCACCATGAGAGTGTTATTTTTTTAATTATACGGTACATGTCTTTATCGATGAAGTACTCAGGAAATGAACAAATAAAACACAGTATTTATAACATATAAATATTATACCAACACAATATCTGAAATATAACAAATTTAAAAAAGAAAAAATTAGAAATACTATGAACAAATATACAAAACTAGAAATATACAATAAAAACATGAAAATTTCCAAAAAACATCATATAACTTTTCATTTACATTTCATCCGTTAATCAAGATCCTTAGCAATAAAAAAGTGTGGTAGAATAGACTTTCGATTATTTGAAATATTGTGGGGTCAACCGAGTAGAAATAATCGAATTTTCAAACAATGCAGAGAGAAGTAACATTTATTAATTATTTAAATATTAAACTAGGCTTTATGGATCGTTTCAGATGACTTCATATAATCGAGAATCTACTGTATATGGTAATAATTAAAATATTTATATAGTTACAACAAAAAAGCAAATGTAACGAAGAAAGTGTCTAAGACGAAACATTAAGGCCTTTCGTTATATTTATCTTTTTAAAAAACTTCGAATGTTTTTCAAACTTTTTAGAGGCATGTATTTTTACTCTGTCTGTTGTTAAACCAACTTTTTGTTTTCCTTTAAGTATTGAATTAACATTTTTTAACCACACAAATAAGTGAAATTTTATCGTATAATTAATAATTAATTTTTGTAAATTATGTTTGTCGCAAATAAATATATCTTGTTTACACATATTATGTAATATGGCCTTTAATAACACTGTTATATTAGCCTTATGGCATATCTGCGGTAGTACATTTTGTAATGTAAAAATACATTTACGAAAAAAAAGATTAAAATTAGTTGAAGGTGCCAGCAAAGCGTTGGCAGAATATGCTCTACCCTCAATTACAAAATATTCTGCTTCACGCCTGTCACCTCCAACCAAGTCTTTTTTGCACTGATGGCACAATTTTATTTGTGCCATCACCTTTTTTGCCACGAATCCTGCAATGTATGTAAGTTTTCCTCTTTTCAGTAACGATTCATATTCCGGCTTATAGTCAGGAACTGAAATTTCTGGAAACTGTATGTTCTTTGTAGATGGTAAAGTTTTAGAAGATAGCATGTGCTTCAAGTCATCTAAAGCTTGTAAATTGTCATTTTCGCAATTAGCTGATTTTGAATGGCTTGTTAAAAAATTATTAATTATTAGCGACTTCAAAGAACTAATAAACGATCTCGCATTTGGATTGACATTTCTTACGCCATGGCTTCGGATCGACCCAAAAAGGTTTTCCAAGGGGTCTTGGTTGAGGTTCCGTAAGGATAAAAACTGAATCCCATCCTTATTTAATCGATTCCATAGGTATGAAATCCCTTGTAAAGAATGGATCCAGTTTTTTAAAGAAGGTGGTTCAATTTTCCTTGTTTTATTATTAAAAAAATGTATAGTTTTAAAAACGCGGATAGCCTCAGACCAAAACCGCTTATGCCCCGTTTTTGCAGCAACCGCACATTTCAAGTCCTTGCCATGTTTTATATTAACCCTAGATCCGTTGACGCTGTCAAATACCTTATCCATGAATAATATAAATTCCGCTGTACTTTCAGCTTCTCTTGGCAAGCTCAATGGACTGTTAGTGTAGTTTCTAATAGCCAAACTTCTCATTACAGCTGCAACATTACTGCTGAGGACCTGGGCAGCTACTGCAACTTTCATCTTTTTGGTGTTTTCAACATGATGTACTGTAAGTTTTTTGCATAGTTTATAATCGTCGTCTTCCTCAGATTCAATATTATATAACTGTGTTATGTGCTCCCATTTAGCAACTTCCTCCTTCTCTTTTCTCCACTTAAATTGTAAGTTATATTTAAAGAAATTATTCCTAATACATTTTAATAAATGAGGAGGATCATATAGAGGAATAATTTCTTGGCCCCCAATGCAAATTCCAAAAAATTTATTTTCTTCATTCTTTCGAGCAAAATATTCTGTTGTTTCAATGTATAATTTATTTATAGCTGCAACATTTGTAGTTGCTTGGTCACAAACAACGGTTTTTACTTTTAGGCCTAACTGTTGGCAGGCAATTATTATTTCTTTAATGGTCTTCACTAGCATGTCTGTTTTCATGCCACTTTCATTGAAGAAGTACGCTATTGGTTGCTTCCACTTCTTACATATCCCTCTGACCATAAATACCATTACTTTGTCAGCAATTACAGGTTTCCTACATTCTTCGGTTCCGTTATCTTGAAAACCCTCAATGATATCATTTTTTTTATTATATTGCAGTGATGGATCTAAAGCCATTTCATCAAATATAAGGCTGCAATATTTATCGCTATCCCTCATTGATTTGCATTTTGTAGAAAGGGATTCCATGATGACTGGATTGATTCCCACATTAAAAGGGATTTGCCCTAAAAGATTTGTAAGGGTTTTCCTGGATGGGACAGCAAACAGACTTCTAAGTATCCTATAGGCTTTTGGACTCTGTTTGAATAACGATAAAAAGAGTACCTTTTCGTCTAATGAATACCGCCTTCCTTTGGGTTTTACACTCTGACACCTTATCTGGGACATCAGAAAATCAAATGTTGGTTTGTTAATCTTTCTTCTTACATGATCTATTGAGCTGGACAAAGTTTCCAACTTTTTCACTTGAGTTTTGAGATCTGTACAATTTATATTCAGCTTTCTAGCAGTTGACCGAAGATTAGTAGCCATCTTGTATAGTGTTCTTGCCTTTGGGGTCAGTTGTGAAGATCGACTTACATTTGTATACGATAATAAACTTACACGTTTCTTTAAACCTGAAAATAAATAAAATTTGTTAGAATAAACAAAAAAATATCTAAAAAATGTGAAATATCTACTAAAAAATCATAATAACTGGTTAATATGTCTACATATACCGCTGACTTAGATTCAGGCACCAAAACCAAGAAATATATACCAACAATATACTAATACAGAGTAGTTACGAAATGAAATTACACACCTAACATTAAGTTGAATTTTGAAGAATTTGAAATCATATTAAGCATCTAATCTGTAAAAAGATTTTTATTACTATTCTTATTGATAAAAGGTTTTTTTCATTACTATTTTTATTGGACCACAATAGATCTCAAAAGGTCGCTGTGGATCAGACAGATAGACACCTCAAAGAATCTAACTATTCCTATTGACTCATATGAGACAATAACAATAGAGACATACATATGGGACACACTAACTTTTACTTGTTATTATTATGTTGTTATGTCTTATTTATTTTTTTATTATTTTACTTATTTATTGTTTTACACAGAAATTCTCTTAACTGTTTAATTATCACACACAGTTTAAACAATAACTTACTTGAAAGTTTAGCTGGAGTAGACACACTGATACGTCGACGTTTATGTTTAGGGGTGGACAACATTGTCACTGAGGCATCGTCACTTGACTTTGAAGTAGAAGGTACTGCCTCACAGAACAGATCAGATATTGATCTTTTGTGTTGTACAGTAACATGTTCCACAGCAATTTCACTACTTGCAGTTGAACAAACTAAAAAATAAATAAATATTAAAATTCTTGATATCAAATCACCATCATTAATAGGTTTTAAATAGGTATCAATTTTGTCACATCTTCTCACATTTGGATGGCTAACCCAGTTTATACTTAACCAAATGTCCGTGCCGTTTTAGTAAAAAATTGAAAAAAAAAATTAAAATGTGGTTGAAAGTGCTAAAAATCAAAACGTTCTATGGTTTTTTTTATTTTATTTTGTACCAAAAAATATATGGAAATTTGGAAAAATACAAAGGGATTAATAATTTCAGAGCAAACGATTTTTTTTAACTGGGACACCCTGTATATTATATCCTTGTTAGATGGAGAATAGCAAAATGATTTTTTGTATTTAGAGCATTTTAAAATTTTCAGCGTTTTTGCAAATATGTTTTTGTGCGTTTTTATTACATATGGCTCTTCCAATGGTAAAATACCAGGCAATAGTATATTGTTTTAGTAGGAGTAAAAATGACACATTTTTTTTTGGCATTGACGACATTACACGCTAGGCACAAAAAGTCATTTTTGCTCCGAATAAAACATGCTATTTTTTTCAAACGTCATAATAGTATATTGTTCAACGAGCATATAATGGTGGCTTTTATTCACGCGGATGAAGTTAATAAATTTTATATATTAAAAATTGAGATAATATTAATATAAGTTTGTATTTTTAACGTCAAAAAAATATTGAACGAGTATAACGAGTAAGTAACATGGAAACAAAACATTGAAATATCTTTAACTAGGTAGCTAACTAATTAAGCTTTAACTAATTAAATAATAAAATAAATTAAATCGAGAAAAGAAAATGTATCTATTTGGAAGAGAATTAAAATTAAATTGGATCGAGATATCTGTGGTAGCCTAGTATTCACTAGTGAATAATGAATATTATTATTATTTCATAAACTCATGTATAATAATCAAATTATAGAGAGTCGTGGATAAATAATTTTTTAAACAATTTTAAACGTTCCAAGTAATATAAAAAGCTTTAAAAGTAATTAAAAATTATTTATTAAAAGTAAATAATAATAAATAATAAATTATTTATTTAAAAGTAATAATTTAAAATTTTTTAAATACTTTCAATACAAAAAATGCTAATTTTTTAATTTCCCATCTAACAAAGGAATAATATAAAGGGTGCTCCATTTAAAAAACGAAGAAAAATTGTTTTATATATTAGAAAGTTTGGCATATAATTGTGAACACCCTGTACAGTTTAAGATTATGACATTTATAGGAAAGTAAGTACAGACAGCCCACGGTAAATATCTAATATAGCTTTGATTTCAGGATATTTCTTGTATTTTTGATAATTGCTTTATAGACAGTTGAAAAAGTTGAAGTTTTTTTATTATAAGAGCTACAGATGCCCGAGCTGGTAGCAAAATTTGGTGATTTAGAAGCCCTACAACACTTTTTTTTTAAATTCCAGCCACGAGGTTGGCTGTAACAATTTGCAAAAAGGTCCTAAACTTATTGTTAAAGGAAATAATGTGACTGAAAATATGTGAATTACCTTCTTTACTGGACAATATTGACACCAATGTATCTTCTTGTGACTTCGACATGGAAGGCATTTCTGCACTGGATTTTTCAGATCCTTCTTGTAGTACACCTTCAGTAATAGGACCAGAAGCTAAAAAAATAAAATGTATTAACATACTCAGTTGATACTTCTACCGTATGATCGAGAAAAAACGGCGTCCAGTTGGCTGGGAAATGAAGATCGCTGTCATTTTAAATGTAAATTTATATGGGAAATGTCATCGATCGTCATTTCCCAGCCAACTGGACGCCATTTTTTTTCGATCATACGGTATTAACTTTGTGAAATATTTCTGTACATGTTTAAGTTCCATAAGTACAAATTACAAAAGTAAAATTTTGAATAATACAAAGCATTCCATTTTAAACAGCATATAAAAAATATCTATGTGATGCCGTTTTTTCTCACAGCAAATTGAAATGATAGATGCATACATAGATATGTTTAAAAATGTGACTTATAGTAATGTCAAATATTGACACTAGTATCTATTAAATACTTTCAATACTAGTATCCCATACTTTGTATTCGTTACTGAGTACTCTATTGCTGAGGTATCAAAATTGACTATTATTAAGGGTGGCTGCAACGACGTCCCGTAATCCTGCTGTGAAAACATAACAGCTGGTTTTCATATATAAAAATCAGTTGTTTTCTTTTAACAGCAGGATTATGTGAGGTCGTTGCAGCCACCCTAAGAAGTATAGTGATTCAGGGTTATTAATTTAATAACCTTAGCATGTATCAAGAGTATTTGCAACACCACAGACCAGATACAAGTATTCCCTATTTGTATCGATATCAATAAATTCGTATGTCAGCCGCAGCATTCATTCTCTATACAAAAGCATTGAATATTAACAACTGTGTCAAAAGTATCTGATAGAAATTTTAATCGGTATCAGTTAGTAGAGATATTTCATGGTATTGAGTACTCAAGTATCAATTATTTTATTACTATTGACTTACCTGATTTGCTATTAATACTTCCAAGTGACAAGGATGGAACCGCATCCTTTCTTATCGTAGACTTGTATCGGCTACCAGGATAGCGTGCTTCTGCAGCAAAATGAACGTCACAAACCCGATATGATTTTCGAACTATATCAATTGGTTTGTTCTTCAAGTCCAATCGTCCAATTTTACTTAGCCACAAATCATAGAGCTACAAGCAAATAACTATTATATAACTGAAATTTGACATACTATAAAGTATACTTACCGATTGATCTTTAGGGAAAACATGCATTTGGGCATCTTTATTGTAATTTTTACAACTAGGAACACAACAATTAAACACCATAGTTAAAAAGTGTACAAAAACGAATACACAAAAAAACGAAACACAAAATAGAAATAACAGTGGCTCTGGAATAGAAATAACTTGGAACACAAATCGTAAAACACAGGAAAAAGCACAATAACGAACCAACGGCTGCTAATGGCGAACTGCAACTGGCGGCTTGCCATTGGCTTGCGCTGCCAGCTGAAGCCGATCGATAAAACGTTGTGCTATATTACGCATGCGCAACAAAATTTATGCAGCTTCAGCGCCTCTGGTGTCCTTAGGAACGACCTACGTTCTACAAACTGTCATCGCCATTGGAGTTTCCATGGCATGGTACTAAACATTAAAAAGTTAGGTTATGGGAATGTTGTTTTTTTTGGAGATTTTAAAATTGCACAAAAATATCAATCAGTTACTTATCTACTTTATCTCTTTTACACTTAAAGACTTCCCTATTTTGTTCTACACTTAGGAGACATTTTTAATTATGTTAATTTGTAATGCATTATATAGGTACTTTACAGCTGTTTCTCATTCACAGAATCAACAGCACTTTATGATTTTAATCTAATCGGAAGATACAGTCAAATTGATGATATAGAAACTAAATAGATAAAACTAGACAGTTATATTTAATGGCAAATGGTAACAACTTTATAGTTTGTATCCTTTGTACTCAATTGCAACATTTTGCGCAAATGCATATAACTTGTGAAAACTTGTTTGTCCTAATCTAATCAGCTCTTATCAACCACAAGATATCTATAAATACTGTTAAGAAACAAATAAAGATCAGAAACAACTTGTCCCTGTGATAGGCAAGTAATATACAGAAGCAGTGCAAAATTACATTAACTGTAAAACCATTTTTGCATTGGTATAATAATGTCATTGTTTCCTGCTTACTCTGATGAAGCTCAAAAGTTAGAAAACGTACCCATTGAAAAGCCGTCTTGGTTAGAAAATTCGAGCTTTAATGCTGAATTAACCGTTATAAATAAACCTTCTGATGGAAAGCGAGATGTTACTGGAAGTTCAGGGAATTCCCATGATAAAGAACTTCGACCAAAAAGAAAAGTCTCCAAAAAGAAAAAGACTAAACTTGAGGCAAGTGTACCTGAATCTAGTCAGGAAAAAGATGAAGATTTTTATGTAGATTTAAAAGGTTCCAAAGAATTTTTAAGTGTTAATACCATATCAAGACCTGCAGTATCTAAATATCGTGTGAAATATTATTTAACAAGCAACAATAGGATTACGAAAAAGAAATTTAAAAGGTTAGTAAATGAGAAATTAATTAGTATTTAAAAAAAATTAAAATTACGTTATCATTAATATTTGGTACAAAAAAAACACTTAACTTTTTCAGGTATTATAAAAGATTAGAGAGAATAGAAAAAAAGGATGAGAATAAAGAAGAAAAAATAACAAAGGAGAATATTAGTCAGGCACCCATCAGTATTCGTGATGAGAACTTCACAGGATTTGATCAAGAAGAGGACCTATCAAAACAGACTGCATTTTACAATAAGACTCTCACTGAAAACCCGCATGATGTTAAATTGTGGCTAGAGTATGTTGAATTTCAGGTAATTTATTTTTGCTCCTCTGGTACTATTTAACTACTTATTTGCTTATAGGATTCAGTATATCAGTTTGAGAAATCATACCGGAAAGGCAGTATAGCTAAGGCACAGAGAGTCCTAGCTGAGAGAAAAATTGCAATTTTAGAAAAAGCTTTAACTCATAATTTAGGGTCCGAGGAATTGTTAAGAGAAAGACTAAAGGTTGCTGTAAGTGCCTTTCCTTCTGATGAACTACAGGCCCAGTTGAAAAAATTAGTTGATAAAGAACAGGGTAAGAATTTCTAGGAATCTAGCAATCAGGTAGATATGAAAATGTTTTTTTTTTATTTTAGATAACATTATTTTATGGCAAGGATACATTGAAGCTACTCAGTGTTCCATGTCACATTGCAACACGCCTGCAGTGATAGATTTATACTCTAGATGTTTACAAACTTTACATAAATTGAGAAGAGCTACTATTTCTGAGAAGTACCTTTCAGAAGAAAGCATATTAAGGTTATTAATGTCTTTTATTGTAATTATATAATAACTATCTAATATACCTCTTGCTTTTAACTTCACAAACTGAAGTACTATTATAGATATTGATTATCTGCAATGTATTTTAATGATTTGCTTAACCAACAAGAAAAGGGCAAAATTTCTAAATGTTTGCAAAAACTTTTTCTAGCATTAATTTGTTATTTTCTACTATTCTTTAAATATAGGTATAATAATAAATGTGAGAATAAAAAAGTTAGTTACTTTAGGAGTTTCTTAATAATTGACCAACTTACTGTTTATAACATACATTATACCGGGCGCGTCTCAAAAGTGGCGCACCCCTATAACTTTTTTAATTTTTCAGGTAAAAAAATATTTGGTATGTTTGTATATGACAGAAATTAGGACTGATTGACATTGAAATGGCACCCTCGGTATATTTTTACTTTATTCCATAGAAAATGGCATTCTGAGTAGAATGACATATTATTATCATATATGTCAACTTTTGACATTTTCCCTTAAAACAAAATTTTATTTTAAAGTTCAATCTAGAGTGCCATGGTTGTGTTAAAAACACTAATTTTTATGAAGAAGCCTTGAAAAAATAGATCTGATTGTCTTCCCAAATCGTATTTAATCATATCTAAATTTTTTCAAACAGAACAAGGGTGGCTCATTAGCAAAAAGTATTTTTTAAGAATAATTTGGTACCACACACTTGGTTTCGAGCCAAATTGTTGTGATGAACCGCCGTGTAACAGTTTCAAATAAATCATACGTGAAAATGCCAAAAATTGACATACGATATGTCATTCTATTCAGAGTTTCATTTTCTATCGAATAAAGTAAAAAAATACCGAGGGTGTCATTTAAAAATCAAAAGTTGCAGTCATTTCCGGTGAAACAGGAAGTTGTCAAAACCAACTGAATATGTCAATCTATCTCAATTTACATCATATACCAACTTAGCAAATCTCGTTTATTTGAAAAAAATAAAAAAGTTATTAGAGATGAGCCACACTTTTCAGACGCACCCGGTATATTTACATTTTTACTTAATATTGAGAAATTAGTTTTTATTTTTATATTTTTATCCTGGCAACAATCACACGCAAGTAACCATTTTTACAAGTTCTTTCTAAGATTCACAGTAATATCACTATAATAAATTTAGCAAAAAATAATATAAAATATACATAGAAAAGCGGGCACCAAACTCGGAAAAAGGTCAAATTTCTCAAGAGATAAGTCAAACAGAACAAACTATTATTTATATGTCAAAGATATATTAAAATATTCTCTGAAAATTAGGTCTAAATCACAGACTAAGTTAGTCTGAGCCTAAATTAAACAAAATTATAGATTTTTGTGCAAGCAGGTCACTTTATCTGCGTGGTCTGTATTTTAATGCATGCGACAGAGATAAATATAAATGACCCATGGTACAAAGAAAACAAGGTATGATCGATAGCGGCTCCAATTTCGTTAAGTTTGCGCATACCATCTGTGATGTCATACGCCATACAAAAAAATATCCATATTGTTCAATTGCCACTAATAAAAAAAGACCTAAAATAGGGAAAAATTAGGACATAACCCCAAAAGTTATGTTTTGACATCGAGCTTGACATTTGAAAAATTATTTTCACATTTTGACACAATCAAATTTCACAGATGACACAATCTGTTTGACAATTTGAAATTGGCGCGCAGAGCTTGCCGACCAATAGTGCCGTTTATCACCTGTGACGTAGTGACCAACCTGCGCAATATCATACCTTGTATTCTTTGTATCATGTAAATGACCGGTTGACGGACAGAAAGACAAAATAAACAATGACATACAGTGTCGCCGGTTTTTGCGGTTGTAGGAAAATGTGCGTAGAAAAAAATAATGAATTATGAAAAATAAAGTTTCAACCCTAGATTTTTCATAAACGCCTACTTGTGCGGTTTTAAACTTTGATGCAGAATCCGGCAATACCGAACAGAAGAAATGTATCAACACAACTTTTATCTCTTTTTAATACGTTTGGTTTTCCATTGCTGCCTACATCACTGTCTTACACGTTAAAATCCAGACCGCAGTTTCAACGACCAGATCGGTATAAACAGGCGGCTGTCCGTTAGTATTATCGTGACCCTTGCATAAAAATATCATTTAGGCTGCTCTATTATCTTTATTCTTTTTGATATGGAGAATTACCGCTTATACATATATTGTACTTTTATAGTTAAACTAGCGTGTACCCGCGACTTCGTTCGCGTCGAATTGCAATCATTTGTAATGGTAATGATAAAGCAAAGCAAGAATTTCCATTAACATACAAACTGGATAAAATTTCTCACATTTATGTCAGCATGAGAAAAAACAATATGGCGGTATTATTATATACCTTGGTAATATTTGAGGGGTAGTTTCATCTCGTTGGAATTTGACTTTCGAAAAATCCGTTTGCCAAAAATAAGCTTTTTACGTCAAGCAGTTTAAGCAGAATCGTGGTTAAGAAATTACCCAACTTTTTGGAACACCCTGTATGATTTTTTAAAAAATTTCAAAATATGTAAAAAACAAAATAAATTATGCGTGTCCAAGCGTGTTCCCGAAAGACTAACCGTTTTTTAAATAACAAATGTTGTAATAGTTGAGGGACGTTTTCACCCTCTTGGAATTTGAGATTCGACCTCTACACCACAGTCAATCCGTTTGCCAAAAATCAGCTTTAAACGTCAAGCAGTTTAAGCAGAATCGTGATTACTCATACTCAATGGTCATATTTTATGAAACACCCTGTATAAATTTTTAAAAAGTATTAAAATATGTAAAACAACAAAATAAAATATACGTGTTTAAGAGTTTTTTCCGAAAAACTCATCGGATTTTAAATAAAAATTAGTCTAATATTTGAGGGTCGGTTCCGCCCCCTTAGAATTCGAGTTTCGAAAAATCCCTTCTTATCGAACCTCTACAACCTAAAATCAATCCGTTTTCCAAAAATCAGCTTTTTACGTCAAGCGCTTTAAGCAGGATCGTGATTAATCAATGACCAGATTTTTCGAAACACCCTGCATACATTTTTAAAAAATCCTAAAATATGTAAAAAAACAAAATAAAATATACGTGTTTAAGCGTTTTTTCGGAAACTTGACCGTTTTTTAAATAAAAAATATTGTAATATTTGAGGGGTGGTTTCACCCCCTTGGAACTGGAATTTCGAAAAATCCCTTCTTATCGAACCTCTACACCCTAGAATCAACCTGTATGCCAAAATTGAGCTTCTTAAGTTGAGTGGTTTGAGCAGGATCGTGATTAATCAGTGAGTCAGTCACTTAAGGATTTTATATATCAGTATAGATTATTTAGTGTTTTTATTTTATATCTTTAATTTTGTATTTTTTGTCTTTAAAGTTTCAAAGTTCCAACCTTTATTCTTATATTATTGTTTTAGAATGCTGTATCAGTGTGGTTTATTTCTAAAGCAAGCAGGTCTGTTTGAACAACTGTGGACGTTATTAAAAATGTATCTAGATTTAAATTTGAGTCCCACAGATAGTAATAGATTCAACATAGGTAAAGCTTTTGATGAAAAGGAACTTCTTGAACTAGAAGAGGTAACTTTTATTTTGTTAATGATGTATTTCCGTGTGAGTGATATTTATTTAATTATTTTTAGGTGGTTTTAAGCTCACAGCTACCGCATCACGAATTGTGGCTGAGGACTGAAAAATTAAGGGAATCTTGTCATTGGCTACCTGTCACAGGTAATAATAACATATAGGAGGTACAAATTGAAAACCGTTGCACGTCATCGAGCACGTGCGTACATTTTAGACAGCATTGTTGCCAGATTGTAATAGGAAAGAGAAATATTTTTGAAAAATGTACAATATCTAAGATCTATTAAAAATTCTAAAATAAACTTTAAATTGTTAACAGTTTTAAATAGTTGCCAGGCAATGCCGGAAAAAAAATATTTTTAAACAAAACGTTTTTTTATTGTTTAAAACAATTTTTAGATTAGTTTTTACCAAACATCTTTATTTTTATGTTTTACTTATTTTTTTTACCGAACATCTTTATTTTTATGTTTTACTTATTTCTCGAAACGCCTTTAAGGGTAACAACGAATAAAAAAATATTTTAGAAAACAAAAATAAATTAATTCAACAATAATAAATTAAATATATATACAGTTATTATTTACATCAACAAAACTCGCTCCCTTAACAGCAGTTAAGAGACATAAAGAACCAGTACTACCGCTTTCCCGTTCAAAATATTCTAATAAGGTTGCGATGAGTTTTTTACGGATATTAAGCTATCTTGTACACTTCTGTATCTTGTACACATTAAAAGAGGTTCTAAAAAGAACAATGTTCGACTGCAAGGTCTGCTAGTAAACATTTTCAAGCTTAAAGTATCCCAACACTATTTATTTAAACCAAAAACTCGTAAAATACAATACTGAAGTGTCAAAACAAATGACAATGTCAGGAAATAAATAAATAAATGCCTAACCTCACCTAACTTGGCATTTTTTACAGCAGAGCTACCACCTAAATCCCCAGCGGAAAATTTAAATTCCAGTTAGTCAGCACGGCGACGAATATGTCCATCGTTGGCAACAATGAATTTAAAGATCGCTGTCTCGATTACGTAACTAAAAGTTTAATTGATATGAAATATATATAATTTTGGCCCACATTCTAAAATGACAAAAAACTCAGCAGGCAATAACTAATTGTCTCTGTCAATATGTCCTTTGCTTGATAGACTATAGTTTGTGTAATAATATATTAATAATTTTGATTTCATACAACGCGTCATAGAATATATTTCTAAATTAAGTCATTCTTTTCTCTTTAGATGAGGAATGTGTTGATCCACAAAGAATAGTTTTCAATGAAGATGTCGCTGAATTAATTCATCCCATAACTATGCCAGAGAATATTTTTAAACTCGTTGCGACAATTTTAACTTTGCTGAAGGTACTACAAATCACAAAATAGAGATCAAAAACTCCAATTTAAATTTAATTTGTTTTGTAGGTACCTCTTATACCTTGCAGACATGCTACTATGCAAGATTTAGGCTTGGATTATGTGCCTTGGAGCTTAGACTCTATTGAATGTTTGCTTCCTGTGTTTTTAAAGTTGTACCCAGTAAACACACTACATGACAACCTTTTAAAGGATATTAATAGGTAATAATATGTTACAAATATTCTAACAACGGCGGCTGGGTTCACAGGTTATTGGTTCTTTATACAGGTGGACCATCGAAAACGTTCCGCAAGACATAACGGCTAAGGTATTCTTTTTTTCAAAAAATCCAAAAACACGTCAATTTTTGTTTGTGAGGGGGACAACTTTTGCTCCAAAAATGATTCAACCCTCTAAGCGGGTTCAAATGGGAAGGGGGGTCAAGTGGTGCCGCAATGAAAAGGGCTTTCTATTCTCTATATTTCCCCGCCTCGTTTTGAAAATCGGTCGAGTTATTGAGAAAATATGAAGGATTGAAATTTGAAAAGTTTATTTAAACATTTTTCAGAGTAAATGATAAGGATAAATTTCTTCGGCCAATTTGAGTTTTTTTCTTATTTTTTCTAGATGTTTACGCACTTTTTCACTTGCCACTTGCCACAAGGTTGAACGATCAGGTGCGGTAGTTGCTAGTTGCTAGATAGTTGTTCTGTGACTTGTGCGTTGAAGTTTTTCTCAATATCGTTAAAATGACCTACAATAGAACTTCCAAAAATACCAGCCCACACGTCCAATTTCTGAAGGTTTTGTGTGTGTACATCGTGAAAAACCCTGGGGTTGTCCTCAGCCCAGTACCGACAGTTGTGCCGATTAACTACACCGTTCAAAAAGAAAGTACACTCATCCGAAAAATACACATTAAATAGGAAATTATTATCATTCGCCACTCGTTCCCTCATAGTTTCACAAAATTGCAGGTGACGATCAAAATCGTCTTCGTTGAGTTCTTGTACCAACTGAATTTTGTACGGGTGGAACTTGTGTTTTTTTAATATCCTTTGGACACTTGTACGATTCACGCCGGTCTCATTGGCTAAGTTTCTTGTACTCAGCGTACTATCCATGGCAACTTGGCCCAATACGAATACCTCCATAGCTTCATTTACTACAGGATTTTCCCTCTGCCTCTTTCATAACGGAACCAGTTTCGCGAAATTTTGCTACTAACTCGCGAACAATTTTGCCATAATGGTGTTTGTCAGGATGGCGTTCATTGAATATCTGCGCAACCCGATTGCCACATTCAATATTTTTAAAATAAAGTCCGATTATTTCCACTTTTTCTGCAAGTAAGTACACCATAATTGTTATAAAGTTTAACGATATTGAGAAGAACTTCAACACATAAGTCACAGAACAGCTATCTAGCAACTACCGCGCCTGATCGTTCAACCTTGTGGCAAGTGAAAAAATGGGTAAACATCTAGAAATAATAAGAAAAAACAGCAAATTGGTCGAAGGAATTTATCCTTATCATTTACTCTGATAAATGTTTAAATAAACTTTTCAAATTTCAATCCTTCATATTTTCTCAATGACTCGACCGATTTTCAAAAACGAAGCCGGAAAGTATAGAGAATAGAAAGCCCTTTTCATTGCGGTACCACTTGACCCCCCTTCCCATTTGAAAAAAAATGGGGGATGACACCCCCGCTTAGAGGGTTGAAGATATTGCAATCATTTTTGGGGCAAAATGTGTCCCCCTCACAAACAAAATTGACGCGTTTTTGAATTTTCTGAAAAAAAAAATTGCCCTGGCCGTTATGCCTTGCGGAACGTTTTCGATGGGCCACCCTGTATAGTCATAATCATAATATTAAAAAAAATATATAATTATTCAGATAATATAAACAAGATTACAGTTGGGGGTTGGAACCTTTTGTGTTACAGCAGCAAAATAAAACACTAATTCACAACTATACACCAAAACACGACTTTTCTTTTGCACTGGACGTGCGTCTCGCTAGCCACACACCACACACTTATTATTTCGAGTCAAATTGTTATGAACCGCATGTTACAATTTAACAATTACTACCATATGCGAATATGTCAAAAGTTGACATATGATATGTCATTCCATTCAGAGTATCATTTTCTATCGAAAAAAGTAAAAAAAATACCGTGGGTGTCATTTAAAAATCAAAAGTTGTAGTCATTTCCATACTAACATACCAAAAATCTCGTTTTCTTATCTGAAAAAATAAAAAGTTATAGGGGTGAGCCATTTTCGAGACGCACCCGGTATAAAGTAAACTTTGGTATGAAATAATCGCAAAATTATCCCTACTGTCTGCGTTAGTGTGTATTGGAAATATTTTTTCTAGAATATATTTTTAAAAATTCTGATATTTTTTTGAACATCAGATATTTATTAAAAATGCTTTTTAGATATGCAGTTGGACCCCAGTACCTGAAAGTTCTTCCCGGACAGGAGGAATACTTAAACTTCATACTTACCCTCATGGAAAACTGCACAGACAGCTTAAACGGTCTAGACCAGATATCCGTAAGAATATGGTGGTTCAGGTTTCAGCGACTACTAATCGTTCTCCAGAAACGAGGCCACTTCAAAATGTCCGACCAACTTAAAAAGCGAATCAAAAGTAGCATAAAAAACTTGCTGAAAAAGGAGCAACATCGCAACAACGAACTTTACTACGTTGAATACGCCTTAATTGAAAAAGAATTTGGTAACGTTGATCAATGTATTAAGATTCTACAAACAGCCTTACAGATGAATAAAAACCAGAAAATAGTTACTGAAAAGTGGGAACAGTGTCAGGTGAATCAGTGCTATCTTTACCGATCTCTAATAGAATGTATAATAGACCTGGATGATATAGAATCTGATAGTACTAAAGGGAAAGTAATAAAATTATTAGTAAACTTGGTATTACAAAGAAAAGTTGATAACGTTACTACTGGGATCTTGATGGAAACTGAAACAAAGTTTAGATTGATTACTGATGAGATCTTGCAAGGAAATATAAGAACGCTTACAGCTGTAGATCATTTCTTGCCAGATTTTCTAACTGACTGGATTATATGTTATGGATGGTTCATATATTTTTATCGAGGTTAGTACAATATATTTCTGTGTTATTTTTTATTTTAACTTTTGCCAAAGAGAGAAATGTATTTATTCTAAGAGACCAGAATAAAGTCGGGAATTTACAGTCTTTGAGTCCGCTAAGAATATTACTTACAGTATTGTATGGAAATGAATTGAATCTACAACTAGAAGAAGTTTTTTTTTATAATTTAAGGAGTCTTCAATATGGGGATCAATTTTTAGAACATATGTGTGTATAAAAATAATTATTAACTAAAATTTATACAGGGTCGCTGAAAAAGGTGTATTATTGGATAAAATGTACGGGGTACTGCAAAAATTAAATACAAAAGTTTTAGGGTTTTGATAGCGATAAGCATTTTAGACCTGTGTAGGCAAATTTGAAGACTTAAAATGAAAACTGGGTTAAGTGCCAAAGCTCGCGACGCGTTGGAACTACTTTAAAAACTGCTTCAAAGATGTCTCGCGTATCAAGTCTCGCGCATGATCTAATAGAATCAGTGCTAAATGAAAAGGAGACACAACCCCACAATCTTTTTAAATTATTTATTTAAAAAATAATTTTTATTAAGTAATGGGGCAACATGTAACAAAAATTATTTTTTAAAATATATAATTTAAAAAGATTGTGAGGTTTGTGTCTCCTTCCCCTCGCTACAGGATTTCCATTTATTATGAACTCACACTGGCTTAAAGTAAGTTTATTTACATACATTAGTATTTAGTTTAGCTCAGTTATCTATATGTCTATTGTTGCCACTTTATCAAACTTTATATTGTGTTAACGTTTCAATCAGACTCTTAATTTGCTTGTTTATAATGGAAGGTATAAAAAACATTGATTCTCAAAATTTTAGTTTTGGCACTTAGCCCGTTTTCGTTTCAAGTTTTCAAAATATCACTGACAAATTGGTCTCCGTTGGATCAACGCAGTGATGTTTAACTTTTTTATTTTGTACATTTTCTTTTATTGGTACATACCAGAATTTTTTTTCATAAAATTTATATGTTACAGGTTTACTTCAGTGCGGTACTCTATTGGAAACCATTTTAGAAAAATTTGAATCCAAGGGGAACAACTTGATCTATCAAGAGGAAGTCGTTTACGAATTCTACTGTTCAATATTATTCAAGCATTGTATAGATAACCCCGGCAGTGGAACTTTCAAAATATTGGACGATGTTCTTTTCCGAGCTATAGAAACATATCCCAATAATCTTTATATGTTGTCTATATTAGCCAAAGAACAAAGCATGGTGAAAAACTTAGGCACGTCGTGGTGGAAAGTAGAGAAGATATTGCTTAAATCTGAAAGAGCTATTACAACCATTTTTAGCGTGTTGATTTTCAGTTTAGTAAAACTGGAAATTGAAAACGATACCCATGACACTGTAACAGGTTTGTTAATTATTTATAGTAAATATGATTTGAAAAATAACAATCGTCCTCTTATTTTTAGGCAACCATATATCTCTTTCAAGCTTCCATAACAAAATATTATCGTTATTCAAGAAAATTACTAAGCAGAATATGTGCGCCAGAAGATGCGGTTTAATATGGAGACTATATTTAAATTTCGTGTATAGCTACTTTAACTCTACAGAATGCAGCAAAGTGTATTATATTGCAGTAGAGGAATGTCCTTGGCTGAAGGTAAAGTTTATTTAGCAAAAGAATACCAATGCGGTTTTTATGGCATTTATCTAAACAAGGAAAGTTTTGTTGAATGTACGAATGATTGTATATTTTTTTATGGCAATAGTCGCTAAAAACTTCTACTTTTGCCGGTGATGCAAATTTGTATTCAAGTAAAGAGTTAAGAAATTTGTCTTTAGTAGCTTTTTATAATAAGAATATGGTCGAAAACAAACGGAGTCAAATTACCTTGGAATTGACAATCATTGCCATTTATAATATAATTTTACATATAAAATGTTATCTATCTTCATTTCTAAGGTAATTTGACGCCCCTTTTTGAAGTGAAACTTCTTTACGCACGATAGGAGTAAAAATTCATAGCCGTGACACGATGCGACCTTGACACGACACGGCCTTGACATACTAGCTAGCGAAAGAAAAAAGTGGTAAGTCAGTGAGTGAGGAAGTTGAGATGTCTTTGAAGCGTCGTAACTTGTAGCTAGGCAGCTGAAACTCGGAAAATGGATATTTTGACGATCGTGCACTATCAAACCCTATCATCAATGAATCAAATAAAAAAATCGTCGGATTTAAATGAAATTTGGTATGTCGATAGATTGGACCAAGGCCAACTTGACCGTGTATGACACGTGTCACTGTAACTAGTGATGGGATCACTCGAGTGAAAAATACTCGGTCATTATTCATATCCTCGGTATGTCTCGAGTATTTTTGTCAATCCTCAAGGATTACTCGGCACGCAACTAACATCGGGTGTAGCGTACCGTCACCGTCCTCGCTGCTCGAGACTATACACCGGCGATTTTACGATTTATGCTCGTAACATCGCTCGCAATAATAGTCGGTTTTCAGAGTAGTAACCTGCATTTTTGAACAGAAATACATTACATATACTTATTTTTATTTTGTTTTGTTTAGATGGGATAGATTAATTATAATATTTATTTAAATTATAAAGATTTTTTCTCCATACTTTATATTTTAAGATTTATAGTTTTTTAACCATTGATATATAATAATAAAATGTTTTTTCTGTGTAATAATTTAGTAGTTTTCGTAGTTTAGTAGTTTTTGACTTTCAAAATTCCATTTGACAAAACCACAGTTGTTTATTTGGGTTAAGGCTTTGGAGATTTTGCTTTATTTGCATTTTCAATTTACGTATTTTCTTGTAAAAAAACCTTTGCTTGTAGTTGTACGTTGGGAGACTATATTCTGATGAAAGTATAATCGAAATTTATTGTGATGGAACGTAGATATAAAGTGAATGATTTGCGGAATATGCCAACAAGAACAATAACAATATTGCTGTATATTTTATTTCATTTTTTTTTTCAAACAGTTTTTAAAGCGACAGCTGACTCGTTGTAAACCTTAAGCTCAGCCTTAAGTAAAATTTTATTAGTTAATATTTTTCTATTATGAGGGTTCACAAGAGAAAGAGGTTGAAAATCCGAAACAATCATCATTAACAATTTTTTTTCGATTATTAGTTAAGCTCTGCCCAAACAATACAGTTGGAAAATTCAATTTCAAAACTGGATATTATGTCGCACAAAAACTTAAAATATGCACAATAACACAATACTACAATTTGTTAGGTACTACAGTTTATTCTCGGTGAAAGTACGCTATTAAAAAGTAAAACAAAATATATTTTTTATCTAAATGAGCGACCGCCGATAAATAAACAATAAATAACGAGCCCTTTTTTAAAAGCCGCACGTATTTCCTAGAATTACTTGGTTTCATTTGGCCTGAAACTGTGCTGAAAGGTTGCCAGATTAGCCTCAAAGTCGGAGTTAAAGAAACAAAATCAACACAATTTAAAGCAAAACCTATGAAAATTTTATTTCCCACCTGAAATTATACACGCACATATTAAAAATTATTAAAAAAGTGTTTAAAATAATTACTATTTATTTTTATTACAATATTATTTAAGTCATTCAAGTACATGACAACAGTGTGTTAAAAACAGCAAGCAAAATCACTCACACCCAGCGGCGAGTATTATTCAGGTTTCGATCGAGATATTATAGAGAGAAAATTTTATGACCGAGGATTCCTCGGATGATCATCCGATTATTGGAATCCTCGAAGATTGAATTCATCCGATTTTTCCCAACACTACCGTACCAGTTAGTTTTGACGTAAGAAACGTCAAAAGTTGATGTCCGATCGCGATCAAATTTGGTGGGTAGGCTATGTGAGCGACGGTGCACACGGTCCCACCCTGCAAAGTTGGATACTGCGTTTCGTTTACATCTTCATCAGGGCGGGACTAACGATTTGATATAAAAATGTGGATCGATTTCGGTATAACTGGGGACGGGCTACAGGATGACGCCCTCGGCGTTTCGAACCGATGCCTCTAAATCGACGAAATCATCAGGATTTTTCTGAATTATGGGTCGATTGGAACCAACTATATAGGCACGTGAATATAGGTACCCGTTTGCAGACAGACAGACAAACGGAAGTAAGAAGTTTCACTTCAAATATGCGTACATAGTGCATACACAATTTTTTTTTTCTAATATACGCTATTTTGATTAAGGACTTGTTGTCTCACGATGCACTGGTAATCTCATAGTATCATTGACGAATATTTTTTAGGCTTTATATATGGACGCAGCTATTTACATACCAGCCGAATTAGCTAAAATTCAAGATCTGATTATTGAAAAAGGTTTGAGATTACATGTCACTCCTGAGGAACTGGAAGAACTTAGAACTTAATTTATTCGTAATTACTGTTATATTTATGTACGTACATATGATTTTATTTTATAAATTTGTTATTAATAAAGGTCTGAATATGAAACACGTTTTCTTATTATACATCTTTATTTACTTTCTAACATCACTATTTCTGACTTAAAAGACAAAAAAAAATATATATATTATATATAATGAAAAAAAAAAATGAATAACAGCCAAACATTTAAAATTATTCATTACTATGTTACAACATGGGTTAAACAAAAACAAGTAATTAAATACAGATATTTTTTCAATATTTTAAAAATGGTAAACCGCGCGTACCGGTTGGTTCTCTCGGCTATAAGGCCCATATCTGGAAACAAATCTTTTCATTTCGTTCTTATAAATAATATTACAGATTTGCCAAACCTGGGCTATATAACTTTTATTAAACGCTATATTTTAAAAATACATCTATTTTACGATGAAGTAGGATAGATAGTATATGAGCTTGGTAAATGTATGTAAAATTGATACTATGTTTTAATTTATTTTTTTTTAAGTTTACTTACAGTAATTATAGTACAGTAATTACATAGGGAAAAGAAATTTGTTACTAAAAACAAAAATCCAGTAAAAAGATATTTTTTTATAACAATAATGATAATACCTTATTATTGCTAAGAATTATAAGATTATGGTATGGTATATGCGTTACGTTGTAAGAACAAACTATAAATAAAAAAAAGTACACTATAATGCTAGGGTTAGTTTTTTTGACACAAATTCCAACTAATTAGTTTCTCCTAAGCATCTTAAGAGATCAAAAACATACTCAAATTATGCTTTAATAACACAAATAAATGATTTAGAAACAAATGGGTTTTGGAAGGAATATGAAAAGACGGTATATAATTTGACATTGTAACATTTATATTTATGGTTTTAAAATAAAGAGATAGTTGTGTAAAATAACAAAATAAAACCAATATAAAGTTTCTTATTGCGAACTAAATTAATATTCTTTGTTCTTTTTTGAACAAACCGAATATTTGATATTAAATTTATTAGTTAATAACTAAAAAAGATATCTTTTATCTCACTACTCAGTTAAAAAACATTTATACAATGCTTAATTATGTGTCTTTTATTATACATATGAAAACATTTTTGAATTAGTATCAATCAGCTTATTGGTCTGTGAATATAAACTGAACATTAATATAAATGCAATATTCCTTCTTTAAATACATATTTGTAGAACTGTTTAACTATGTTTTACTGCATATTCGAATTATATACAATGTTTGCAGTATAGGTATATTTGTTTTATAACTTTACTACATTCTGTCAAAATATCTTCCAGCGAATCACGGAAAATTTCTACAGACGACAGAAAATATAATTTGCCTGTGAATCAAAATTACAGACATAATTGTCACTGTCAGGAATCCTCTTTAAAAAAATAAATGTGAAATTTTAAACTTTAAATAAAAGTTATTTACATTTTAATGATATATTTTAAATTAAAAGTTTTCAAAAATATACCGAATTAAAAAAAACCGTGATACAAAAACAATGTAAAAACACGTAATATTAACTTTGTTATTAATTTTATTTCTTTTCTTTTAATACAAAAAGTCAATTGCTAAGGGAACTATGTATCAAATATTTACTATTCATATTTATATTGCCATCCAAAATATATATTCAGTGTAAAAATATACCAACAAGCAGATTATAATGAATTCAAAACATCTATAGTAGGTACTAAAATGCTTTATTTGTATATTATTTTCTAAGCCTATTGTGCTCGAAAATCTAGTATTTAATTCATACCACATCATTTTTTAAATAATTTGTCAAAAAATATTTTAACAGTCTTATCCTCCGGCTACAAAGTTCAGTACTATAGTAGTTTGGTTTTACAAGTATTACGCATTTTGACAGGGGACAACTGTGTATTTTTAGAGTTTCTTTTAGTAAAGATAGAGCATTCGTATTTTGACTAAATAGTAGTGATGTGTCGGTATTTGAGTAACGCGATTTTGGAGTGGTATTTTTAACGCCGTGTCGCGCTTCACAACGAATGGGGAACCTGTTACTGAAGAACGACGATCATAATGACGACAAAATTATAAATTATTTATAATTTGCAAATAAATTATTTATAATCGCTCTTGAAGTGAGCTTGAACCGTAGTAACCGCATAGCGACGTGTTTAGCTCCAGCCATCGCGATTTCGTAGCTCGCCTACAATAGTTACTGGAACTGTACGTAGCGTCGGGCGATCTCGATGGCGACGGTGACGTCTTCGCTCCAGCCGTCGCCCTCCTAGAGTTGTAGTTCCCTGTCGCGTAACTGCTGTAACTGGGCATCGACGCTCGACCTTGGCGGCGCGGCAATCTACTTCGCTCCAGCCGTCGCGCTCCTAGAGTTTTAGTTCCTTGTCGCGAACAGAAGTAACTGCTGTAACTGGCTATCGACGCTCGACCTCGGAGGCGGTTTACTTAATATAGCACTTACGCAGCTTACTTAATATACTTAATATAGCTTATACAGCAATCGCTGGAGCGCTTTTAGGGTTTCGTTTTCGCCTGTAGCGATTGGGTCGGTTATTATTGGCGTTGGTGCGCCCGTCGCGTCGCTACGTTAAGTACTTTTGAAATAGCGATTTTTGGTATGTACTAAGCATGGTATAAAATAGCGTTGTTTGAAAGATGAAACGTAAAAGCAAATAAAATAAAATGAAAATTTTATTTGCTTTTATACATTTATATAAATTTTATTATTTACATCTATTTTTAAGGTCTGATGATGGCTGGAATTGCCGAAACCGGTCACCAATAAAGAATTTTTTTTGATAGTGGTTTGTGGGACAGTGGTTTGTGAGTTTTTTGACAGTGGTTTGTAAGTATAAAATAAAAGTAGGTACCAATGCCAGAAATACTACATAAGCGAGGACCGCGACACCTAGGAAGTTGGAACCTCAATTACAAAATCGCGGTATTTTTCTGGAACTGTCGCTATTGTAACGCGACTCATGTGGAACCGGTATTCCCATCACTACTAAATAGCCCTATTAAAGGTCCGAGGTCACGGCGGCGTTTATCAGCAAGATGAAATAAGTGCCACATCTGTAAGTTAATCTGTGACTATGTATTACTATCTTGTTCATATTGAAAAATTTATCCAAGTCTGTCCAACAAGGGAACATTAAAGTCTGTCCAACAAGGGAAGAGTCCAAAAACCGACAATAAATGTTCTCTTTTTAGACAGACTATATACCATGTCCCTATCAAAATGCAACACACTGTGTATCTATATATTATTACTCTCACACATTTCAAAATATGTATTAATTTTTGTGACTTGGGCTTAACAATTTTTAGTTATTTAAAAAGCCAACTGCTTAACCCTTTATTACCATACCATTAATTTTCTTAAACCTATAAATTTGTTTATATAAGGATTTCTCTCGTAAAATTAGCTGCTCTGCGACCAACTAGGTTACAATATAATTAAATAAGGTTTCAATTAAGAGGTTTAAATACATAAAATGCTTTCTATTCAACTTACATGAACTTAACAATATATTTTTTTAAATATTGTACTGTCATTGTAGCAAATTACAAAAAACTCTAAATATATGCAGACAGTGGGGTTAGATGATAAAATATTAAAAAAAGTCAAAGAGAAATTGTTCAGAATTTGACTTACGTTTATGTACCAATCATACCAATTTTAATAATTATACACGGACATATAGGGACAGTTTTCTATATTTTTAAATAGTATTTTTCCGAATATGGACGTAAAACAGAGTGAATCTAATAAACACAGTAGCTGTAATAATAATGCCGCAATATTTTATTTTTTACTGTTCCGTAATAATATAAAAATGTTAATTCTCAGACTAGCGACTAATGGCCACTATTTTGCTCACAAGGAGATTTATGCACTTTTGAAACAATAAATGAAAATATAAAAATGCCATTTTTGAAATGTCTGTATATTTATGAAACCAGATGTAAAATAATATTCTAACCAACTCTTTCAGTTTTTGTCATATTTTGACTTAATCCCACTTTTTGCATATGTAAAGGAATTTTTGTAATTTGCCGCCATGATAGTTAGTCGTCGCATGACATATGTCAAAATATTTTTTTTTAATTATTGGGTACGCTAATAAAATATAGAATATACATTAATTTTGTTCATTCTTTAAAGCTATTAAGCAGCTATTATTACACAGGGTGAGTTTTAAATAAGTGCAAATATTATCAGGGGTGGTATATTTCGACCCCAGAAACACGTCTATGAGGTTTTTTTTCGCAAAAAAAATTTAAATTTCCCGGTATATTTTTCGAAAACTTTTTAGAACTGTCTGTTCACCGCAAATTTTTCTCCACGGTATAATTTCTTAATCTCTGATATTACCATAGTTACAGCTTTTCTCTATGGTTACGGCACTAAAAGGGATGCAAATACAGATTTATTTTTTTTAAATTTTCATACTTAAATACCTCGGTTATTTTGGAGTTATTTGAAAAATGGTAAAGAGAAAATATGTTTCTTTTATCGAGATCTACCAGTCCTGAAAATATTTGCACTTATTTAAGACTCGCCCTGTATATTGTTTATTTTTTATACACGGTCGGTAAAGACTGGCTTTGGGTGCAGATTTTCGTGTGTACGAAGAGTACAGTCAATGTGTCCAGTACAATAAGATGTACTAAACACAGAGATAATTTATTTCGCAAACGAAAGAAATGAAATAAAGCTTAGGAATAAGTGGTTGTGTAAATAAAAACCTTGTATTTTTCTCGTTTACAACGATTCATTCTTAGACTGCAACCAAACCGACCTTGTATATAAATTTAATAACAAAAATTATTTCCTAATATCAAAGTATTTTAATATTAAAAAATGCCTATACCTCTATGGCGTATTCTTCAAAAAAAAATCTGTGTTTTTCGCCACGGAAAGAAAATCTACAAAATTAACTAGTTATTTTTTTTTGTAAACACGGTGGTTAACTAATAAAACAAATTTGCCAAACGGACGAAAAAATGCTTAACGTTTCGGGAATTATATCTCTTCCCGTCGTCAGAGGCAAAAAAAACACAAAGAAAAAAAAAAATATAACTATTAAAATACAACTATTCAAGAACACTTTAATTTTTTTAACAGTACGTCTATTAAACCCGTTGACGTTCTGTTAAAATGACATTTTATCAAGTTAAACTTCAAAATTAACAATTACTACTTGATAACAATTATTTAATGAGGTAAAACCAAAACGCCTCAAACTTTTTTTATTTGCTTTTAATTTTTACTTGACTCTTGATTTTTACTTGCTGACAAGTTGGCCTCCGTTGGATTAACGCAGCTGTGTTTACCAAAAAATAACTATTTTATTTTGTAGGTTTTTTTACAGTGATGAAATACCCAGAGAACTTTTTTGAAGAGAATTTAATTTAATTACCGTTTCATTTCGTTCCTCTCGGATTTTAATAGGGATTAATTCAAAATGATCTGATAATATAGGAAAACAAGTAGTTGAATAGAAAGCAGCTATAAAGAACTTAATAAAAGCACCTATTCGAATCAAATAAATAGAACTTTATTTTTATATAAAAAGTAAATTGTCATACTAAATAAATTACAACTAATCTTTTGAACTCCTAAAAGGGCACACAGCACCGCCAAGTAATAGTAATAACAAATTTCCACGGAAATATATATTAGGAATAAACGTTCCTCTAAAACTACAAAATGAAAACATAATATATACAAACATTGAAACAGAAACGCTTCGGAAATGAAAACTGTCCATAAAATTATTCCGAACTGAAAAAATGTTACCACTATCACTCATGCAAGATAAAATAAGAGAGAATAAAAGATCTATATAAAAAATAAAAGGTATAAAGTTACTCGAACACAAACTTTTTTAAATGGCTCCTATTACATTCCGTTAAATCTAAAAAGTGAGTATCAGAAATTTACTTAATCAATAACTACTTACCCACAATAATGTATAAAATCAATGACTGAGGTAATTTATTTATTAAATTAAAAAATTCGTTTTTTTGTACCTATTTATATATAGTGACAATAAAATTAATTAACAACTTGTAGGTGTAACAATCGGGAGTTTTTTAAGGAATTCAATTACAACCAATCATCATTTCTAATAGGTGTGGTTTGAAATCATATTTTAATTTCAAATTTGAGATTTTATTTTGTTACCGCTAATTCATAAGAACCTCTTTGATAATCAAATTTCATCTTTTAACAAAAAATCAAGTGCTCAAGATATTTTAATTTAATCTCTTAAAACGACAATTTGTATTGGAATTATTGTTTTACAAAATGTAGGTTTATCTGAACCTCATTTTAAGAATTTTTGAAATCTGTAAAGAAAATTTTAAATTAGGTGAATAAAATTACCTAAATTACAATTTAACCTGTATAGCATGCTATACAGTTAAAATAATCACTGTATAATAAGGTCAATTGTAATTTAGATATCTATTTATTATTAAAATTAAAGATTTATTTAGATTTTTTAAAAAATCCGAAAGTTTTGACATAATATATACTTCTTTAATAAAATTTGCATTGTCATTTTTTTTAGAGCTAGAAAACTAATTAATATACAGGGTGGTCCGAATTGCATTCCGGAAACTTCGGCAGCTTATTCTGCAGATAAAAATAAGTAAAAAAGTTCGTATAAATGTATGTCCTAAAATTCTTCGTTTCGGATATACAGGGTGTCAAAGTTTAATTTTTATTTCTGTTTTTTCAAATAATTTCTGAACTATAGTATATATTTGGATAAAAATTGGGGTCAGGGTGTGTTTTGACATAAGAAATTTGATTTAGATATCAATATGACTCCTACTTGTAGAGGGGGCGCCACCTGCATTTGTTTTAACTGTTTTGAAGAGTAATAATTTTTCGTCCGTACCTGTATAAAACTACTGAGTGAAAAAATATACATTTTCGTTATTTTTTACGTAAAAAATGTCTTTTAGTAAAAATCGCTACAAGCAACCGTTCTCAAGATATTTAGAATGGAAATGATCAATACGTGTCATTATTGACAAAAAATAAACATGCTGAGTAGATAGTTCTTTGAAATGATAAATTTGGGAACTTTTTATTTTCTTTTAATTAATTATTTTAGTTTCTTTAGTTTCTGTTGAACTTTTGGCACAAAAACTTTAAATTTTAAATTTATTATTTCAGTCTAATAATTATTTAGTCAACATGTTTAATTTATGTCAATGAGGGCATGTATTGATAATTTTAGATCCCAAATATCTCGAGAACCATTTCTCTTAGCGATTTTTATCAAAAGACTTTTTTTACGTAAAAAAACGTCGTAAACGTCCGGACGAAAATTATTATTACTCTTCAAACCAGTTAAAAAATATGTAGGTGGCACCCTCTACAAGTAGGAGCCATAATGATATGAAAATCAAATTTCCCATGTCAAAAAAATTCCAGAAACCGATTTTCATCCAAATATCGACGTTAGTTCAGGAAGTATTTCGAAAAAATCGGAATAAAAATGAAACTTTTACACCCTGTATCTTCGAAACTAAGCATTTTAGGACATACATTCATACGAACTTTTTTACCTATTTTTATCTGCAGAATATGCTGTTGAAGTTTCCGGAATACAATTCGGACCACCCTGTAGTGTACTCCGTTAAAAAAAAACGATGATTATATAAAATTTTCATACCCTGTAAAATTCCACATATCTTTGAACTTTACACAAAATACAAATTGTCGTTATCTTTGGAGAGACGTATGACAGGCACCACCCCTGTATTATAAAGAAAAATTCTCAATTATAACAAGATGTATTTAAAATTTTAGTGCTCATGGAAATTTCTTATAATTAAAACTACACATTAAGAAAAAATGAGTCACTTTCAAGCAGAGTTTCATGTACTATTGATTTATTTCTATAATCCACACTTATCGAAATTTATTTAACGAGAATTCTCATAGAAAAACTCCCAAAAGTTAGCAGCCTACACATTTCCTTTTCTCCGACAACATCGACTCGATCCTTCGCTAACTTAAACCTAAACCCAAGTTTTTATGTACACATATCGTTTTATATTAAATTTAATATTTTATATACAATGTAAGTAAATTCTACACATCGCTATAATAATGCAAAACTCAGGACAGCACTTGATATAAAGTTAACAAAAAAAGAAAACAGTTTCTCTATAGTTTGGATTTACACTCACTTACGTAAAAAGGAAGCATATTAAATCATTCCAACAACTCTCTTTTGAGCGACTAAATAAATACTTTTTTTCTTTCTCTCTCGGTAAAACGTCTCTTTCGAACGACTCTATTAAATATATTAATGTATATCTACACTCTATACGCACACAGCTTTTAGGTGCGTTGTTTTTCATTATAAAGAACCCTCGAAGGCGGCCATTAAATCACTTTGCATGTTCATGTCTATTTTATTTGCCATCTACAAAAGAAAGAAACAAACAGGATTATTAAAATGCACCTCTTACAATATATCGGATCGACGGATTTCTACCAAAAACACTATTTTTAATGAAGTGTATTTGTAGACGTTATTAGAAAGCAATATCATATGGGGGTAATCTGAATAATTTCGTTCACAATATAGAATATTTTTTTAAATGTTTAAATAATATTTGCGAAAACACACACGCACATCGCTCCCAACGATGCTCCAGAATGACTAAGTCTGTATACAAGAACAGTTAACCTAATAGGACTGCTCGTTCAGCCAAAAGTGTCCGCCAGGTGCATGCGAAAACTACTCGCTTTGTGACGTCATTGTAGTCCTTGTCATGGTTATTAGTCCTTATCCAGCAACCAATAATACACGCACGTGCATTATTGGTTGCCGAATGCAAAACGTTCATTACATGTTCATTATTTAGTTTATTTGTTTAAACACCTTATATGTATGCAGTATAGAAAATTAACTGTATAAATCGTATTAAATACTCGGATAATGCATTTTTAAGAACAGCAGTTCCCAGCATCACCTTTTGCAGGCATTCTTTTTAGAGTACTTCCATATTTTGCTTTAAAATAATTAATAAACAATATCGTAGGCATTTAGTAAGCACTTTCTCACAATCCACAACACAAAATGAACGTATTTATACACTCTATAGCTCTAAAAACTTTAAAAACAGCTTTTTCACATTTAAAATTGACAAAATAATTAACTCAAAATTTCTCAGCTGTTATTTTGATAAGTTTACCATAGGCAACTAGAATACACACTATCATGACAAGGACTACAATGACGTCACAACTGTCAGCTGAAGCGCGGGAAGAGGCGAACGTACGTCTTATGAAGATGAGCAATCCTATTAGTTTACCGTTCTTGGTCTGTGTATATGTTACAGTAAAAGTTGGAAATCAGTGATTGTTCACAATTACTAGTAACAGCTCACATTCACTGATTTGCTAAGACTACGAAAGTCAAAGTTCAACAGATATTTTTGAAACCAACTTTTACTAGTGAGTGCTAGCATTCCCTGGGCTATAGCAGTGAGTTTGAAAGATTCAGTTAGCGGGGTTGATACATGTTGTAAAATATAACGATAAATAACGATAAGTTGAATAATGGGCAATATAAGGATAACATTGAATTGGGCTAAACGTTGGCAACGTTGACAGACATCTGGCGTAAATTCGCTTTGTATGTGGTTATCTATAATTATTTTGTTATCGTTAATCTATAATTGTTTTGTTAAGAAGTGCTGTGCGGTATTTTTCCTATGAAAAAAATGTTCTGTGAAAAATTAAGGTAAACTAGGCACTCGCAAAAATATAATAGTGCGTGTTTTTCATTTTTGCAATATAATGAAGTCTAGTGGAATAAGTGAATGTTACAAAGTTACGCATACAAAAGAAAAAGATATTAAGGAACTTAGTGACTATGGACTTATTAAACGTTTTGATATGCTTGAAGTATTGCGGGTTTGAAAAAAACCTATAACTCCCACTGAAGAAAATTCGGGCATAATTTGTTTTGTCCACGATGAAGAACTTTATTAAAAAAAAACTTGTACCAATAAGTAATCTTATGTTTATAAATGTTATGTGTCGTTATTTTCTATATTTTTTAATAAATATACTAAAGAAGTTAATTGTAATTTTAAGATATGTGGATCACCTTGAATATTGAAGTGATCCAATATATTCTTAAAAGTTTTATTATTCTTTCCACCAACATTCTTCCTCACCACACTCACCCTGTACAATAGAATAACTTTTACTGGCAACCTTTAGTAAATGTTACTTTCACTATATAGTGAATGTTAGAAATTAATAGGAAGAGTCGACAAATCTCTTTAAAATACCACATTCGCTGGTCCAATATGTAATTGCTAGCATTTCCCAGTAAATGTTAACAATCACTGAATTTCCGACTTTCACTGTAACATATACGTACAATTAAACAATAAATTCCAATATTATCAGCAAATTATTTTAAGCATTTTAAAGAATATATTAGCTTATATTAGCTTTTCTAGGGGCTAATTTTAAGTAAATAAATCTGCACTTACCACTTCTCGTCTCCTCCTTTCCTGTTCTTGTTGCCTCTGTCTCTCTCTGTCTGATATTCGGTCTGAACCGGAACTGAGTGATCCGGGTGAAGTGCTGCCCTCTCCAGGCGAGGATCGCAACTCTTCCACCCTTTGACTAGGAATGGGTTGTTCTCTTTCAGCTACCGCTTTCCTATAAGAAATAAAAATAAAAAATGTCTATACCGGATTCATCTCTCCAAAAAAGTCCTATATGAGTATTTCGCCACTGCAAGAAATTCTACAAAATAAAATAGTTATTTTTTGTATTTTTTGTAAACACTGCTGCGTTAATTGTCATAAAACACACTTAGATCCATTTTAACACACTATAAACCAATGAATACTGAACAACAAACAAAAAATGTAATATATAAAATGCCATGTGAATGCAATAAATTTTATATTGGTGAAACATCCAGACCTTTAAATGTTCGAATTAGAGAACATAAAGATTATTTAAGAAAGGGCGACTTTCACAAATCTAAGATTTGTCAGCATTCATGGACACAGGGCAAAGAATAGATTAGCCTCTAAAAGAAAAAGAACAAATTATAAGCAAATTAAAAATAATCATACAAAAAGTTTGAAGCTTTTTGGTTTTACCTTATTAAGTAATTGTTATCAGGTAGTAATTGTTTAACTTGTAGTAAATTTTAACTTGATATAATGTCATTTTAACAGAAACGTCAACGGTTTTTGTACACGTGTTTGTTTTAAAAAAACTAAAGTGTTCTCGAATAGTTGCATTTAAATATTTTAAATAGTCTTTCCTTTGTTCTTTGTATTTTTTTGCTTCCGACGACGGAAAGAGATAAACTTTCCGAAACGTTAAGCATTTTTTGTCCGTCAGGTAGATTTGTTTATTGGTAGACCACTGCTGACAATTAGTCTTCGTTGGATTAATGCAGCAATGTTGACAAAGAATAACTATTTTATTTTGTAATTTTCTTGCAGTGGCAAAATACCCATATAGGACTTTTTTGGACAAAACAAATAATCTCCCTTTGTATAGCTATTTTGAGGGGGACTTGCACCATTGCAATAAAATAATAAATATTAAAGAATATGTAAAAAATATTTTTTAACAGATGTAATATACCTATTAAAGTATAATTTATGTAGTTATAAACATTATACAAACCTGGCTTTCTCTAATGCTTCTTGTTCTTCAAGCTCCCTCTTCCTTTCCATTTCTTGCCGTAACCTCTCCCGCTCCGCTTGTTCTTTTTGCTGTCTCTTCAACTCCAAATTTTCCAACCTCTGCTTTTCACGATCGGCTTTCTCTTTCGCTTTGTTCTGGAAAGCTTTAAAACTATCCATAACCTGAAAAAATATTTCATAAGAAATTTTTTGAATAAAACTTTTAAGACGATATACGTAATTAATTAAAAAACAGCAGATTTAGTCGTGATTGACCAAGTTACGAAAAAACTCAAAATTTAAGCGAGGATGCAGTCAATACTCACCACGTAGGCTAATAAAACTACTTTTTCAATTTGTCAAGCTTTCGAGAATTTTATTCCCATCATCAGGACAGTTTGAATGAGTCAATTAACAAAATAACATCCATAAGGCCTTAAATAATAACATCATAGGACATTGGATTCACAAGGAAATTTCCTTTATAAAATATTACAATAGATATACATCTAACGGCATTCTTCTTCAAAAAATCACTCAAAAATAAATTGCTACATTGTTGTTTTGAGCTCGATCAAACAGTAACTCTGTATTATTAATTAAATATACCGTATGATCGAGAAAAAACGGCGTCAAAGGCGGCTGGGGAATGACTATCGATGCTATTTTTGACGAGTTAGAACTCTAGACGTCAGTTACTGAGAACTGACATAAAATTTGTCAAAAATTAATACCTTATATAGGAAAACCAGAAAAGAATAGAAAGTTTCCAGATACACATATCTATTTCCAAAAAATGTTTTTTCAAATGTTTCGATCTGCACCAGTTCTACTCAATAAAAAATCGATATTAAATCATCCTTAATGCAGTAAACGCCTTTAAAAATAAAGAAGAGCAAGACCAGTAAGACTCTAACCTAACTAAATCTCGTCGTCCGACAAGCCTCCGATCGAGACATTTCGACAACATTTTTGATTATTGTATTGTTAAAATGTACGGATTAGCCTTTTATTATTGTTTCATACACACTAGACCGTTCAGATTTACTAATATTGCGTTAATTATAGCTGTAAATAAAAATGTGTGTTTAATACCAGTAAATAATCCGTTAGTTGATGGAAGAAGTATCGTGTTTATCGACAAAATTAATTGTAGGCTTTTAAATTTTGCCTAATATGGTCATATTTTACAATATTCAACTCATAATTGTCGATACTTCTGGTGGATGATGTTCAATTTATACATATATAAAATATAAACAAACCAAATTGAAGTACTAGAAGCAATAAGGTGAGATAGTTATTTTTACGAATCCCTTTATTATTACTTCTTTACTTATAGAGTATCTGTTTCTGTGTATGCCTAAGTTTCTGTTTTCCAAGAAGCATATTAATTAAATGAACAAAACTGTGTCCAAGAAATAATCTATTGCATAGAGAATTTAATGAAAACAAAATTGGTGATGCTGTGTTCAAGTAAAGTTCCATGCAGGAATCAATGGTTATTGCTAAAATATTTTATTGGTGTATTGTCAATTTTATTTACTTATATATTACGTTATTTAATCTCAATAATTTTAGGCTCCTAAGTCATTTATTTACATACTTAACTTTTAACGTAACTACTGGTAGATTGTAGGAAATAATATACACATTGGAACAATTTAAGTAAATAAATGAATTAATATAATACATACATCAAGAAGTAATGTATAATTTTACAAAAAGCTGTATTAATCACTTTCGAAAATCATAATTGTTTTTTTTAGTAAGTCGCAGACAAATATTTTAGGTTTGTTATTAAATTAAATGATAATGTAATAAGTACAGATTTAGACTCTTGAACCAGGCATAGTATATTAATTAGTAGGGTTCACAGTAAAACATATTTTGTAATACCATTCGAAAGAAAATAAATACCTATATTATACTGTTTATAAAGTGAGTTTCATTGTAACATAACTTAAGAAAACAATTAATATGCATATGTCAATCATAAGAAAAGAATCTATTAATTTAATGAACTATACCCATAGTACTCGGCAAACAGTAAACCAAACCAAAGAAACTAAGACTTACAGTGTTAGATCATGTAGTATATAAATATTTTAATTTTATCATTTAATAAATAAATACAATATAAAATTTAAAATGCCAATTTTTTATTTTAAAACAAGTGATTTATATATGTATAAACAATTTACAATTATTTATCATTTAATTTATTGGCCACAGCTTCCGGGATTATAAGGCTAATATTTTGGTGCCTATAGTGCCTATATCTCAAAAAAGAATAATTAAGAGTAATTAATGATTAAGTATCCCTGTATTTTTAAATGTTGAATCTTATGGACTGAAAAAACTGCTGATGATATTTCTACTTTCACTGACCAAAGATGCAGAAACCTAGAAGAAATTTAAAAACAAATTGTACAAACATTTTAAGGTTTTCCTTAAATCCTCTATACAATAGACTATTTCTTGGACATAGTTTTGTTCATTTAATTTGTTTCTTAGAGGTTATACACAGCTGTAGATATTCTATAAGTAAAAAGTAATAATACAGATTCGAAAAATATCCCACCTTACCGTTTCTAGTACTTCAATTTAGTGTGTTTATATTTTATACATGTATAAAATTGAACATCATCCACCAGAAGTATCAACAATTATGAGTTGAATATTACAAAATATGACCATATTAAGCAAAATTTAAAGGCCTACAATTAACCTTGTTGATAAACACAATACTTCTTCCATGTATAGTAATGAACACACATAACTGGTTTACAGCTACAGTTTTACTAAATCTGAAGGGTCTAGTGTGTATTAGACAATTACAAAAGGATAATCCATACATTTTAACAGTAGAATAATCTGATTTTTGTTAACGAGTTATCGAAATGCCTGGAACTGGGACGGGCGATTGTTAGGTTAGAGCCTTTTTGATTTTTCTCTTCTTTACTTTTAAAGACGCATTTAGTATTAATTACGATTTACTGGATTTACCTAATATAGATTTTTTATTAATTAAAACTGGTATAGTTCAAATTATCAGAAAAAAATATTTTTTGGATATAGATTTCTGTATCCGGAAACTTACTATTGTCTTCTAGATTTTCTACATTTAGTATTCAATTTAATTAAAATTTAATTTTTTTGAAGATCTTTAAAGTGAAAAGAAGAAGAATTTTAATTAACTAAAAAAATCAAAATAAAGTTAATTAACTTTGAGCAGAGTTCGACCTCGTCAAAAATAGCATCGATAGTCATTCCCCAGCCGCCTTTGACGCCGTTTTTTCTCGATCATACGGTATTAGAACCAAACATTTTTTGCGCAGTTATTCTATACCCTCTGTATACAGGGTGGTCCGAACTGTATTCCGGAAACTTCGGCAGCATATTCTGCAGATAAAAATAAGAAAAAGAGTTCGTATAAATGTATGTCCCAAAATGCTTAGTTTCGAAGATACAGGGTGTAGAAGTTTCATTTTTATTTCGATTTTTTCCAAATAATTTCTGAAGTAACGGGAATATTTGGATGAAAATTGGTATCTGGGAGTTTTTTGACATGAGAAATTTAATTTTGATGTCAATATGACTCTTATTTGTAGAGGGCGCCACCTACATGTGTTTTAACTGATTTGAAGAGTAATAACTTTTCGTCCGTACCTGTATAAAACTACTGAGTAAAAAATATACTTTTCCGTGACTTTTTACGTAAAAAATGTCTCCTGGTAAAAATCGCTACGAGCAACCGTTCTCAAGATATAATGGAAATAGTTAATACATGTCACTATTGACACAAAGTAAACACGTTGAGTAGATAGTTATTTGACTAAAATAATAAATTTGTGAAATTTTGAAAAAAAAATCTGCGAAAAAATGATGATAAAACATTTTCTGTTGAACTTTTGACACAAAAACATTTCAAATTTATTATTTCAGTCTAATAACTATTTATTCAACATGTTTAATTTACGTCAATGATGACAGGTATTGATAATTTCGGTTCCAAATATCTCGAGAACCATTACTCGTAGCGATTTTTACCAAGAGACCTTTTTCGTAAAAAACATCGCAAAATGTATATTTTTTTACTCAGTAGTTTTATACATGTAAGGACGAAAAGTTATTACACTTGAAACCAGTTAAAAAATATGTAGGTGGTGCCCTCTACAAGTAGGAGTCATATTGATATTAAAATCAAATTTCTCATGTCCAAAAACTGCCAGACACCAATTTTCATCCAAATATTGACGTTACTTCATAAATTATATGGAAAAAATCGAAATAAAAATGACACTTCTACACCCTGTATCTCCGAAACTAAGCATTTTATAACATATATTTATAAGAACTTTTTCACTTATTTTTATCTGCAGAATATGCTGCCGAAGTTTCCGGAATATAGTTCGGACCACCCTGTATAATACATCGATACTTAAAATACCAACTTTCACAAATTCTCTATTACTTAATACAAATAGCACTAAGTTATCACAAATAACAGTCAATTCGGCTACAGATTTAACATACCTGTTGTCTACTAGTTCCGGTAGCATTATTCTGCGGCGACCCCGCTTTAGCTAGATTACTCCAAGACGTGGCATTCTTAACGTCAGGTTTGACCTTGAAGCCGGTCATACCAACGAACGATGGGATGGGCTTCTGATCGGGAATAGTCGTATGTGGTGGTTTTTTGTCGACTAATCCAAACGCGTCGCCCGATTCTTGCTTGAGTCCTTCCTTCTTTATTTGTGCATTGTTTATTTGTTGAGGGAGTGGGTCAAACATTGAGGGGATAGACATTTCCATTGGCAATCCTACAGACGTCATGCCGTTATTGTTCGTGTTCATTGTAGAGTCGTATTCGTGTTTCATACTGTAACCGTTGTTCTGCGTGTGGATAGCGGGATGTTGAGGGTGAGGGTGACCCTAAAAATGTATTTGTATAATAAACAGGCCAAACAGACAATATTAATGTTTCTTTAAGAGTATTATAAAAACAAAGTTTCTTTAACTACCAACGGTTAGTTGATTGAAGAAATAAGAAGAAACCTTCTGGGCGATTTCGTGGCACAAAACCTGTTCATTTAGCTGGCGACACCGTCGTCGCTAGTCAACCTATCCGAGATTTAGTTTAGTTCTGCGCCGCTGCGCGCGGATAGTCGTTTACAGCACAGCGGATAAAGAATACTGTACCATAGCTCTGCTTTCAGTCGATAGATAGTGGGTGTTTGCCGGAGACAGTGTTGCCAGAACTACGGATTAATCCATATATTTACGGATTTTGGGTACAGTCCATTAATAATACGGATTTTCATTAAACAGTTTAATATACTATATGATTAAATAAAAATCGTGTCAGAGTTGGCTTGGAAATGAAAATCGCTGCTATTTCATATGTACAATAATACGGCAAATGTCAATGGTCGTCATTTCCAAGCCAACTAAACTACTTTTTTCGATGATACGAAATATTCGGTACCTATATCTATGTTTAACACGAATAAACTTTCAATACTTAAACGCAGATTTTTCATCCAAAGACATTTTCGTCAAACATATTACACAAATTACATATTTTAATATGGCAACACTGTCGCTTTCAGTTCCACACCGTCTTCGATATACCTTCGCAAGCCGAATTAGAGAAAATGAGTATTTTATGCGTTGGCCGCAGAACGTGTGGAGGCTCCACCGTACAGCACTTGAGATATAAGGGGAAATAAAATCAGCCTTGCCACGAATTTGCCCATTAGGTTGCGTATCTCTCCAATTATTTCAATCAACGATTGATTACACGGATGCAGAGTGCGATATATACAAATAACCATTTGTGTACCAGTGTATTTTAACCGAGAATACTACTTCAAACGATGATATTCTCTAATAGTGAGACACCCTCTAAAATGGTTAAAAATATGACCTGTTAATTACTAATACGCCAATAAGAAGTAACAACTACTATTATTAGTAATCGTAAAAAGTTACATACAATTATTTCAAAAACTGTTACGTTTAGGTAAAGACAACTTCATAGAAAGTTTCCTTTATTTTTGACGCTGAATAAAACAAAAAGAAAAAATGTAGGTTTCTCTTTGATATGATAGATTTATGTAGTTTTTGAATGTAATTTTATCACAATTTTTGTTATCACACAGAATAATATTAAATTAGTTTCTATAAAAATCTACATGTAACGTAAAATTTATGATTTACTTACGAATATCATTTTTAACATAAAATTTAAAATATTTCAAAAACTATAAGTATAGAGGATTATACATATGATATGGTTAATTGTAAATTCAGTAACTATAACCAGCTTGAATATTAAAAATGATTTAAAGAAATGTAAACGTACCAATCCTACTTGCTGCATCAAGCTTTGCATATCATGGTCCATGTGTAGATTGTGGTGTTGACTAGTCAAAGGGTTCGGAGGCATTCCACCCATATTGCCGATGGTAATGGGAGGTTTAATTTCAGTGGTTCCGATCATCGAGTTCACTGGTATTATGGGATGATGCGTTGCCATATTTGAAATAACTGGACCAACGTGTGGTTTACTCTGCGCAAAACAATTTAAATAAGAAAACATAAGGTACACACTATAATATATCAAGTGCTCTGATGTCAACTCCACAAACTTTTAACAGTTAAATAAATTTTACACCATTTTTTTTGTATTATTTAACCAAGATATTTTAATGTAGATTCTAAATAACAGTATAAACTGGTGTATATTAAAGTAGCTTGTTAAAGTTTGTTAGGTTAATGATCACCATAGTTACTCATAATTAATAGAGTTAAGCTTGATTTTCATGCATCCGTTGTCCGACGATACGTTTATACGATATTAATTTTATTGGTAGAATTTAAAGACTTGGTTGGTTAGAAATAACGCAGTTTTTAAATTTATTGCATTTTCATGCCTCCGTTTATCGGATATACGTTGGTGTCATTTTATATTTTCGTTTCCATAACGATTTTGTTATTTTACTTATATTTTTATTTATTAATATTATACGTTATACGTATCAACGTATAACGGATGAATCAAGCTTTAAGCTTGATTTTCATGCATCCGTTATCCGACGATACGATGATACGACATTAATTCTATTGGTTAATTTAAGTACTTCGATTAGTTTGAAAATTATGCAGTTTTTAAAATTTTATGCCTCCGTTTTTCGGATATACATTGGTGGAATGTCATATTTTCATTTCCATAACGATTTCGCTGTTTTACTTCTATTTTTATTCAGGTTAGATTGAATTTGTCAACAAAATGTCAAAACGTTCGTTACCGTACGAAAAGTTAAATTTATTTCAACTTCCTTAGTTGACGGGCTGAAGTAAAAAATTTACGGATGAAAAGTACAATCAGAGACCCGTCGGACTATCGTATCAACCGATAACGGATGTATGAAAAACAAGCTTAATTCAACTTTCTTAAGAAAGTAACGGATAAGGAAAAAAAAATGGATAACGTAGGATCAATTTCTCAGAAATAACTCAAAGTTACCCGATTCTGCCTTAACTAAATAAAAATATGTTTAAGAGAAAATGGATTCGTTAGAGTTTATAATTGGATCAGAGTATACAACAATTAATTCTCTCCTAAGACAAAATATGTAAGGAATAAAATGGAAGGGTAATGGAAAACAGGAAGGGGTAGACGAATCTAGAAAACCCAATCCCTACCTGACTAATCGTCGTCATCGACGACAATATACTCTCCATCGGCTCCGTCTTAACCAGATCGTGCTCCAAATTAGCTAGACTCTGTTCTATGGGATCGGTGTAGGGTGCGGTACCCGTCGTCAGAGGTGACATTACTTCGGGTTTCGGTTTATCCGGCGAAGGTGCCAACGCCGTTGCGGTCGTTCCCTTAATAGTACCGCCCACAGGGGCAGCAGGGGGTTGCGCGGGTGATGGTGACTGTATCGTGGGTGGTTTGTCGCTGGTGGATTGTTTGCGAGTAGCTGGAGAAGCTATAGGTGCCGTGGCCACAATCGGTTTAGCAGCCAGCACCGGACCGTTGACAGGTAACGTTACCGGTGGTGGTTGTTGAGGTGCGGGAGGGGCGGAATTGACTGAGGGCGTGGCCGAGATGGTTATGGGCGCGACGGTAGGCGTCGCGGTCGTGGACGACGATTTTTGTAGAGTTGTGGTGATAGACTGAGAAAAACGTATTGTAAGTATAGTTGAATAGGTAATTAGTGTTATAAGAACCTGCCACAAAAATTTTGCAACAAATAGGATTTTTTTTCTTTATTAATTGAAGAGCTGAGAAAAAATCTATGGTAAAAAAATATGGCACTGCTAGACATTTGCCGACTCTAACTAAATAAACTCATTAAAATAAGTAAGCGACCATACCGACTGGGGATGAACCCGATATTCTTTGGCCAGCAGCATACACGCTTGCCACTGAACTACGGCCGGTCGTGCTTTTTTAAGTAGCATGCCCAATTGATTCCTCATAAGATGTTTTTAGATAAAAATTAATAAAAAGAATTCCCATTTGTAGCAAACTTTTTCGCTGACAGTCCATCTATACCGATTTGGTCATCGAAACTGTGCGGTCTGGATTTTACCGCGTAAGACACTGATGTAGACAGCTTAATGAAAAATCAAATGAATTAAAAAGAGATAAAAATTGGGTCGACGCATTTCTTCTATGCGGTATTGCCGGATTTTGCATCAAAATTTCAAACCGCACAAGTAGGCGTTTACGAAAAATGTTGCATCTAGAGTTGGAACATCTAGACTTGTTGCATCTATATTTTTCACTATTAGTTACTCATTTTACTACAACTGTAATTTTTTTGATTGAATTTAGTTTAGATATATTATAATCATTTCAGTAGTATACATGTAAGTTTTAAAAATAGCTTATATTTTTCTATACACATTTTCCTACAAACGCAAAAAAAACCGGCAACACTGTATGCCGCTTGTGATTTTGTCTCTCTGTCTGTCAACCGGTCATTTATATTATTCTCTGTCACACGTATTAAAATCCAGACCACATGAATTCGATGACCAGCAGGGTATGTGTATAGTATAAAGACTTTAATGATACTAATGACAGTCCTTTATGAGATATAAGTTGTTACATTTTAACACACTGTGACTATCAAAGATACCTTTAAAGCGCCATAATACTAAAAACTACATACATAATATGTTACTTAATTTGAGTACTTTTTTATTATTTAGTTAAAGCTTGATTTTCATACATCCGTTGTCCGACGATACGTTGATACGATATTAATTTCATTGGTTGTATTTTAAGGCTTCGATTGGATAACCGTATAACCGTGTCTAACCAATCGAAGTCTTTAAATCAACCAATAAAATTAATATCGTATCATCGTATCGTCGGACAACGGATGCATGAAAATCAAGCTTAACAGACATCAGAAAGAACAAATTAGAAAATGATGCTAGACCCTTTTGTAATAACCACAACAATAACAAAATAGTCCCAACACAAATTTACGGGGTGTTTCAAAACAAATGTGCTAACTCTCGTGGGGAAATTCGTCACGTAAAAATAAGATTTATTTTTTATATCAACATATGTTCGATTCTGCTTTGTTTCGTAGCTACAGGGTGTTAAACTCTTAATAATCTTTCGATATATTTTAATTTTCTTCCAAGTACTTTTAGTGATTCAAATGAAATTTTGAGGGTAAAACTTACTAAGTGCTACATATTTTAATGCTAAAAAAAGTGTCGATAAATTTATCATCGACATATGGGTTATCACTAGAATATTTTTCAAAAAAAAAATGCGCCACTGACCTTTTTCTTTTGATATCAAAATTGTGTAGGCCGTTTAATGCCAATTAAAAGTTATCTCTTGATATTTTGTCGAATTCGACCGGTATCTTATCAAAGAGGCCGAATTCGACAAAATATCAAGAGGTAACTCAATAACGCAAAATGCAATTTTATTAATCACAATTAATAAAACTAAATTAAAAATAAAATTAATAAATTATACAGGGTGTCATTGAAATGGTGTACAAAAAATCGGGGAGTGATAGTACTCCTAAAAATAGTAAAAAAAGTTCCTATAAGTGTAGGGCGGAAAATGCATATTAAGGGAGTTAGGGGCACTGAAAGGGTGAATTTAAAAAACGGTTGTTTTGAAATTGTAGGCTTCAAAAACGAGATAAAATTTCGAAAAAAAATCCTCTGCCATAAATTTTGACCCTAAATCAAATACTGAAAAATTATTTGGAAAAGCGGAAAGGGTAGTTTTTGCAAGGGTAGGGGGTTATTTCTTGAATAACTTTTTGAGGTTATTTTTTTTGCAACTTGGGTTCATTTTTTGAAAACTACATACTTTTTCCTACAAAAAAGGTACTCTTGTTGCACATCGACTAGAGCGATGGTTTTCGAGAAAATTGAAGGCAAAGAGTTTGCTCTGATGGGTTGCTAACTGGTTAATCAACATAAACTTATGTTTATTATTTTTAAAATTATTTGATAACTACTTGGTTACTTTTGAACCACCATAACTTTGGTGGTTCAAAAGTAACCAAGTAGTTATCAAATAATTAATTGAAGAATCAAAATTTCATGATTTTTAAAACATCTTATTGCTTTAAAAAACGAAATAATTCAATTACCAAAATTGAATGCATACTTATTCGATTCATTGAAGGTATGCGGTCTTATCACTATTTATTTCGTATGTACGAAAAAAAAAAGTTCTGGTTCACAAGTATTTTAGCCAGTTTATTGTTGTTGAAGTTGCGTAAACGTGAAATTTGACAAATACACTGTGCGTGAACTGGCAGATATGCATTTTATTTATGGAAGAGCGAACGGAAACGGTCTTTTGGCTCAACGTTTGTATGTCCAAAAATATCTGAATCGCAGGGCATCTTCTCACCGGATATTTGCGAGAATTCATCAGCGCCTAAGAGAGACAGGCTCATTTCAATCCAGAAACCAAGATCGTGGCCGTAATTTGACGGTACGTACGCCTGAGGTTGAGCTTTTCCAAATTATTTTTCAGTATTACCATTTGATTTAGGGTCAAAATTTATGGCAGAGGATTTTTTTTTCGAAATTTTATCTCGTTTTTTAAGTCTACAATTTCAAAACAATATTTTTTTAAATTCACCCTTTCAGTGCCCCTAACTCCCTTAAATGCATATTAAGGGCCTATACTTATAGGAACATTTTTTACTATTTTTAGGAGTACTATCACCCCCCAATTTTTTTGTATATTGTCCCCGTATATTTTACTTAATTTATTATTAAATATTATTACTATTACCAACCTACAGCAATTTCAAATAAAAAAATAATTGTATTTAAGATAATTATTAAAAAAAATAATTTTAAAAAGTTTTAACATCCTGTAACTCTAAAACTATGCATTTCGATGCCCATGTTTACAGGAACTTTTTTCCATATTTTTTGATGAGGAATCAATGAGTACTTTTAAATTAATTTAAAACTTACGCAAGTTAATGATATTAAATTTTCACGTTGCTATTAGACTTGAATCAATGCAAATTAATAAAATTGCGATTATCTCATAAAAAACATAAACTTACCAAAAAAGTTTTTTTTGTAAGTTTATTTTAGGAATTTGATCGTTGTAAGATCATAAAATTTTCAGAATACCCTCGTATTTCTGTATCCAATAAGGCTAATAAAAAATTATCCAACAGTACTACGATTTTAATCTGGTACAGCGATTTTAATTATTTTAATATTTTACTTACCTGGCATAATCAATATAACAAACAAAAACCTCAAAGTGTTAAATAATACTAACCAAAGTCGTCGATGCAATACTGCTAGGGTGAACCGAAAGATTAGGCGATTTTTTCAATCCAGGTTTCTTCTTAGTCTGTCTTGTTGTCGCACCAGGACCTAAAAATCCATCACTCAGCCCATAGAATCTTTATATCAGAAGTGGACTCAGGAGTAGCAACGAAAATGATGAGGGAGTTAGATCAGTTTTACGCTTCCTGATAAAACTGTTTTATAGCTCACAAGTTTATTTACAAAATATTGATTCGTTTGGATTTACTTTAACTGTATAGATATAGTAATCGCAAAACAATTTTCGATGCACGTGATCAACTTTGAGCGACAAGCGATGGCGACAGCGCTGGCAGATTGTGATGGATTTATGAGATGAATCTTAATTTACAAATGACAAACAATATATTTATATATTATATCATTTTTTAATGAGTTTTATTTTTAGTTTTAATTTAATAAGTAATATTTTATTAATTAATCGATTTATTTGTTTTATAGCTTATTTTACTTATTACATATTGGCAAAAACTAGTCCATTATGATTATTCTAAGCGTTATTATGGGTTATTTATTTATTGATGTACATCTTACAACGCCATAAGTGGTAATAACAAGTAAGAGAGTGCTTAATGCAGAAGCTAATAATCACAGAATTTAATAAAAACTAACGTAGAAATAACTTTGAAAGTGGTGTAGTAATGAGATTACCAATCAAATTTACTTCTCTGACTGCAGTCAAGGGTAATAAAGGACCTTTATTGTCACGTTCTTGTTCAAAATAGTTTATCAGGGAAGCTACAAGCTCTTTGTTTCGACTGTTTAAATGCTTCGGCATATTTTCAACACACAATTTCAAGAAATGCCATAAAAAAATCGAAAACTTAGTTCTTAAAAGAACTGTTTGTGCTTTTAAAGTACAATTAAAAAAAACTATGAAAATAGGCAAAAACGAGAATTACCCGCAAAGATTCAACAACACGATATTATACAAAATAATGACTTAGGATTATCAAATAACAAACGACAACCTAGCTGAAAATGGCGCAATATGGCCAACATAGCGATAATAAAATTCGATTTAAACTAATTTTTGCAGCTTTAATCTAAATAAAATATCTGTTACAATCATTTGCTCTATAAAGTAAAATGAAGAGCTGCTCGGTATCTTAAATTATACAACATAAAAATCATTTTTGCCAAAATTTCATTTAGTCAGGTTTATAGACTTTAATGTCAATGTCGATATGATTGATGACGTGCATCATGAAAATGTTTTGCGATTACAATAGATCCTAATTTTTAAAGGAAATAAAATTATAAATAATATAAGAGTCCAATAATATATACATATATATATATATATATATATATATATATATATATATATATATATATATATATATATATATATATATATATATATATTGATATATTATCTTGATTGATATTATATTGATTAACGAAAATTTGAATTATAGTTTTTTTTAATATTTAGAAAAGCATGAATCGTATGAATGAATATTTAATATAAAAAAGAGCATGACTTTATGTGACTAATACCATAAAAGCAAAATTTTTAAAAATTATAAAAATAAAAGTTATTCAGAATCTGATTTTACGTTAATAAATATGCCAAGTTTAACCACTAAAGACATTTCCGAAGCATCTCCGAATATATTTGTTTGTTTCTAGGCTATGCAGAATTAATTCCACGTATAGATTTATTTTGATAATTCAATAACAAAAAAGAGTAAACCAGAATCATCAATAAAAAGAAAAAAATTGACTAAAAAAATGATTCACTTTGATTTTTTGTAATATTTTAAGACATTGCCATTCCGCCTATGCAAAAAATAGGTAGTAGGATAAAATGTAGGTCTTACCGCAACTGTGCGAGGGATAGCCAACAAAACCACCACTTATAATAAATTTAATAATAAATTTTATTTATATCAGACAATGTTAGGCTAACACTCTCATCTCATCCTGCTGTTATATAATATACAAATCTTGGTTGCGGCATAAAAACGGCCATCTGCAAACACTACATCTAACAGGCAAGATATAAGTTCTTTATTCTTAACTTTATAAAGGGACTCGTGTTCGAGCGAAATTTATATACAAATTGTTTATTTATTTACACGATCACCTCTCAGAAATATAAGTGGAAAATTAATTAAAACAAAAGAAAAAAGGAAATAATGACAATAGAAGTATATTTGTATTAAAAGTTTTAAGGAAAAAGTACATAAAAACAAAAAATATAATTGTAAAAAATGAACAATATTAAATACAGAGTGCAAATAAAAATATTATTTCTTTGAAACGTTTACGTGGGAATCCAGTATGTACAACCATACTGTCTTATAGAGACAAAAAATATATAACATACCTTAAGAATAAATTTAAACTTATATTGAAGATCTTATACAGTTTTACATAAAAATCTATGTAACCTTTACATAGTTCAATTCTTTTCACATGAGGAAATTTGCAGTAATACTCTCCATGATATGAAAACATCGTTTCAAGTTTTTAGACGAAAACTTAACAAAAGTAAATCGGGCATATTAATTATTTAGTCTTGCCTGAGTGCAAACAATGTGAATGGAGGCCAGCGACCAAATACAATCAATGTTAATTATATTATTTTACATACCATACAAGTTACCACTATCACATTATAGTTGAAGAGTTAGTAAATCAACTACCATAAATAATATATTCATGTTTATTTAAAATTTAATGTTCATCCCCCAAGTATCAAATTAAAAATTTTACTATTAGTTTCAAATTACGTTTTAACAAAAGTCCTAAATACATTATATAGAACGCATATTGTTTTTATGTCCATTTTAAACAAGGTTTTTCTTTTGGTCGTATATCAGAATAAGACGTCAAATATCGCCTCAAAATATATACAATATCTCACAGAAATGTAAGACGTTTAAAAAGAAAAATGATTTAACGGTTAATCTAACACAACGTATGACAAACTTAAACGCAACGTACTTGTTTTGATATACAAACTAAAATTTTATTATAATTAATAAAATATATTTTACTATAAATTGCAATTTGATTTGGTAAATTAGAGAAGTCGTAAATATTTAACTATCCTTGATACCAATTAAATTTTTAGTTACGTAATCGAGGGCGGGATTTTTAAATTCATTGTTGCCAACTATGGACATATTCAACGCCGGACTGACTAACTAAAATTTAAATTTCCCGCTGGGAATTCAGGTGGTAGCTGTGCTCTAAAAAATGTAAAGGTGCCACGTTTATTTATTTATTTCCTAACATTGTCATTCGTTTTAACACTTTAGTTTTGTATTACGAGTTTTTGTTTTAAATGAATTGTGTTGTGATACTTTTAAAAATGTTTACTAGCAGACCTTGCAGTCGACCATTGTTCTTTTTAGAACCTCTTTTAGTCCGAAGTGTACAATATAGCTTAATAGCCGTAAAAAACTCATCGCAACTTAGAATATTTTGAACGGGAAAGCGGTAGTAATGGCACTTTGTCCCTAAAGTGCTCTTAAAAAGGTGAGTTTTGTTGATGTAAATAATAACTGTTTATGTATTTATAATTAATTTATTTCATTTATTTTTGTTTCTTAAAATATGTAGAAGTGGGCAACGCTGTGCCGGTCAAGCTTAATCACGTGACTAAAAGTTTATTTGATATAAACTATATATAAAATATGATCACTAAATCAAGTATGCACCTTATGATGAGAAATAAACAAGTTTTCTGAAAACATTAATTTTATTTTAATTGTTCAAGCCCAAGCCAATCACAAACTTTTTGATTGTATATATTAAGATAACTAATAACCGACTTAACCAATTATCTGATTTAAAAGCGCAGGCGTCAATTCTCGTTAAAACTATGGCCGCATTGTAAGTTAATACAAAATTAAGCTATTTAGTTGCTATGTACTTACGGATATTATTTAAGATAATAAATACACTATTTTCGGTAACACGATAAAGACCCTTTTCTAGTAAACTTTAACGTATGATTTGATTTACTACAAATAGATTTATAACAGTTTCCTAACCATCAAAAATATTCGCGCTTATTGACCACCACTTATGTGACTTAATTTTATATATAATTTTTTTTATTTTATAGATGATGAAGAAAATAGTAAAAGAGAAATTTTCATTTTTTATGAATGAATAAAACAGTTTTAACCGCAAATCGATATTCTCTTAAAATCTAGTTGTAAGATACTAGCATCTAACGCAATATAAACCTCAAGTCCGTTCTCAAAACATACCATGGAGGACTTTAAAATGTTGTTTTATTATATACTAAAAATTTAAAAAATGGGATATTATCAGTATATTTCCTAGACGTAATGCATTTAATAATAAATGAGAAAGTTCATTACTTTAATATGCATGAATCTTTTGCTTTGAAATCTTATAGTATGCACCATAGTGTATACACCATAAAAACTAATATTTTTTCCTTAAAAAATCATACCAGGAATAGGGTCAAATATGTAAATTTGGAAAACAAATGGATTTTTTTATTATTACGTTAATAAAAAATAGTTTATGTGAAATTACTTCAACATGCCCAACAGCAAAAAAAAATGACATTTGTCATGTGACAACAGTAAAGGACAACTCAGACGACTCGTATACTTGACAAACATTTGTTATTGGCATATACTTACCAAGTTGTGTGAGTGGTTTACTTGGGCAATTTGGCCGAGTGAGCGCCAAGCTTGTTGGTTACAAATGAAAAAATGTAGTTTACAAATATGGTATATTCGCCTAGTACGCAAATACTGGTGTACTTGCCAAGTATACGAGTTGTCCGAGTCAGGCTTAATAACGACAAATTAAAGAAATATCTATGCAGGGTCGGCAAATTCTGGCTTTCAGTGCCGATTTTCGAATGTTCGAAGAGTGCAATACATTAAGATGTACTAAACAAAGAAAGAAGGGCAATTATTTTTCCAAGCGCATGAAATATAGCGTCGGTTTAAGTGGTTACGTAAAGCCTAGTTCATGCACTTGCGAATTGCGATTTACGAATTGCGAAATGCTTTCTGTTTGCCTTGCAATTTGTCGCTTTCAAGGTCTCCTTTGAAGGCGACCAATCAGAACGAAAACAGAACGTATTCCGCAATCCGTAAATCGCAATTCGCAAGTGCATGAACTAGGCTTAATAAACACTTTCCATTTTTCGTTTGTAGGAACATGTGGGTAGAAAAATATAAGCTATCTTAAAAACTTTATGAAATGAAGATAATATATCTAAGTATATTAATATAATCTATTACAACTGTAGTAAAATGAGTAACTAATAGTGAAAAATAAAGTTCAACCATTTTTTTTGTAAACGCCTACTTGTGCGGTTTGAAATTTTGATGCAAAATCCGGCAATACCGTATAGAAGAAATGTATCGACCCAATTTTTATCTCTTTTTAATACATTTGATTTGCCATTAAGCTGTCCACATCACTGCCTTACACGTTAAAATTCAGACCGCACAGTTTCGATGACCAAATCGTTATAAATAAATACCGAGCCAAGACGATAGGACATATGCGAAAAGTTGGGTTATGGTTTTTATTGATGGGTATGCTAAAGCAATTCCACATAAGATTTTTTTACTCAACAATTTTATCAACTTAATAATAAAAAATATCCTATTTGTTGCAAACTTTTTCACAGACCCTGTAGTACGTTTTGCAAAAAGACTTGTGGAGTGAATGACAGAAAAATCTAATGCTATCGAACAACCTAACCAAACTAATATGAAAAGCCACCAGATGACGAGGAACGATGCCGCCACACACATTGTCTGCATTTGAAATGTAGCGTTTGCCTAATTATTTATCTGACGTTATTGTTACGTATAAATTGTTTTATCAGTAGTTTTATCGAATGTACAGACTTGAAGTTGCGGTAAGACCTGTATGGCGCTGGCCGGTGCTGCTGCCCCCATCATTTCGTATGCACTCAAGACTGGTCCAGGGGAGTATTTTACAATATTCTTTAAAACATGCTTTGCGAAGCGCCACCTAAACCAATTCGCTGAGATGGCCCATCGTTAGCTGAATACCATACGATTAATATTTGAATTTGCTCGATTCCTCTATCAATTTATAAAAGCCGACGACTAATTTTTAAATATACAAGTTGGTCCGAACTGTATTCCGGAAACTTCGGTAGCATATTCTGCACATAAAAATAAGTAAAAAAGTTTGTATAAACGAATGTCCTAAAATGCTTCGTTTCTTAAATGCAGGGTGTAGAAGTTTCATTTTTATTTCGATTTTTTTCAAATCATTTCTAAACTATAGTCGAGATTTGGATACAAATCGGTGTCTGGATGTTCTTTGACATGAGAAATTTGATTTTGATGTCATTATGACTCCTATTTGTAGGGGGCGCCACCTACATGTGTAACTGTTTTGAAGAGCAATAACTTTTCATCCGTACCTGTATAAAATCTACTGAGTGAAAAAATATACATTTCCGCCATTTTCAACATAAAAAATGTCTCTTGGTAAAAATCGCTATGAGTAACAGTTCTCAACATATTTAGAATGAAAATTGTCAATACGCCTCATTATTACAAAAAAATAAACATGTTAAATAGATAGTTTTATTTGACTGAAATGATAAATTTAGAAACTTTTTATTTTTTAATTGTTTTCATCGAAAAAATAATGATAAAACAGCTTATAACATTCAGTCTAATAACTATTTCGTCAGCATGTTTAATTTAGGTCAATTATGATAGGTATTTATTTTATTTTGATTACAAATATCTCGAGAACCATTACTCGTAGCGATTTTTACCAAGAGACCTTTTTTACGTAAAAAACGTCGTAAATGCATATTTTATTACTCTTTTGTTTTATACAGGTACGGACAAAAAGTTAATTAATCTTCAAATCATTTAAAAAATATGTAGATGGCGTCCTCTACAAGCCAGAGTCATATTGACATCAAAATCAAATTTCTTATGTCAAAAAATACCAAGACGCCAATTTGTATCCAAATAACGACTATCGTTCAGAAATTATTTGGAAAAAATCGAAATAAAAAATTCTACACTCCACATCTCGAAACGAAGCATTTTAGGACATACAATTTATGCAAACTTTTTTTACTTATTTTTTTATACAGAATATGCTGCCGAAGTTTCGGGAATACAGTTCGGACCACCCTGTAAAATTTATACACTATAATGAAAAACGGTATTAAAAAAAAACTATTAAAACGAACATAATTCAAATATTATCGCACTGTGTTAAACAATTAATCTTTACAATCATTTACATTTTGATTATTGATATCCTTAACATTTTTTTGTACTTTTTTGCTATGGAATATTTTTCTGTAGTATATTAACATTTTCCGAAACTTATTAAGGGGCCCATCGAAGAAGTTTGAATACGAAAAAAGGGATATTTTTCATATAAAATCTTTTTTACATATATTAATAACGTGATACCATTTAAATTATTTTACTCCGTTATTATGTATTACAAATACCAACAAAATATCGCTTTCTATCTTAGAAATATAAGGCTATGCACATAGACATTTTTATGCAAATACAGTCTTTTTTTTTTGCTTTCGTTACTTCCGATTCTTACAACCTAAGCTCGATTTCAAAAGTAAGCGATATTTTGTTGTTTTAGACAACTCTTCAACGACGACACCGTGGCAGTAAAAAAAACGTGCTGTACTATCCTAAGGATAAATAAATATTAATACTAATTACGGATTCGAAAAAGTATATCAAAACAGAGAGTTTTGCACTTTTTATATTTATCCACGTACGTAAGTCTCTCAGAATATGCTATCTTATGAGTCAGTGCTTTTCGAATACTGACCGATTTTTCACTTGCTCTCGGGTATAGCAAAACTTACACTAAATCAACAAATAACTAAAATCTTTTTTTTAAAAAAATGGACGACGAAATGATCACTATCGATGGCACTAAATCTCTATACACGTTTATAATTTATGTCAAATATATATATAGCCTTAAATTTATAATTTTTCTTTTAAAAGTATTATATACAAAAGTGATTTAAGGGCGCTAATACTTAGCCCAGACACGCAAGTAAAAGTGATACAATATTTAAAACAGTAAAAAATCTTTAAATATCAGCGAACGTTAATGAAAATATGACTTTAATAATTTGGTTTAATTATAAAAATATATTTTCAGAACCCGGACTAAGCAAACTCTATATAATTATACTACAAAATAAAGTTTGTTTGTACATATTACGTCGAATGAGCTAGTCTAATCGGAACTGAAATTATAAATGTTCAGTTGGAGTAAGATTTTAACTGACCCAACAAAGTTGGTTGACTGTTTCATATTTTAAAATACTGCCATGTGATTTGTATAATGTTTGTTTCTCTTTTAATAGTAATCCCCATTGAATAAAAACAACTAAGTATGCAGTCAAGAAATTTTTTTATGTATTAAATACAAGTCATTAAATATGCGAGTTGTGCCTTTTATTATTTCTTGTTTTTCATCATTGGTTTTGCGCAATAGATATGTAAAGATACGGCGGCGGCGCACCGTATCTGGAACTTTGTGCCTTTCTCACCTATAGCCCTGCTAAAAAATGTGTAAATGTGTACGCAATAATAAAATAACTTTTTATTACTAAGTAATTATATAAGAGTTATAGTAGTAAAGCACTCAATTATGAAATTAGTTTAGACTGTTTAAGGTTAATTATGTTTTTATTCTTGCATTTTCGCATTTGATACTTTTCAAAAATAATTAGAAGAGGACAATTTTCTGAACTCTACTAGTTGTTTCAGTAGCACGCGCGCATCAGCATTTTGTTATTAAATTAATTAGATTAACATCATTTATCAGACATATTTTTTTAAACAATTTAATTAACTATGCACATTCCCGCGTACGCTAGATTTTAACACATTTAAAGAAATGGAACGCCACTGATGAATCGAAATTCTAACTAGCCATATGAAAATAATTTCGCAGTCTCACTAATTTTGTTGACATACTCATTCCTTAGTCTTTTTATTCAATGGGAATTTACCTTAATTATTTTAAATTTGAAAAAAAAAGAAAAGTATTAGAATACAAGTGTATATTACAATTTCTTTCTTAAAATGACATTATATCGGTCAGATCAGATTAAATAAAATACCCCACTTATCTCGTGCAGAACGAGAGACCAGACAGAGCAAAATTCCGCATATAATGGTATCATCGGTAATTCGAGATCTCGAGAAAGAGAGCGCCCTAAATATCTAGCGAGAAAGCTAACCTGCTTCGCTGTCGCTTGAATCGCTGGAACTACTAGATAGTGACGATGACGAGCTGTCGCTGTCCGAACTGGAACTGGAGGAAGACATTCTGCCAGCACCTGCGCCTGTCGGATCAGCCTTGGCATCTGAAAGAAATTGCTAGATTACGAAATTGTTTCGAGTTTCAAATTTATGTGAAAAAATATTTATTGTCCAACTAAGGAAAACTTTTGTAGATTTGTAAGGTCGCAGTAAATATTAGTTATTACATATCAGTACTGTTATAGATATTAGAATTAGTTATTGGCGGTATTTTTGCAATGAAAATTTTTAACAAATTACGTCAAATCACTGACGTCAATTTTTTTACCCTTGAAATATTAAAAGTTTTGACTTTGTTATTTATAAACTCTACGTATTTATTAATATTAAAAAAAAACAGTGTGTGCACTATGTGCGCCATATTTGAAGTGAAACTTCCTACTAACAGCTATTAAATTGAAGGATTTGAAACACATATTATAGCCTGCACATTGTGGAAATGTGGAATACCACCCAAAATACACACTTTTATGCAAATCCCTAATAACGTTAAAGGTTAAATTTATTTAAGAAGATAAAAAAATTTGAACCTATCAAACAATTCATATTTATAGCGGTTTACAGTAATTTTGTTAAATTATATGAATATTCTCGTTGATTCTTGGTTTGAAATAAAAATGCAAGTTACCAACTCTAATAATTATTCTAAGCTGGCCATTGAGCTAGATGCTTTACTTAGACCGTTATTCAGAAGCTGCAAACCTATCAATAAAAATATGCATGAAAATTTACTTCCTAGCACACAAGTATAGGATATTGGTACACAGGTACAGTATCAAGTATATTATAGTGATTTTCTTAACCGCCTATGGCACAGATCGTTACCCAGAGCAAGTTAAATTGTTTTACAAAGGGGTAGATTCGCGGTAGATCTACCCCGAATGGGGTAGCTGTGACAACACTGCCGTTACCGTTTCCTGACGCTAGCTCGTGTGTCACGGCCAAACGAATTAAAATATCGTGAAATAATTAATAATGTTGTTTAATTTTAGGTTTGTTTTGATGCAAGTGATAAATAAGCTGATAAATAATAGTATTTCTTAAATTTATTGCCAACCACACAAACAAAATCAGAATAGCCAACTATTTAAACCATTGCTGATCGCTGCGTATAATATGTTCTCTATTCAAGTTTGATTAGTAAAATTATGATAAAATTGATAATGAAAATATATATTATATTATAAACATGAAAATCATGCTAAGAGTAGCAAGTTTAAAATGGGCAAAAATACAAACCTTTCTTAGGGGCTTTTTTACTAGGTCCTATTTTGTGATTGACGTCCAAAAGTCTGTCTTCAAGTTCTTTTTTCTTCTCTGCTATTTGTTCTTCTTTTGTTTTGCCAGAAAGCTTTTTGTCTGTAAAAAGATTCTTTGTAAATTATCTTACACTAAATTTATTTTCAAAACGCTATAATAAAATTAAACAACAACCAATGATAGCTAATTCCATGCCATAAATAAAGGAATATGTATTTGGCGACTTTATTTCTCCTCAATTTAACGAAACTAACGCCTCCTATGAGAAAGAACACAAATTAAAAATCCTACAATTATTGTCCTTACTATCATTTTGGGATTTTAATTGTTTCATTATACCATATGCTCAGTGTTCTCATAGAGAAAAAAATTGATATTATAAACGCCACGAATGTTTGGGAGTGATTCATCGCTTGATGAAATTAGAATCGACACGCGCGCTATCATTTTTACATTAAAAACGTAAATTTTTATCGCAGACGTAGGTTTTTAAAGGCCTGGTCTAATCATCTGCCTGCGCTCCTCCTACTTATTCTAAAATGTTAGCGTGATTGACAAAGACGATACTATATCGCGTTTCTTTGATTGATTCGTTTTTGTGCGTCAGCCCATTGGTGTGCTTGCAGTGCGACCAATGGGGAATTCCAGTTTATATTTATAACCAAATATATCGTTTGACAAGACTTTGACAGTTAAAACAACAAATTACAACAGATTATATATTGATTATTATATGACTTGAAACACCACGGCACTGGAATTAAGTTTTATGTGACCTTGAACAGATTAGTTCACATGGTAGCGACCGATGAATCACTCCCAAACATTCGTGGCGTTTACTATATAACTCAATAACACATGTTTTATTAAATAATATGTTTTGACTTTAATTAAGGCAGAAATGCATAGAATAAGCCTATCTAATTTGGACAATATATTACAGATTGTCTTTTTAGCAGTTTACTTATTTTAATTGTATTAATGACACTTTAATGTACGTTTATATGCATCCGTCATGCGTCGGTCCGTTTTTCTAATGAAATTGCATAACCGTAAACCAATAAAATTGCACAGAAACAACGCACGACATATGCATATAAACTCACATTTAGCCTAAAAAAAGCCAACCAAAACCTGATTTTAGCTTATAATACCACTAATATTTACCTAACTAAGCAAATTGTTTCTTTTAAACACCAACTTGCAAAAAATGCCTCAAGCAAACCCATCACCAGACTCCAGCGATACCAATAGTTAAAATTAGAATTACACCCATATTCACCTGGTAGACATACATGCAAGTTTTTGCAGAAACTTTAATGATCTTATTATATCTGATAAGACATAAACTTCTGATAATCAACAGATTTATGCTACTGATTTCTCAAGTTAAGAAAAATAAGAAATCAATTCATCAATATATTTTAAGATTTTAAGAAAAAGATCTAAAAAATAAAAAGATCTGAAAATTAATTTTCAGATTCGTACAACAAAAATTTACAGTTCTTAAATTATTAAACCAGATACAAAGCTAACAATATATAAGCGACATCAAATAAACTTTTAGTTACGTCACCGAGGAACCGATTATTAAACTCATTGTTGCCAACCATGGACATATTCGGCGGATTAACTGAAATTTAAATTTCCCGCTAGCAATTCAGGTGACAGCTCTACTGTAAAAAATGTCAAGTTGCCACTTCTATTTATTTCCTGACATCATCATTTGTTTTGATACTTTAGTTTTGTATTACGAGTTTTTATACTTTTTTAGTGAATTGTGTTGTGATATATTCAGCTTAAAATTTTTTACTAGCAGACTTTGCAGTCGAAAATTGTTCTTTTTACAACCGCTTTTAGAGCGAAATATACAAGATGCCGAAGCAGCTTAACAGCCTTTAAAAAAACTAATTGTAACCTTATTAAGATATTCTGAACGGGAAAGCGGTAGTAATGGCCCTTAAATGCTGTTAAGGGAGTGAGTTTTGTTGACGTAAATAATAACTGTTTATATATTTATAATTAATTCATGTTTGTTTCCTAAAATATTTTGATTAACAGAAAATATCTCAGTATAGGGCAACGGCCCAGCTACGTCGAAACACCGGTTCCCATTAGAACACCGAAGTTAAGCGACGTAAGGCGATACTAGTGGATGGACGGGTGACCGGTTCGCAGGGTTGGCAAATATCATGATATTTATATAAATATCAAATATCGGATATACCGTGCTGGCAACTGTTACTCTTGGGTCGGTATTTACATGTGTGGAAGTAAATCGCATAGGGATCTTATTAAGTCGGAGTGAGAGAAATGCGACGGAGTGCTGTTGCGGCGTTGCCGGTACGCCTTTCCCTATCAAGTAAAGTAAAATCACTATGGCAACCCGCTTATTTTTATAAGACTTTTTTTCGAAAAGATAACTAGATAAAATCATTAGAAATGTTTCTGAGCATCTGAATTATAAGGATATCTTTAGGGTGTCATTTTTTAGAACGGGAAACGTCCTTTTTAATTTTATTATTATTCTTTTAATTTTTTATGTAAAACTGCGTTTAGTATCAAGTAAAATCAAGAGTTCAAGCAAATATTTTTATTTCAACTTAATTATTGTTGCTTTGCACATAATAGGAACAACATTAAAACAAAAATATATAAAAATTATACAGAAATTAAAAAAAATTATACAGAAATTCTAAAAAAATAAACAGAAATTCTAAAAAATAAACGGAAATTCTAAAAAATAAACAGAAATTCTAAAAAATAAACGGAAATTCTAAAAAATAAACGGAAATTCTAAAAAATAAACGGAAATTCTAAAAAATAAACGGAAATTCTAAGAAATAAAAGGAAATTCTAAGAAATAAACGGAAATTCTAAAAAATAAACAGAAATTCAAAATATACACACACTGCTCATTCACGCCGATTCGAGGCCGGATGAGATCGAATATCTCGTGAAGAGTCGATTTAGACACTTGCCAAGTCAGTTGGGGGATCATGATATGGGATCACGATATGGCCGAGGACGCGGTTCGGATTCCGCGTAAACAAAGTAGGCCCCGTCCAGATTAGCCCTGGCAGCAAATAGGAGACGTTAACTTGAAATCTTTTTTATCTCAGTCGGCAACGCTGTGTCGGTCAAGCTTAATCACGTGACTAAAAGGTTATTTGGTATAATCTATATCTAACTTCATTTCTAAATGGCAAAATTAAACAGTTGATAATTGATGATGATTAATCTTTAACGTAATAAAAAATCAAGATTTTCAATCCAAGTGAAAAAAGGACTTTATAAATTATCTATAATAAGATTATTAGATAAGCATAACCGAAAATCCCGGAAACATCTACCATGCTTAAAAAATGTGTAGTTCCAATTACATACGCCTGTAGTAAAACAACAAACATGCGAATTATGAACGTTGTGCAACATTGATGTACATTGACTCGTATTCCTGAGATTAGAACAAACGTTAAGTCTTAATCTATGGAATACGAGGAAGATTAACATCGCGCGGATGTCATAATCCATCCATAATTTTATGGCTGAATCAGCCATAAAATTATGAACTGGTTAATAACTGCAATACCGCTATTAATTTATCCACGCTTGTATGTTGTGTTACTTAAGTCAGTGGTCCGGTCTGGTGCTTTTAGACGACCCAAAATGGTACAGACGCAACGTAACGGAACTTACAATAGGGCTTACGTGGCTTTTTTCTCAGACACGAGGCGACGTAGTTCTCCAGCTCTCGCAAGGTGGACGGTTTCAGTGTCTCGAAGTCGATTTCTATCTCGTCGGGGTTCGAGTCCCTCAACGAGGGTTCCCTCGATTGGATGATGTGCACCACCCGACCTAATTTGTCACCTAAAAAAAGAATAAAAAAATATATAAGATGTAGAAATTCAGCACAATTCAAAAACACTAGAAATTTTTTAGTCAGACTGCCATTAGTTAGAGTTCAGTTCTTATCAATTTTAAGTTGGTATGTTAGACCTTTATACATTTTCATTGTACAATTTCAATTCATAACTTTAGCCGCATATGCTAGTTCTTTCCAGCTAAATGATTCCTACTTTTTTCCTTTAAAGTTATTCCCCTTTACCCAAAATATCAATATTCAGATTATAAACTTTTTTCAAAAACGGTTGTTAAAGTCTGTCCAATGATAGGATCCATAACAGTTGTGTCTGTCACTTTAATTCACAGTATACTCTGTTTTTTTTCTCAGGTAACATTTCGACAGACGATGACCGAAAAAAAAAAACAGATGACGTCCATATACTAATCCATTTATTTCACTAAAAAAGTTTCTAATATTTTTTAAGCTAACTATGGATGGATTTATATATAAATCCGTCTCTTGTTGTCTTTAACCAGTTTTATTAGTTTATTTCCAAAATGACAGATCATATTTCAATATTATTGGTTTGACAGAACGATCAACGACAAATGGACGCCGATGCGTATGAATTGGACTTAAGATTTTTGAGAGTTGTCAAACTCTTGCCAAATTATAGGTTATAATTTTGTGTCCAATTATGTCAAATAGAAATGATAAAAATATTTTACATTTTAGATGGTGTTATTACGTGTGTTTCGTATTTTTTAAAATTAAGTGGAGGAAAACTCGAAGGAAAATTAAGTGTTGACCAAGACCATTCTACAGTTAATATTCAGTTGGGTTAGGTGTATATATTCAGTGCCCAGAACAACAGCTTGCCAGAGAATTGTATTAGCCACAAATAACGTTTGTATACCATCTTGTATATAGTATCAAAAACTGGACTATCTGTAAAATAACATCATACTATAGGTAAATAATAAATTTTAGTACTGCAGAGAGATAATGTCAAAAGGTACTGGTTTAAAAAAATCAAGATTAAAGGTAATTAACCAACTTTTAAGGCATATTCAGTAAGTGTTATTATTAATAAAATATTTTTTTTTATTTATTTTGGGTTCTATTTATTCCTTTGCAATATTAAACATTTTTTATTTGTACATAAGTTATATTGATAAATGTAATAATTGCAGGAAGTTGCCTGAGCTTGAAAATAAGAAATAGTTCTTTTTTATGTAAAGGTAAAATATCAATTGCCAATAGGTTTTTTATATATATATTTTTTTTGGTATGTGGTGTTTTGTTTAAAATACACCCTTGCTTGTTTTATTAACACCGCATTTTTTTAATAAAATAACTAGATTACATTTTTAAGTTTTATACAGTTTTTTTCATAATATTTTGAAGTTATCACTTGTTACTTAAATTTTAAATATATCAATTTTCTGTTATGCGTTCCAATTGTACCAACTTATTACTTTGTAAAATAAAATAAACTACATACTTTGAAATTAAAATGACAGACACATATATCACTGTCAAGGATTTTGTCACTGGACAGTATTTCCTGTCATTTTTTGGATGTCCACGCGTTGGACAGACTTTAAAACAATTCATTCCACTCACCAGGTAGTTTGTTGATGTCAAGCGACAATTGCCGTTTCTCGTCGTACGACATCGGCTTAGCGTTGTCTTCATCTTCGGAGTCGAAAGCCGGCGCTGGCATTGCTGCTTGCGCCTTCTTTCTTCCGGGACCGGTTCCTGCTCCAGCCCCTCTACCTGTCTTGGCCCTTTTCGCCGCTGGTCCCGCTGCCGCCCCCGATGGCGCCGCCGCTGCTGGTTTGGGTCCTCGAGGGCCTAATGAAAGACAGATCGAAGAATAAGTTAAACTGTACTAGGCTAAAAAACAATACTAGGCTAAAAAATAATTTTGAAAAGTATACTTAATAAACATCGCAGAAGTCAGTAAAACGAAAAAGAAAAAAGACTCAAACGTCTCGGACTCAACCTTTATATTAAGTTAAACAGTGAAACGTGTTTCGCTCATACGAGTATTATCAGAGCTAGCAGGAAAGAACCCCCCAAAAAAATCTATATGAACAATTCTAATGAATAATATTGTTATTTATTACTACTGGTTATGTCTACAGATTATACTACCTAAATTATATGAAATAAAAACGGAAGTTTAACAGAAAATATATTTGTTTTCATAGCAACTGTTCAAATTGCCTTATATCTATCAAAAATAGTAAATAAAATAGTACTTTAACCGCAAGGGTAGATTAAATGATACTTTTAACAGCGAGGATAGTTAAAAACTTTATTTTTTTCTCGCACGTTTTTTAATTGCTTCCATTTTTGAAAATTTTGTATTCCTTTTCATAAGTTATTCGGGATTTAAATGGAAGTAGTTTGGATATGGCGTTTGTCGCCTCAGCCTGAATATCTGTTGTGCTGATAATTTACTTATTTCGTTTTGAGCCATTTCTGGCTCCAATTCAATCAGCAATCGACACGAAAGACAATTAAAAAATATTGACTCAAAACTGACAACTAGAGACACCTTTATTTATTTGTCAAATTACATAGAAACCAACGCCAACCCAGCACAATATTTTTTCTTCTCGTAACAAATTCCTTGAAATAATAATTTCTGAATATTTTTTAAAACGTAACTCGCTATGGAAAAAAATATTGTTTTATACACGACGATAAAATACCATTTTATCGTCTTGTATATAAAATAACTATTTCTTTATCAAGACATACTTATTATTGTATAGCTGTTATTACATTACAACCTTACACCAATAACTTGTAACATGTTAAGTTCAACAGTTAACAATGTTGAACAAAGTATTTCTTTCTTTAAGGATATTCTTTTTTAACGTATCAGATATAGGTGATGTGTAAGAAAACGCAGATATGCATTAAGAGATATCACTGCCTCATGTTGCCAGTTGTTGCTTTAGTGTAAGGTTGACTTAAAGAAGAAACTAAAGAAGAGGTCATACAGAAGCTTGTGCGTGCGACTTGATTAGAGTTGTGCTAAAAAATAAAAACAACATAATAGACAAACTACGAATTGTAGCAATAAATAATTAATAATCTACTAATAAAACAGTATCTACAGAAAGAATTTGAAAAAGAAAATTAATATAAGAAGAGAAATCTAGTCACATGCACTACAGAGAGCTGCTACAGCAAAGCAATGGAGGCAAAGTGTCTCATACTTAATTCCATAGTATTAAGGTCTCTTACAGTGAATTATATATTTAAGATATAAATATCAAAGTTGTTTGCTAATGTAAGCAAATATGAGCTATGTATACCGGCCTGGTCATTCTAAATACGTGATCTGTTTTTTATTTTTTAGGATTCTAGTTGGAATTCGAAACATGTTTCTTTGAATAAAAGGATTAAGAAACGAAGAAGCGTATCAAAAAAATTATCTTGCGCGCGATTGGGACCTAGTATGGCTGGGTTCATCAAGTTTCTGGGTTCATCAAATATAAATCCGTCATGCGTCGTCTCTTGTTGTTTTTAACCAGTTTTATTGGTTTATTTCAAAAACTACGTTGACAAACGGATGCCGATACGTATGAACTCGCCTTTAGATTTTTGAGACTTGTCAAAGTCTTGCCAAATTATAGGTTATAATTTTGTGTCAACTTATGTCAAATATCTGCGTTTTGGAAGATGATGCACTTTGATTCGTGTTATTACGTGTGTTTTGTGTCTTTTGAAGTCAAGTGGAGAAAAAATCGAGGGAAAATTAACTGTAGACCCAGAGCATAGTTTATAGTTAATACTCGCTGCCCAGGCAGAAAGTCTTATGCACCAATAAAGTTTGTATACCATCTCGTTGTAGATATGTGCATCTCGGCTATCGTGCATATGCTACAAGGAGGATCGTATGAAACATATACTACTGGAGTAACTGTAAAATATCGACATCACACGATAGATAAATAATGGATTTTAGTATTGCAGAAAAATAATGTCAAAAGGTACTGGTTTAAAAAAATTAAGATTAAAGTTAATCAACCTTTAAGGTATAAAATTTGGTAAGTGTTATTATTAATAAAATAGTTTGTTTTATTTATGTTGTTCTATTTATTCCTGTGGAATGTTACAAATTTGTATTTGTACATAAATTATATTGATAAATATAATAATAAATGCGGGAAGTTTCTTGAAGCTTGAAAGTAATAAATAGTTCTTTTTTATATATTTTTTTTTGGTAAGCGGTGTTTTGTTCCTGTTTGTTTTGTATTAACACATACCGTTTTTTTAAATAAAATAACTCAATTACATTTTTTCAGTTTTATACAGTTTTTTTTCACAATATTTTTAAGCAATCACTTATCAGTCAAATTTTAAATATATTAATTTTCTGCTATGCGTTCCAGTTGTACCAACTTATTTCTGTGTAAAATAAAACAAACTACTGAAATTATAATTACAGACACATCTATCACTGTCAAGGATCTTGTCGTTGGACAGATTTTAGGTAGTAAGAGTAGTACTGACTCAATAATATGTTCTTTAATTTTACGTTGCCAATAAATATTAGTACAAAATTAAAATTGTTACAAAAATATGTAAGTTATAATAATTAATTAATAACACAATAATGATCAAATACGCTATTAAAGCACTAAGTCAAATTGACGTATCTTAATTATTTTTGACAAGTAGTGAATACAACCGAAAAGACAATATATGGTTAGTTAATTTTAAGACAATTTCATAAAAATGATTGGTGAGAAGTCCATTATTTCTCTTGATGTTGTCTGAGATCTACCTACCGCACGCTGCACAACTGTTTTACGGCAATTTTCGGTACCGCTAAAAACAAGAAATCCACAAAATTTCAAATCAGATTCAAATGTTTCAACTGAAACGCCAAACAGAACTGTCAGGGACGGAGACCTGTGATGTCGAGTCTGTACCATGCATGAATATATGGATAGAATTATGCTCCTTCTTTAATCTTTGTATTCACAGACATGTTTGGTATGAAATAACCTAAATTTATCTGCAAATGCTGATTATGAAATATTTACTGATTTGAAACGGTCTGCATATTTCGTTTTTATCTTTTAGAACAGATGTACTGATATACATAATACCGGATGCGTTTCAGAAGTGGCTCACTCCTATAATTTTTTTATTTTTATCATATAAAAAAAACGAGATTTGGTATGTTACTATATGAAATAAATTAGGATTGATTGACGTAATCAATTGTTTTTGGTCACTTCCTGTTTCACGGGAAATGACTACAACTTTTGATTATTAAATGACACCCTTATTATTTTTTTACTTTATTCAATAGAAAATGACACTCTGAATAGATTATCATATGTCAACTTTTGACATTTTCGCATATGGTTTATTTGAAATTGTAACATGCGGTTCATAACGACAATTTGACTCGAAATATCAAGTGTATGGTACCTAATTATTCTTAAAAAATGCTTTTTCCAAATATGCTAACGAGCCATTCTTCCATTCGAAAAAATTGAAATATGATTAAGAATACGATTTGAGCCCCGTTTAACCGGCCAGAACAAGATACATTAGACAATCAAATCTATTTTTCCAAGGTTTTTCGCTTTCATTAAAAATTAGTGTTTTTAACACAGCCATGGCATTCTAGATTGAAATTTAAAATACGATTTTTTTAAACAAATATTTGACATATGATATGTCAATCTATTCAGAGTGTCATTTAAAAATCAAAAGTTGTAGTCATTTTTCTAGATTCTAGATTGAAATTTAAAATACGATTTTTTAAACAAAAATGTCAAAATTTGACATATGATATTATGTCAATCTATTCAGAGTATCATTTAAAAATGAAAAGTTGTAGTCATTTTTCTAGATTCTAGATTGAAATTTAAAATGCGACTTTTAAATAAAAATGTCAAAATTTGAGATATGATATGTCAATCTATTCAGAGTATCATTTAAAAATCAAAAGTTGTAGTCATTTCCGGTGAAACACGAAGTGACCAAAAACAATTGAATACGTCAATCTTTTCTAATTTGTCATATAATAAAAATCTCGTTTATCTGAAAAAATAAAAGTTATAGAGGTGAGCCACTTTTGAGACGCACCCGGTATAGCAAAACTAACTCTTCAACAGACAAAAACATTAATTTTATTTCTAAAGAGACCGCAACACTTAGAGACACTATCCACCGCACTTTGCGTTCGCGACCCTCGCCGTTGAGCCAACTGCCGACCTCACCTTTGGTCTTGGGCGTCTTGGCTGCAGCCGCGCCCCCCGTTGCAGCCGCCCCCCTTTCGTTGCCGCTCTTGGCGTCGGCGACGGGACCGCCGTCCTCCGCTAGGCTGTCGGGAGCGGTGGGCAATTGCTTGCCGCCTCCGGCCGAGCCTGCTCCCGCCGATGATTTACCTAGTTATCGGAGAAGAAAATAGAAAATTGTGTGTGTAAGGAGACATTGTGTGTCGTAAAACATCCATTATTTTTAAAAAATTGCAATGGAACTCATAATAAATTTGCTGTAAATTATTTTCAAGTTCGGAACCTGGAATTTCGGTACCGCGTCTCTTATGAACCGAGATTTCCTTTTTTTTTCGGTACTTTCGGTACTGACTAATTTTTGTTCAATGGTGGTGCAGTTTATCAATCAGAAAGCAAGGGATGGTTTTTCAAAGTAAAATGAATAAAAAATAGAGATTTTTAATGAAAATAATATCAAATTATTAAGTAATCAGTCATGAGAAAATTAATATGAACAGAAGTAAAGAAAAAAGTAAAGGTAACTTAAATTTCACTTCAAACAACATAAACCAACTTAACTGAATTTGAGACAAAAGCCCTAAAATATTGAATTAATAATTTTGAGTCCCGGTTCTTTGATGTCTTAAAAGAACCGGAAATTCCCGGTATTAAGTACCGAAAGAACCGGGAATTAATAATTTTGAGTCCCGGTTCTTTGATGTCTTAAAAGAACCGGAAATCCCCGGTATTTTCGGTGCCGGGATTTCCCGGTTCTGAACCCTAGACATTAGATGGCGTAACAGCAACATAAATTCAAAAATACCAGTTTTCTTCAGGTCAAACATTTTAACCCTGTAGTAACATTTTAGCCATAATCGATGCTTACGTCACACTTCACCTTAAAAGTTGATGTTTACATGTCCAAAAACCATTAAAACGAACCCATATAAGTAAGAAACAATTACATACCCGTACTGTTGGGGATGGCAGACACCGCTTGCGCCGCTGCTGTCATTTTCTTGGGTTTGTCTTTGAGTTTTTGCTTTTTCTTCTCTTTTTTACGCCTCGTACTCTCTTCTACCAGTTTTCTCATTCTTTCCTGCATCGCCGTCAACTGTAAGTATAATACAGTACGTTACTTACAGTTAACCATTAGGCACGTGTAGTTACATGACATCGTAAAATATCAGTGTTAAAAAGCTCGTTAAATATAAAACATCAGTGTTTTCAGATACTAAATATTCATCATTTTTGGTAACATTAGTTCAGCTAACATAGTAAAAATCGCTTCATATGTTAGTTATGTAGTATGTTAGTATTTTTTATTATTTATTTTTAGTTGAACTATTAGGCGATTGCGATTCTCTATAGTAAAGATTGTATTGTTTAATCGTATAATCGTATTAAACATGTTTCAAATTACGTTTATGTTACAAGTTTATTAAATTAAATGTAAAGAAAATATGGTCAGAGTTACTGGTTCAGTTTTTTATAGTCAGTTCTCTGTTGTAAATCATCCGTATGATCGAAAACGGTGGCTGGGAAATGATGACATTTCCCATAGAAATTACATACCGATTTGGCCATTTCAGAAGTGTGGTCTGGATTTTAACGTGTAAGACAGTGATGTAGGCAGCTTAATGGAAAATCAAATGTATTAAAAAGAGATAAAAGTTGGGTTGGTACATTTCTTCTATGCGGTATTGCCGGATTTTACATCAAAAGTTCAAACCGCACAAGTAGGCGTTTATGGATATCGTTGCATCTAGGGTTGGAACCTTATTTTTTACAATTAGTACTTATTTTACTACAGACGTAATAGATTATATTTAGCTTAGATATATTATCTTCATTTCAGTAATATACACATGAAAGTTTTTAAAATAGTTTTTTTTCTACACAAATTCTCCTACAAACGTAAAAACCGGCAACACTGCATGCCGCTTTTGATTTTGTCTCTGTCTGTCAACCGGTCATTTATATTGTTCTCTGTCTTACACATTAAAATTCAGATCACACTTCTAAAGGGGCGTCCAGACCAGAAAAGCGAGCAGTAACGAGCGCGAGCAAACATTTATTCAAATCCGCTCGTAATTTCTGCTGCTCTCGAGTACATGATCAGCTTCCGTCCAAACCTAGCGATTATTTGTTATTTGTTCGGCGTTGATCGGTGTGTAGCACTTCATGTTCATAATGTCGGAAAAAATTATTGCTTGTGCGTCTTTCAGTATTTTATAAATTGTTGAAACGTCAAAAGAGAAAACGATTGCAGAGGAGATGGTGGAACATAAATCTTTTTAAAAATCGAGTTTCTCATGGTTGTAACAATTTACTAAACGATGTTGACACAGAATATTCTGAAAAATTTAAGAACTTTTGTCGGATGTAACTTAAGATTTTATTACCTTATTAGATTTAATTGACATAAAAATAATGAAAAGTGATACCAATTACCGAAAAGCAATTTCACCTAGAGAAAGGCTAGCTATAACCTTACAGGTCTTGACGATTTTTGTACTCCTCTATTAGTTCTAAAACAACTTCATTCAGCCATTCCATTTTTGATATTCGATCGCAAACGTGGTAAACAAATTTCCGCCCAAACCGAACGTGCAATAGCGCGAATTTTCTTTGATGTACCGACACGGCGTGAAACAGCGTCGAGCGCGAGCAAGCAATCATTCGCTCGCTCGCAGAGCCGTCCACACCAGTTAAGCGTTCCCATAGAGCATACCAGAATTCTTGCTCGCTCCTGCTCGCTCATCTGGTCTGGACGCCCCTTAAAATGACCAAATCGGTATAAAATGACACCAATCTTTATTTCATAGCCATCGCTGACGCCGTTTTTTTTTCGATTATACGGTAGTTTAGTTTTAGTCATCTGCTGATGATCCTAACACGATTAGCAAAACTCGCATCTAGTGTTTGGTTTGGTTTAAGTAAAGTACCGTATGATCAAACAAAAACGGCTGGGGAATAACAATCGATAATTTTGACGAGGTCAATGCCGTCATGTACTAGAAATTTTGACATAAAACTTGTCAAAAATTAACATTAATTATAGACAGACTAAAAAAAATAAACTTTCCCAGACCCACAAATCTATTTCAAAAGAAATATTTTTTTTCGAATATAATAGGTACAACTTTGAGACCAACTAGCAGTAAGCGATTGTCATTTCTCAGCCGTCTTTGATAAGTTTTTTTCGAATGTATGGTATTTTGGTGTATTGTGACGCATTTTTCTTTAGAGTTATTAAGATTTCGAGTATGTCAAAACTCCACCAATTATTTAATCATCAATTTCGTGCAAAACTTACTTCTTTTTCGAGCTGTTTCAGTTGCTTGTTCCGCCTCTCCTCCTCGGAGTCCTCCGTATCGCTGGAACTCTCCGAACTGGATCCGGACGAACTGGACTCGTGCGGCACCAAACCTATCCTATTCAAAGGTTCATCAGGGATTTTAGCAAACCTAACAGAAACAATGATCGTGAAAGTCACGGAATGAGACACACATACAGATGAGAGTTAAAAGCAACGCATAATAAAGTGATAAAAAACATTTGTTTAATGAAAACTGATTACTGCATTTAATTTAAATGGAAACACCAATAACTCCTAAAACTTTGCTTCAAAGAACAGCATTTCAGTAGAATAGTTGTAGTAATTTTTTTAAATTAAAAATTAATAAAAATTTTTTTACAAATATATAGTATTCTAAAAACGCGTTGAAAAGATAAATGTTAGCTTTTATTTAAATAATAATCGCCTATATTTGACTTCTGCTTGGATTCTATAAATTTATTAAATTATATTTTTTTGTGTATACAAGGTGTCCCATATAAGAATACACATTACAGAGATGTCGGAAACCAAAAGAGATAAAAAGATAATTAATTAATTAAATAGAAAAAAGTTGCGCAAAAGATAAAAGCCGATTGTCTCCGAAGATATTTAGGAGAAACCGAATATTACCGAATTACTACTTGCTCTACAAGTTTATGTTATTAGATTTTCAATTTGACGTTTGGTTTATTATATCAAACCCTCATCAACTCGATTTTTTCGATTAGGAACAAGGATTTTCAAGTTTGAAAAATTATATTCTCCGAAATGCAATGATGTATCACAGTTACCCCAAAAAATGTTGCTGGTTTTCTACACACACATTAAGTGATCTGTATACCAATCTCTTTCCAATACACACAACACATTGCTTTTTATGAAAATATACTTTACTAGTTGAAGCCTGGCGCATTCGCCACGACGCGACATCAGAAAAAAATACTTTTTATCTTTTTTTTTTAATTAAATGAAAAACAAAAAAAATCCAGCGACGACAGTTTTTAGAAGAGCCAATTAGCTATCTTTTAGTAAAAAAAGCAACTTTCTAGAGCAAGTCGTTACTTCAGTAGAGAGGACACAGACAAACATTAGCATTTTATATATGTAGATGTAGATTATGCATTTTTTGGGTTAGTGTGTACTATACCATTGTATTAGGGAGGTTTTAAAAAATGAAATTAAAAAGCCAAGCCAGATTTAAAAAAGTAAAATGAATGGCATCTTGAAAGAAAATTTCAAATTGAAATAACATAAAGTTAATGAGAGTGTAAAAGTATTGTTATATATTTTCAAATAAAGCCAAAAAATAATAAAATCGGGATAATTGTTTTTTCCCAAAATATTTTCGGATGTAAGAGATACTAATGATACGGATTCTTCCAAAACCAAAGCAGGAACAGGGATAGGAGTATTTTGGACCGATAAATGATCTATAACTATATTTCATATCAATTAAACTTGTAGTTACGTAATCGAGAGCGCGATTTTTAAATTCATTGTTGCCAACCATGACATATTCGGCGCCGGCGCTGTGTTAACTGGAATTTAAATTTCCCTCTGGGAATTTAGGTGGTAGCTCTACTGTAAAAAATGTCAACTTGCCGCATTTATTTATTTATTTCCTGACATTGTCATTCGTTTTGACACTTTAGTTGTGTATTATGAGTTTTTGGTTTAAATAAATACTGTTGTGATATTTTAAGCTTAAAAATGCTTACTAGCAGACCTTGCAGTCGAACATTGTTCTTTTTAGAACCACTTTTAGTGCGAAGTGTACAAGATAGCTTAATAGCTGTAAAAAAACTCATCGCAACTTTATCAGAACATTTTGAACGGGAAAGCGGTAGAAATGGCTCTTTAGGAAAGAGCTTCTTAAGAGCTGTTAAGGAGTTTTATTGATGGTAAATAATAACGCTTTATATATTTATAATTAATTTTTGCTTCCTAAAAGATTTTGATTAAAAGAAAACATATAAAAGTGGGCAACGCTGTGCCGGTCAAGCTTAATCACGTGACTAAAAGTTTATTTGGTATGAACTGTATGTATGCTTCTTCCGTAACGTTCGTGATGATTGTTTTTGAATAATGCAAAGGAAACTCAAAATAAATGGTTAAAAAATGATTGATACAAAGAGGTAAAAAGAGAAACAATATTTATCACTAGCAGATCCTCTGTATACGTTATGAACAAAGATATAAATTAGGCTTTACAGTATTAATCGTCATCAATATTGTATACGCCCGCTTAGGTTGGACATTTTTGTTACTGACCAGACATTCCAAAGGATCTCGACAAAATTGATAAGCCGCAGAAAAATTAACGATTTAACGACTTTGCCCGGATTTGCGGGTCTTGATAAAGGTAAAGGTAATGTTTAAGAAAAAAGGCAATGCTTTTGTTTATTCTGTGCCTACCGGCTGGCTTTTCAAGTGTAGCCGCTAGCAGTAAGTGACTATCCAGTCGAAACGAATTTGCACGAATGATATTTGATTGCTTTGGTTGTAACTTTTGTGGTTCTATTAGATTTAATTTTAATACAAATTTGATTGTTTTGATCTCGATTTTAAAACTGGAATATCGGAAATGGCTAACAGAGACATGGGGGAAATGTTAGATGTTATAGACTTGATGAATTTCAGTTAATTTCAAAAAATTCCGACCGCAGCACTCTATACGGCAGAAATCAGAAATCTTCGATATGTATTTCACGCCGTCCCGGTTACAGTTCATGTTGATCGTATTAAAATAATATCGAAATCGTGGCTTTGTCATAATATTTAAGTATTTTAGTTTTTTGCTAGTGGAGTTATTGAAACTATAAAATACTCAGGTCCGAGGTTTCCGGGAATAAAAATTAAGTGTAAAAGAACTCTCGAACTGGGTGTTGATGTGCGTAATGTTAATAAAATTGCGTGATTGTTGGGTGCAAGAACATTCAATAACTCAACTTTCCCGGACATTCAACTCTCACGAAACAACATTTTATAGCTTTACAGCTTCTCACACCGATTTGATCAAAAGCAAAAATGGATTCAAGCAGTTCGACGAAACAAGTGAGTAAACAAAGTGCCTATTACATAATAGAAAAATTAAATAGACATGAGAAGATAAAATATAATTTGCAATATTAATGGTATAATCTTTTTTTTAATCAACTAGTGTTTAATTTTTTTATGAATATTCTAAAATTTAAATTATGCACCTTCAAAAAATTTCGTTACAGCCAAAATAGCCCTAGTTACGTCCCCACTAGCAAAACTATGCTAGCTACTGTAATTAAACTCATCTAAAAAGTTTTATTAGCTTCACTAATAAATTATAATACAAGTTAAACCTTCTGTAAATTTCAAAATATTTCCTTTTTTTATAATTTACACAAATTATACTTCCTAACGATCGATGGTGGCAGCACCGGCAAAGAATACACCAAGCCTATATTGTTGCTGCTGGTAGCTTTTGTATTTCAACATTTCTCAATATTATGTAGTCAATAATGTTATTGCTCGTACAATGACGAAAGCAAACAAAATAATAACATTTTCAACATTGACCTTAATTCACAATCATTATCCGTAACATATACAAGGATATATATTATGTAAAATTGTTAGATTAACTTAAATTATGATTTAACTAAATATTTTATTTCGCCCAAGTATTGAAAGTAAAATTTATAAAAATAAAAACAATGAACCATTTAGAGCCAACAATTGAACTATTTCATAATATTTTATACACAGCTTTTAATTTAAATAACTATGTATTTTATGTATTTACATATTTATTTAAAAAGTTCTTTTGATCAATAACTCAATCAGAATTTAGGAAAATAAAAATCAATATCTAATTGTACCTAAACATTTATTTTTCCCTACACCTTGTAACATTTTATTAAACATCCTAACATACAAAACAGATAAATTGAGAATTACAAAAAAATTAACTAATGATTACGTGAAATATATGTAATGTAGTAAATAAGCCCTGCTGCTTCAACAATCATGTCAAATAGTAGAAAAATAGTCACCAGATCTAAACTCTTTAGAATTGGATAATGGAACATAGGAATGAAAGAAATGAGTTCAAAATTAGATGATTATATGAGAGGCTGATAGCAAAAGTGGGTTAAAATTTTACTCTCGGCAAAAACGGTTTGCGTTTTTCAGAGGGCAAAAGCGGTTTAAGTAGCAATGAGAGCAAAAATGAGAGAAAGAAACTTTACCGTAAAAATGGGTTATAATTATATGCCACTTTTACTCTAAGATTAAAAATATTCCTTTTTTGCCCGAAGAAAAAATCGTTAAATTAATATTAGATAAAAAAATCTGTTTGCGTATTTGCCAGTCAGTTTATTCATGTTCCTCTAGTTTTCTATACAAAAATAACATTTGCACCATATGCAACAAGTAGTGTAAAAATCAACTTTTTATAAGCTTTTATTTAACTTGCTTTGTATGTATGTTTGTTCGGGGCAAATCTTGTAAGCTAAATTAGAACCACTTCCTTTGATTGTAGGAAATTATACATTTTTTTACAAGGCATGACCAGAATTTTTGACAGCTGTTAAAATGGCGGCCAAAATGGCGCCATTTTTGAGGTTTTTGATTTTTTAAAATTCTATTATAAAAAAATTTATTATAATATAGGTATATTGTGGGTATATACATATGAAAAAAAATATGTGGGCGGCTATCTTGAAAAAATGACAGTTTAATGACATGTCAAAATTTCGAAGTGAACCGATTTTGATAAAAATCGACATAATATATATATATGATGGCCATGGGCTAAAATGAAAGAAGAAAAAAATTCAGCTGTTAGAATTGACAGCTGTCCAAAAAAATTTCAAAGTTGTCCGATTTTGATAAAAATCGATATATTGGATGCCCCCTACCCCATAGTCGGTTTTCGTTTTATTTGTCTCACATTTGAACTGTCAAATTTGACAGCTGTCGTTTTTTTTTAAGTTCTCCTTTGTTAATGAAAATCGATATACATATTATTAGGATGCCCATAGAAAGTTATTTAAGAAAAACCAGCATAACTAAAAAGTAAAAAATAAATTTTAAGAAAAAGAACTTTTTTAAAAACAAGCTTTTATTTAAATACACAAAAAAAAAAACTTTTTCTTTAAAATTTTTATTATGAACTTTATAACGTCATTACATAATTTTAATATTATATTAAATCTTGTCGCGAGATTTGAGTGTACAGTTGCACTCATAAAAACCTGGTACGACAACTTTACTTTAAGTATATACAATATACATGACAATCTAAAACCTGTGTCTACCCTGTCTCATTTTGAAAGTTTGTCTTATGATACACCACTAGAAAAGGAATTACAAGATAAAGTTGTCGTACAACTGTACACTCAAATCTCGCTACAAGCTTTTATATAATATAAAATTATGTAATGACGTTATAAAAGTTCATAATAAAAATTTTAAAGATTTTTTTTTCTTTTTAGTGTATTTAAATTGCTAAGGACATAAAATCAGTTCTATGAATTGATTTTTACAACGTTGTAGCTGGGGGGTAGGGCAGGGGGGGGCGTTGTGACTCCGCCCCATAAAAAGTATAAAAATATTATATTCTTCCGTATTACACGTGCGGACACAATCAATGCAAATACGTATGTGGTCCCAGTCCGCATTTTCTTTTCGAAAAATCGCATAAAAAGAGGGAGTAATTTAATTTTTCTATGAAATATATTTTTCTTCAAATGACATCGGCGGCGGCGGTCCGTGTGTGATATCAAAGCGCGTGCCGAAGTCAAAAGGTGCCGACCAGATATAAACTAAACAAGTTATATTCGGAAGTGCACATCTAGACAATGGAAATAATTTTTTGTATAATTATATTCTTCACTTTTGAAAATTTCCGAGCCCCCGTTAGGCTTTTATATTTTCCTATAACTAAAATACTGTGTTTTGTAATATCAAACTCATTATCTTATAGGTATAAAAATGTGTGTGAAACACAAAAATTATATAAACAGCAGTACAGCAGTGTGAAGCAAAAAATATAAATAATTACTATATCAATAGGTATATACCGTATGATAAAAAAAACGGCATCCAGTTGGCTTGGAAATAAACATCAATGACATTCCCCATATAATTTTACATATAAAATGACAGCGAACTTCATTTCATAGTCATCGCTGACGCCGTTCTTTTTCGGTCATATTGTATCTTTTAAAAGATTTAAATCTTTTTAAAATAACTTAAGTCGTTAAAAAAAGATTTAAGTATTTTAAGTCATCTTTCGAAATAATGAAATGACTTAAGTCATTTGATTTATCGACTTAAAATCAAATGACTTAAGTCACTAAAATGATTTAAGTCAAAAAAGACTTTAGTTTTCTGTGAGCTTGCAGCTCTGCTAGAGATGCTTTGCCATACTGAACAACACCATAGACAAGAAAGATAAACAACACACTAAAATAGGTGCAAAAACACGAAATAAAATTTAGTATGAAGTGCAGTTTTACACGGAGCGGAGCATTCGCTCAAACCGTCCGCGCTGATCGTCCCTGTTGTGCCGTTTCACATGGAGCGGGCCGTCCGGCGTCCGCGCGGACCGTCCGTTTATTGAAGAGGTACTATGAGCTTGTATGAGTATTTTGACATGGGCGCGGATGGTCCGCCCGTATGATTTCGTCCAACAGCCATCCGTCGATCCCTTGCTTCGACGGATCATCCGCGCCTATGTGAAAGTATTCATACATTCAATACTCATGGTACTTGTTCAACCAATGGGCGATCTACAGGTGAAAGTACTCCGTCAATTCTTAAAATACACACAATGGTCCACGATGGTCCGCACGTCCGCTCCATGTGAAACAGCACTCAATACTCAATAGTATTATAAAAACGTCCCTTCGATAGTACATAAATACGGCAGCGCGCAGAGGTAAAAAGAACCATTTTCTTATCGTCTATCGAATCTACGTATTATTTTCTTAGCGCAAAAACGGGTTAATATTTTATAGTTTTTTTGCCCTGAATATTTTGTCGAACCATTTTTGAGCTGATTAATATTCGATTCACTTTTGCCCAAAGTTGTGATGTATATGCTATTTTTGATCTTAGAGAAAATTTAAACCCACTTTTGCTTTGAACAAAATTTTATCCCACTCTTACTTTCGACCTCTCATATAATATAAAAACAAATAAATTTATCCGATATGCTAATTAAAATTTTAAAAAGCAGTGTGGTGTTAATCGATCTTTTCAAATTTTAAAAAAACCATACCGCTAACCTTACTGAGGTTATTTGGCAGAAGATAAAATATGAAATAAATCTTTATTTGCAATACCCACAGCAGTCAAATAAAGCAATTCAACAAGCAATATATGTCCATATAATGGGTCCTGAGACTGGCGTAAACACTCCATAAACAAACGTGGACGAAGAACCAAACTAGAAGTAAATGTATTTTTTTTGTACAAATATATAATATAAATTAAACTTATTGGTTTTATACATCAATTACAATTTAATTAATTTAATTTTTTGGTACGGCTGTAATATGTTTATTGATACCCATTAATGGTTTAGGTATCTATAGCTGTGTCACTGCTGCAAGATTCTTTATATATGCAAAGAGATTTGATTAAACTTTACAAAAATAGATAGGTTTATTTGATAATAGTCTTTATAAATATTAAACAGATATGTATATCACACACACAGTAAAAAAACAATAATTAGATTTTTTAATTAAAGTATTTTAAATTGTATTCTGATTTTGTTTCCCACAACAAGAAAAAATATAATCTATGAACGTTAACTGAAGGGCTACTAAGAATTTGTACTACCTCCATTGACTGTGAATCTGGCGACTCTGTCCTAAGTTTTGTCAGTTGCAGTATGTCCAGAATATAAAATTATCGCTACAAAAATATATACAGGGTGTCCCAATATTCCGTGGACAAAGAACTACTACGTATTTCTGAAATCAAAATATCGACACAATTTACCTCTATGCAAAAGTGCTTCGTTTGTCCGCTAGAGGGCCATCAAACTTAAAATACCAATGAAGTCAAATAAAGGTGATATATTTAAAAAAAAACAACAGTGCTATTAAGTGCTATAAATCGTCACTGACCTAAGATGGAACACAACATGCTAAAATATTCTTAGATAAAGCATTAATAACATATAGCCATTAGTATTTATGGATATGAGTGTTTTGTTAGTAATGCGTGAATAATGGTATTTGTTGTGCAACTTACTTGACTTCGAACACGTCCTGAAGTTTCCTGGCCATGGCGACCACGTCATGATCCGAGGGGTTGTACTTGTAACAGTTGGTAAAGATTAACCGCACGTCCTGCGCGAATTCCTGCGCCGAACGGTATTCGCGATTGTCCATCTTTTCCTTCACTGTTCCGAGATCCATGGGTTTCTTTATAATGTCGTGGTAGTCATGTAAACCTAACAGTTCCGCATCTACCGGTTTGTAGAAAGGCCAAGCATAACTCTGGAATTTAATTGAATTTTTTGTTATAAGATCAAATGTTGCAACGAAACATGTTGTAAATTAGTGATGGGAAAAAAACGATTAATTTCATTAATCGAGTACTCGAGTTTCAAGCGATTGCAATAATCGAGTGATCGCTCGAACGAAATATCACTCGTATTTAAAAATACGGTTTTTCACCCGTCGCTTGTTGTAAGTACTCGTTAACGCCAAGCAGTAAGTTGCGTGCGCAGTGATGAATGGCAAGTAGCAAGCGGAGAGCGATTCGCTTGATCGCTTGATTTAGTTTATTTCAAAGCATTGTCGAAGTAGGTCGTAAAATGTCCCTCAGATACGCAACGGATAAATATATATACGACGTCGTATAAATTTGCTACCTGCAATGTATGTAAAAAATTCGCTCGGCTTTTAATCGAGTATGTCACATTAAAATCGGATTTCAATTTATTTCATTCTAGGAAAGCTTGCGTTCATCGCTTGGTACTCGTCACTTGCAATGATGTCGGTTATTTCAATAATCGAGTATTCGAGCGAATTTTCGCTCGAGTTATCCCATCACTATTATAAAGTAATTCCAAAACAATTTCCGATGAACGTGATCAACTTTGAGTGACAAGCGATGGCAACAGGGCTGCCAGATTGTCATGAATTTATGAGATGAATCTTAATGTAAAATTGGGACATAATATATTTATTACATCATTTTATAAAGATGTTTACGTTTTATTTTTAATTTGATAACTAATATTTTGTAATTTATTTATTAACAGTAGTCACTTCACTAACATTCACAGTAGCAATATTTAAATTTAAGGCAGCAGCTACTTGCTACAAATCGAAATAAGAAATAATTTTGAAAGTGATATAATGTGCTTACCAATCAAACTTACTTCTCTCTCAATTTTATGTAAATTGCGATAAAATTTAATAAAGGCAATAAGCAAAAAAAAAGAACAATAACTGTTATATTGACCTACTATCAGTTTTCTTTTTGAATGTTGTAGTTTTTTGTGAATATGAGAATAAGTGGCAAAAATTTAAATAACAAGATTATTTACAATTTATTTTAAAAATGACAAATAGAAATTCTGTATCTATTTAGACGTAATTCCGTATATTTAGTCGTTGGAAGACTATAGATATATTATAACTAAATAAATTAAGTTAAATCAGATAGCTTATAGAAAGCAATAAAACTGCAAAAAAAACTTACACAATGTTTCTTTGAAAAGAGTTCTTTCAGTATCTCATTGCAGGCTTTTAATGTGTCATTGAGTTTTTCCTTGTTTTTAAGCGCGTGCGCCCCGGCCTGAGCTGCTGGTGATGGTACAGCACCAGCCGCCGCTGAACCTCCATAAGGCCCCAAACCGTCCAGCTCCTAAAACAGACACAATCACATTTAATATGTATGAAATATGAAAATCACAATAATTAATAAAAAAACATAAAATGTGAATATGTGCCAAGTAAGCTAAGTACCTTAGAAATAACTATCAATGACACCATATAATTGTTATTTTGAAGGTAACTTGACACATTCTTTTATTCAATTATACAGTACTATTACTGTAAATTTTAATTATTGTTAAAATTCACAGATACAAAAAATACATACTTTATATCTTAAATTTTTTAAAAATCGCCCTTGTCATTGCTGTGTAGTTAAGATAATTATGTGACATCGATTATATTAGTATATTATGATCTATCTAGTCCATTTACAAACTGTAAATTTACCTGATTACGTAGAGGCTTCTTTATCTGGCGACCGGATTCTCGACGTTTGGAGATCTTGCTCGCGGACGACGAGGAATTCGAATCAGCGCCAGATGGAAGGTAATCATAAGCTGTGGCCGGCGTGGTAGTATCAGCCTGTTAAACAAAAATAAATGTAAGAAAATAAAAATAAAACGTAAAAAAGGACCATAAAGACAATTATACAGAGACATAATGACAATTACACAAATACACACATTCTTATATAGTATATCCAATATTCGAGAAAAATAGAATAGCGTAGAGTGTAGTACTATCTCTGTCGTAATCTCATGCTGTTCGAGTACTTATTTCACGAGGATTTAGTGTATAAGTCGGTGTCATATACTCAAAACCGTCATTCCCTGAAATGTCTAGTTCGATGTCGATAGACGACGCGACGGGACGAGTCGACAGAAAACCCTATAAGGCAGTGTTGCCATTCTGTTCCCCTATAAGTAACTGTCCAGTTAACAATATGTATATCATTTTTTTAAAGATTTTTACGTTTTATTTTAAATTTAATAATTAATATTTTAGAAATTAATTGATTTGTTTTAAAGCTTATTTTACTTCTTACAAATTGGCAAAAACGAGCCCATTATGAAGATTATTCTAAGCGTTATTATGGGTTATTTTTTATTTATTGATGTACATTAATTACGGTTGGTGGGGGGTTGAAATCTTTAGGCATTACACAGCAAAATAAAATACTAAATCACCAAAATACACCAAAACACTTTTACTTTTACACTGGACGCGCGTTTCACTAACCATATTAGCATCATCAGCAGATGATTAATATAATTAACATAATCATAATTATACAGAGAAATAATGACAATTATTACGTATCTGTATAAATGATTAATATAATTAACATAATCATAATCATCTGCTGATGATGCTAACATGGTTAGTGAAACGCGCGTCCAATGTAAAAGTAAAAGTGTTTTGGTGTATTGTGGTGATTTAGTGTTTTATTTTGCTATTGATGTACATCTTACAACACCACAAGTGGTAATAACAAGTAAGAGGGTGCCATTAATGCACAAACTAATAATCACAGAATTTAATAAAAACAAACGTAGAAATAACTTTGAAAGTGGTATATAATGTGCTTACCAATCAAACTTACTTCTCTGACCACAGTCAAGGGTAATAAATTATCCTTTATACGGGTTTGGCAAAGCTACTATTAGCAATAGGAGATTCTCATTGCGATAAAAAAAGATGACACGGCTGCAGTCTACCCTGCAGTGTAACAAAGACAGATAACTCTGTTTTCCCTTCCACTGATTAGAAGAAGTGACACGATGAGTGAGAAGATCGTTTCTGGGAGAGGGGGCGGGACCACAAGCGTCTGCTTCGCGTCGGCGGTGGAATTTCGACAAACGAAAAAAATTCCGAAAAGAACTTAGTAATGAGTGGCAGGACAGGGTTGCCAGATTTCTTAAATAGTAAATTTATTTCTTTCCTATTTGATGATCTTTTATTTATAAATCAAAAGCTTTATTAAATAAAATAATTAGATAATATTTTACGACTTTCTTTTGTTAACAAATATCGATATTTAAATAATCAGTCAAAAATCAAAAGTATAATAAACTGCACAAACAAAATAAAATATTAAATAATTATATTAAAGTACAAAATTTGCATTTTTATGTGTTCCTAGAATTAAATACGCAAATAAAATACAAACAAAATAAATATAATAAGAATTATAAATAGCTAGGTATAATATCATTTAATATCAAAAAATATTATTAACTTAAATAATATTCATATATTAATAAAAACATTTAAAACTAATAAGTAGGGGTATCAGTTACTGTTTACCTTTGTACAAAATTGGTTAACTCATATCTAGAATTAATTTCATTTCAATGGGAAAACTGTTAACTCTCAACTCTCTTTTATTATTATATTTTTTAGACAGAAGAAACACACAAATATTTGTCCGTATTTAGTTTGTTTCTTAACTTAGATTTATTTCTTTGTTTATTTTTTTTGGGGAGAAATGCGGGTTCAACTTAGTAGATGAATAAGACAAAATATTTTCTAAAGATATCATCTTCGGAAATGCCGGAGAAAAGGATAATACGAATGTTTGAGAATATCTCCGCAATTATGCAACCAGACAGAACGATGACCTATAATTTCTAAACAAAATTTAATAAACAATAATATTTACGAATGTCAGATTATACGGTTTACGATGCGATAGTCACATAAATGTGTTAGATTTTTAAAAGTGCTTCTATTGTAAAGGCTAAAGACGCAGTTGAACATATCTCTAGACTTTTGTTTAAATCGGTAGATAGGTAGCTTACAGACGAAATCGGTAGACCTGGCAACTCTGTGGTGGCCTGGCGCGCTGGCGCGACGCGGAGGCGCGGAAAGAGAAATAATATTGATGGCGATAAAGGGCAGGTGGGTGGGAGGCGGCGCGGAGGCGGTGCTATTTCCAAAATTTGTTGTCTTATTGGAGTTTGTCTAACTCGACAGTCACAGTGGAAGTGGAAACGGGGAAGTTGTTATCCATCTCTGTTTAAGCTTAGACTTTTTATAGGCGTTTCATTCCAATGCATGTAATTCCTATGCCTAGATCTGACATTACCAGACGTGTATATTGGCCTTTATTGTCACGTTCTCCTTCAAAATAGTTTATCAGTGAAGCTACAAGCTCTTTACTTGGACTGTTTAAATGCTTCGGCATATTTTCAACACACAATCTCAAGAAATGTAATACAAAAGCTCGAAAATTTAGTTCTTAAAAGAATTGTTTGTGCTTAAAAGTACAATTTTTAAAAAAATACTATGAAAATAGACAAAAAACGAGAATTACTCACAAAGATTCACAACAACACGATATTATACAAAATAACGACTGACATGATAATTGTCAATCAACGTTGCTGAACACGGTGCAATGTGACCAACATAGCGATAATAAAATTCGGTTTAAAATAATTGTTGTAGCTTTAATCTAGATATCTGTTACAATAATTTGCTCTATAAAGTAAAATGAAGAAGATATGCTCGGCATTTTAAATTATACAACAAATTCAAACATTTTTTACCAAAATTTCCTTTAGTCAGGTTTATATGCTTTAGTGTCAATTTCGATATGATTGATGACGTGCATCGGAAAATGTTTTGCGACTACCGTATATAGATGTCGTAGGTCTCACTTTTACGCTGTTTGTATGATATCAACCATTTCATCAAAGTCGAGTTGGAAGGCAGCCTACTTACTTTGATGTTAAAAAGCTTTCAAACTCAACTCTGATTAAACAGTTAATATTATACGTAGACGCGCGCAGTATAATTATGTCTTTAACCGTGTCATCTCGCCTTTAGCGTATTGCCGGCAAACAACGTAACTCTCCAATTGATACCTCGTTTGTCTGTGGATCTCTGGCATTCCCCGTAATGACTGAATTATTTCAGTAAAATACTGTAATTCATTTTGAATCATTCCAATTATCCTGTTTGTCCGTTTTAATCAATGAATTTATTGTTGCACATCTATCCAGTGCATTTTATGCGGAAACAGACATATCACAACATTTAAATCTAGTTCACAAGAAACTACATAAATGTTATTTAAATGAAAGTAAAAAACTCAGAACGAACGAAATTATTCTTGGTAAATATGGTTTTAGTATCTATATTTTCGAAAAAAAGTGGTATCTGTCAAAACAATTTTCCTTACCTTTCTCTTAACGCCCTTTTTGCTCTTGGCCGGCTGGGCAGGAGGTACCACGCCCAGCGCGGATACTGGAGTGTCCATGGCCTGAGCAGCAGCGTAAGAGGGCCCCGTAGGAGTAATAGGCGTGACTTGGGCATTGTTGGGTTGTGCTATGGTGGTGGTAGCGGTACTGCCCGGAACTGTGACTGGGGCGCTGGTACCCAAAGGAATACCCATAGAACCTGTAAGAAATAATAAAAAGTTGTATAAAAATAAGACTCTTCTTCTCTAACTCATTAAAATAGATATCGGTATAATCAGTTGAAAATAATCAACAAAAGAATTCAGGTTTCAAATGTCTTGCCATCATGTTATACTGGAACTAACACTATTTTAAATAAATTTAAATAACTAACGGAGGAATAAGAGAGGGGAGGTGCTACAGCTGTTGCGAAAAGAGCTTCATCTAGCAGCCCGCCATATTTGATTGTGGTACTTTTTGTAATTTGTGCATTTTTCTCAAAATTTAATGTTTTTCATCGATAATTTGAGTGTTTTCTATTACAAAAACCTTAAAAACCATGGTGTCGTGTGCTGTACGCAGTTGTAAGAGCAGGAAGGGTATCGACTCGAAGAAACTCACCGGCGTAACATTTCAGAGGTAACGTAAACAGCGCGCAGGTCCGTAATGACCAAATTAACGAATGAACATTAATTAGTATTTTATGCTTATTTTAACTTTGGTGGAGTAATGCCAAGTAATTTGTTCATTGCGATACACACGATTAATATTACACATTAATGATTTTACATTAGCTGAAGGCAAATTTTAATCATTGTTTGTTTTTATTATTTGAAGATTTACTTAATCAGGTCCTGTCTAAAGGGTACACTTTTGGCCCCGCCCAAACAACGAAGTGAGACTGTTTTTATTCTACAGAAATACGTGTAGTAGCATCTCCCCTCTCTTATTCCTCCATGCATGACACAAATAGCCAGATATAAGTTAATTGTAAAAAAATGTTTAATTTTAAAAAGCATTATCGCAGAATAACTCAAGTATTCTTGAAATAGTAAAATTTAGCATTCTGTTTACTAATAACTTTATCAGGAAATAGAATGAGATAGATCAATGTATATGAAAGGAAATAGAATGAGATAGATCAATGTATATGAAAAACTTAGATTATACAGGGTGGTCCGAACTGTATTCTGGAAACTTCTGCAGATAAAAATAAATAAAAAAATTTGTTTGTCCTAAAATGCTTAGTTTCGGAGATACAGGGTGTAGAAGTTTCATTTTTATTTCGATTTTTTCCAAATAATTTCTGAAATAGCGTCAATATTTAGATGAAAATTGGTGTCTGGAAGTTTTTTGACAAGAGAAATTTGGGGATTTTGATATCAATATGACTCCTACTTGTAGGTTGCGCCACCTACATTTGTTTTAACTGTTTATAAGAGTAATATGCATAGAGAAGCTGAATAAATTAGCCAAAGAAAACAAAGTCCTCCTACACTGGGTGCCTGCTCACCAAGGGATAGAAGGCAATGAAAAAGCAAATAATCTAGCTAGGAAAGGAGCGAACACTCCACTAACTGGACCAGAACCGTTCTGCTTTCCAAGTGGTAACCAACTCAAGGCGGAACTCAAGAACTTGGAAGATTCCATCCGCAACCTGGAATGGAAATCTTGCAATGGTCTAGGACACTCGAAGAAGTTTCTGAGGGCTTATGATCAAGAAAAATCACAGATCTTCCTGGGTCTGAGTAAGAACAATCTTCGGATTGTCACGGGGTTTTAACAGGACACTGTCTCCTCAATGAACACCTCAGTAGATTGAAACTAAGAAGAAACGGCGAATGCAGATTCTGTGGGGAAGATGGTGAAACACCAGTACACCTCATCACTGAGTGCGCCGAGACGACAACCATTCGTGCCATGAATTTTGGTACGACTGATATTGGAGATGGAGAACTACCCTCTATAAAACCGTCCCAGATACTGGCTTTTGTCAAAGCCCTGGGACTGTATGATGAGTTATGATTCAAGAAAGGGGGACACAATGGATCTGTAAGGTCGAAGTGATTAACCCCCCTCCCACTCATTCTAAATTCTAAATTCTAAAGAGTAATAACTTTTCGTCCGTACGTGTATAAAACTACTAAGTGAAAAAATATACATTTCCGTGATTTTTTACGTAATAAATGTCTCTTAGTAAAAATCGCTACGAGCAACCGCTCTCAAGATATTTAGAATCGAAATAGTCAATACATGTCACTTTGACAAAAAATAAACATGTTGAGTAGATAGTTATTTGACTGAAATTACAAATTTGAGAACTTTTTTTCATCATACATTTGTCTTTGAAAAAATGATGAACAGTTTCTGTTGAACTTTTGGCACAAAAACATTTAAAATTTATGATTTCAGTCTAATAACTATTTAGTCAACATGTTTAATTTATGTCAATGATGACAGGTATTGATAATTTCGATTCCAAATATCTCTAAAACCATTGCACGTCGCGATTTTTACCAAGAAACCTTTTTTACACAAAAAACGTCGTAAATGTATATTTTTTTACTTAATAGTTTTATACAGGTACGGACAAAAAGTTATTACTCTTCAAACCAGATAAAATGTAGGTAAAAAATCAAATTTCTCATGTCAAAAAAAAACTGCCAGACACCAATTTCCATCCAAATATTGACGTTACTTCAGAAATTATATGGAAAAAATCGAAATAAAAATGAAACTTCTACACCCTGTACCTCCGAAACTAAGCATTTTAGAACATACATTTATACGAATTTCTTTACTTATTTTGTGTGCAGAATATGCTGCTGAACTTTCCGAAATACAGTTTGGATCACCCTGTATATTTCCAAACTTATATAACATACCTGTTGTTGTAGCTACAGGATTTGATACTGTGGATGACACAGTTGCTGGTGGTCTTCCTCTACCTGGGGTAGTAACTCCAGTAGGTCCAGTACTAGTTCTACCTTTTTTACCTTTTGCACCTTTGGCTTGTGTCTCTACTACAAATTCTTCCTTAGGCATGTCAGCCACTTTCGTCAAGAAAACCTGTAAAATCTAGTGTTAAGTTTAAGGCCTTAATATACGTTTAATATTAGGTACCTTCTCCAAAGTTTGGGCCATTACGACCACGTCCTCGCCTGGTTTATTATATACATAACAATTTGTAAACATTGTGTTGAAATCTTGAATGCATTCCTTGCCCGACCAATAGTAGTTGTTTTCTAAGCGCTTTTTTATTGTACCCAAGTCCATTGGTTGCTTGATAATCTTGTGGTAGTCCTAAACATCGAGTTAGTTAATCAATAATTTTTAAATTAGAATATATGAAGATACTAATAAAGTTCAGTTCTAGTTTTTTGAACTTTAGCAATCGTAATATAAGAATATTTCACTTACTAAAGTAAATATTTATTATAATAGGTATAGTTTTTCCAAAGTCAATTGGAATAGGAGGTTGGATTTTTTTTACTTAATTTCGACCAAATACTATATACAAAAAATATCCTACCGGCAAGTTTAGTTTCTTGGCATCTACAGGCTGTTGGAAAGGCCATACAAACTGATGCTTCCAGATCGCTTTAAGTACAGTCTTTTGCAGAAACTGCAATTGATTGGTGATCCTGCCAGGTCTGGAAAAAATCATATAATCTGTTGGTTGGTTTTGGTGTCATCACATAACCTGTCCTGATTTGTTCAATCAGTACCTCTGTTCAGAACGTCAACGGTTTCTTGTAGACGTATCTGTTTTAAAAAAACTAAAGTGTTCTCGAATAGTTGAATTTAAATATTTTAAATAGTTTTTTTTCTTTATTCTTTGTTTTTTTTTGCTTCCGACGACGGAAAGAGATAAACTTTCCGAAACGTTAAGCATTTTTTTCTTTGTTGGGCAAATTTGTATAACTGTAAACATAACTTCTGACAAGTAGTTTCTATTTGGGTTTAACGCCAGAAATGTTTACAAAAAATAACTATTTTATTTTGTAGATTTTCTTGCAGTGCAGTGGCGAAATACCCATATAGGATTTTTTGGAGAAACTATTTTACATTTATTCCAAAAAACGTGGCCACACGTCTTTTGGTAAAAAATAAACAAAAGTTGACTAAACATTTTTAGATTACTTCAAATTACATTATTCATTACAATTAAATTTTAATATATATTTATGTTACAGGCCATATATGAAAACAGACTATATGTATATGGTCTAAGTCATATCTATATGGTCTAAATAGCATAGATCGTTTATAGATGGAATGATATTTCACATACAGACTAGACCGTTAACGACTATTACGATTTAGACCGTATGTTCAATTGCGACAATCTCGGATGATGTTTACATTTTGCCCCCTGCCAAGCGAGAGGTGAAATCCTATAATATTTAAAGATTTGTATTGTTAAATGCGATACATTTTAGGAGTGGCATTAACTTGGATATAATAATTTGGATAAAGTAACATAACCTCAAATAAAAATTTTTAGGTTGACAGCAACCGTGGCTTATCGAAAAAAATTACGGTGCTCTAAGTACTAAGCATAGACTTAAAATAAAATATAGACTGAGCATCTCATTCATAATAGCTGGAACATGAATAGCTGGAACATGCGGTCAGACACTGTCTTGTTATTGTTGTGTTATTATTTTAGGTTATAACGAGTGCGACACGAGCGATAGATAGGTTGTCTCTGTCATAACGGTCGTTCCCTGACGACTCTGCCGAAAAACACAACACTGTCTTTCGTTTCTCAAGTACACCTGAACTCTCCGTATCATAGCCGGGTAATTTTTTATTTTAATGAAGCTATAATTAAATTAAAAATATATCGTATTTAAACTTTTTATATTTTATTAAGATTTAGGACAGGTTTTTAAATAAAAGTTTAGAAAAAACAATTTAGAGTCCAAAAAGGATAAAAATAATAAAATACACGTTATAGAAGAAATTTTATAATCGAAATTAGGTAATTTTTGAAATTAATACTAAATTATTAATTTTAGTCAAACATTTACAACCCTAATATTAATCAAAACAGGATCTATTCCACAGATATAATAGAATCGGCGACAGGGAGAGAAAAAAATATGATTGTTGTAATTTTTTTTCTGGTTAAGTGATGTCTTATTATGTAAATTAGAGAAAACATAAATCTGTTCCATTAAAGCAAGGAAGGTGATAGGAAGTGGATAAAATAAAAACTACATTTATTTAACTCGGTACTGTCTTTATTATACCGGGTGCGTCTCAAAAGTGGCTCATCCCCATAATTTTTTATGAAATAAATTAGGATTGATTGACGCATTCAATTGTTTTTGGTCACTTCCTGTTTCACCGGAAATGACTATAACTTTTAATTTTTAAACGGCACCCTCGGTATATTTCTACTTTATTCGATAGAAAATGACACTCTGAATAGAATGACATATCATATGTCAACTTTTGATATTTTCGCATATGGTTTAATTGTAATTGTAACACGCAGTTCATAACGACAATTTGACTCGAAATACCAAGTGTGTGGTATCAATATATTCATAAAAAAATGCTTTTTCCAAATATGCTAATGAGTCACCCTTGTTCCATTTGAAAAAATTGACATATGTATGATTAAAAATACGATTTGTACATCTTTTAACCGGCCTAGACAAGACACAAAACCTATTAGACGATCAAAACTATTTTTCCAAGGCTCCTTGATTAAAACTTAGTGGATTGAAAAAAACTGGATTGAAATTTAAAATAGGATATGTTTTTAAGCGACAATGTCAAAAGTTTTTCAAAAGAGTGTCATTTTTTATCGAATAAAGTAGCAATATACCGAGGGTGCCTTTAAAAATCAAAAGATGTAATCATTTCGGTGAAACAGGAAGAGACCAAAAACAATTGAATACGTCAATAAATCCTAATTTATGTCATATACCTACTAACATACAAATCTGTTTTTTTATCTGAAAAAATAAAAAGTTATAGGGTTGAGTCACTTTTGAGACGACCCGGTATATTAAAAAATATTGTTTCATAATGTAATATCATTTTAAAATTCTTGTATGTTATTTTAGATTCTGAAGATAATTTTAGAATAAACCGGAATATATTTTTAATAAAAACATTATTTATTATTAACAGGGTTATAATTATGATTTTGTTACAATGTAAGTAAGTAAATAATGTAATGTAAGAGAAAAAAATCAGATTTTACATTTTACTAAAATATTATCTAAATAAGCGCCTTTCTACAACAACGCCACTGACTCCCAATGGGTAAATTGAGAGTTGCCTACCGGTCAAAAGTCGTTTCAAGACTTAAATGGATTATTAAAGTCAAATTTCTTGCAAATTTGGCACTGGCGAACCATATTTTATAGTTTTTGAACAGAAAAAGTCAATAAAATAAACAATTAAGGACTACAAGCTAAGAAAATGCGTTAATACAGCCGCGGAGATAGCGGCAACAAAGCTTTACCGCACACGTGCGACACGTACTACAAGGTAATAAATGAATGAATAGGCTCCCTCGCCTCTAATCGGTGTTGTCATATTGTAAAGAACTTATCCTTATTAAACAGTATCCGACTTATAATTTAGTAGAATAAGGACTATTTAATACATCTATGGAATATTAAAACCTACTTATTAAACTGTAGTATTAATATCTCAATATATGTGTATAACAAGAAAAAAAATATTGATAATATTAAAGACGTGACAACATAGGCTGGATGAGGAAGGCTCGGTCGACTGTACCCAGAAGTAAACATGTGTACAAAAAAGGTTGTTTGTCCGCGTTGAGATGTAAATAGTGTAGTCTATATTTTATTTTAAGTCTATGGTACTAAGGCTGTTGAAAAAAAAATAGCCCAAGAATGCATAGTTTTGAGGAAATACGGAAAGGACTCAAATAAGTAATTATTTGGCGGTCAGTGAACTTGTGCTTTGGTTTCGCTCTTTTGTTGTGTTTCGTTTTTTAACTCTAAATGCCATAAGAGAACTTATACAAATAAATAAAAACACACATTTTGTTTTTGTTTTAATATCATAGTTATATATCGCCCAGTTGCAGATAGACCGTACAGGCGCCGGCTATAGTGCGCCGAAAAATAAAAGACAAGAACTGTCCTGAAATCAAAATTATATTAGGTATTTTGGTATTTAGTTTAGATGATTTTTCTCTCGTATGTTACCGTTGAAAGAGCCATATGATATAATTCTGCGTGTATCTGCAAAACCCCGAAAAATTTTGAAATACTTTAAATACAAAAAATGTTCATTTTTTAATTCTCCATCTAATAAGAAGATAATGTACAGGGTGTTATTAAAAAAACAACAAAAAAGATATATTTTAGAAAGTTTGGCGTAGAATTTTGAACAGCATGTATGATTTATAGCAAAGTAAGTATAGACCTCGGTATAGACCATCTATAGTAAATAACAGATTTTTTAATTTTTTTAACTCTAGCAATGGATTGTAAAAAGGGGCATATAAAAATGAAAAAGTTAAACTACTGCAATCTATTTTAACACAAATTATTTTAAATTGTTTAAAGGTAGAAAAATGTGTTAGGTTGAATTGACGTATGTATTATAAGACTTTGGCAACTAGTTTAGGATTCTAAAAACAGGCAATTTTAACTTCTACAATTAAAGTCTGTCCTAACTAAACGTTTTTGAATTTTGAGTCCTCTACCCCTCGTCAGTGCACGGCCACACAGAAAGCGTCTTTTGCGTTTTCAGCGTGAAGCGTCTTTTTCGTCTAAAACAAAATGACGGGATTATATAGGAGTGGCCCCACCAAAAGCGTCTAGCGGTCGGCGTGTCTCGCAAAAAAACGCAAATGAAAACAAATCAATTTGTTTTCTGTAGCGTCTTTAGCGTTTTCTATGAGACCCCGTCATAGGCGAACATAATATTTAATAATACAATAAAAATAAATTAAATAGTAATAGCATTTTTTCAGTTTAGAATATTATCTAAAAATATTTTTATAGAGAATATCTACTGTTTAGGAAGATTCTATTAATGAAATGTTGAAAAAGTAATAAATTAAGGGAATATTTTCTTACGCGTAAAAAATATTTTTTTTATGCATAAAAAGTGTTTTTTTTTCTGCGTAAAAAAGGTTTTTTTAACAGAAACAAATGGTTTTGACAAGTAAAAATTAGTTTTTTTACGGGTAAAGAATAGTTTTTTTAGAAAAAATATGTTTTACGTGTAACAAATAGTTTTTTACAAAAAATATTTTTTTGGGGTAAATAAGGTTTTTTACCAGAAACAATAAGTCCTTGACGCGTAAAAAATAGTTTTTTACGTGTTAAAATTTATAAGTTTTTTACAGGTAAAAAATATATTTTTTTGCGTAAAAAAATAGTTTTTTACGTTTAACAAATAGTTTTATACGCGTAAAAAATAGTTTTCTACCAGTAAAAATTGTTTTATACGCGTAAAAAATTGTTTTTTACATATAACAGTTTTATTCGCGTAAAATAAAAAAATAGTTTTTTACGTGTAACAAATGGTTTTTTACACGTAATAATTTGATTCACTTTTAAAAAAATTTGTATTAAAATATCAATATTTTTAATAAACACATGGATTGCTCACAAATACACGTCGCGTCACTACGTATTTCTAAACCGTTAACACCTTTCGTTACAACTAGCTCGTGTGTCAGGGCCGTCTCACTAGCTCGTATGTCACGGCCTTGAATGTTTACTACCAGCGTGCGTAAAGAAGTTTCACTCCAAAAAGTTTTATAAATCATGTCCTAAAATTGCGTTAGCAACTAGTAATATATATTTACTATTCTATTATATAATTATAATTCTTTATTATATTATATTATAATTACAACAAGTAACCACAACACTACAACATAAAAACTATAACAAGTAACCACAACAATACAACATAAAATAACTATACACTATACACATATAAACTAAAATTCGTAAAATAAATGGCAAATAATAATTATTATTTTTACACACACAACTGGCACTAGCAGTAGATTGTGTTTGTCGCCGAATATATGCCCCGGCCCGTCCACAATTCAATCCCAGCATCTTTTATCTTCGTCTCTTCAACGCTAACCGCGCCGATCTCGCCTATCTCTTTCTCACAGGATTGATTGTTGAACGGGCCGGGAATACACGAGCTTGCCGCGTCTTTTGCGTGTTTTTAATGGACACAAATCGAAAAAAACGCTTAAAACGGTAAAATCGCAAAAAACGCTTTCTGTGTGGCCGTGGGCTCAGAGGTTTTACATTAAAGTCTGTCCAATCAGAAAATACATAACAATGTTTAACATAACGCCGTTGATTGAAGAAATGAGAAGATGCGCAACCTTACGGGCGATTTCGAGGCACAAAACCTGTCCGAGATCTAGCTGTCAACTATATCGCCGCTAGCCAACCTGTCCGAGATTTAATTTAGCTCTGCGCCGCTGCGCGCTGATAGTCGTTTACGGCACAGCGGTGAAAGAATACTGTACCGTAGTTCCACTTTCAGTCGACAGAGTGGGTGGTTGCAGGAGACAGTGTTGCCAGAACTACGGATTAATCCGTAAATTTACGGATTTTGGGTACAGTACGTTAATAATCGGATTTTCTATCGTGAAATAATTTAATATAATAATATTATATGATTAAACAAAGAATGGCGTCAGAGTTGGCTTGGAAATGAAGATCGCTGTTATTTCATATGTAAAATATTATGGTAAATGTCAGTAATAGTCATTTCCAAGCCAACTAAACCACTATTTTCTATTATACTACATATTTAGTAACTATAAAAGAATTTTTATTTTTGTTGTTTATTCTGTGTTAGCGTAAGTAATAGTAAGTAATTTTTGTTGTTTATTCAGCGTAAGTCCCATGCTGCTTCGCTTCCATTTCTAAGCCTAGTCAGTAGCTACGGCTGTATTGATTCATGGTGTCCTCATTCTGGCCTCTTTTGTTGTTTTGGCCAACAGGATCGCCGACAGACAGTACAGAGATGCGAGACCACCTCACGCTGTTACTGTTTGAAGCAAGATTACATAAAGAACAGCTAAGTGTAGATTTAAGTTCTAGTTTTACATTTAACATTTAAAACATTTTCAGTCTTAAACAATAACGTACAACTTAAGTAATATCGTACAGACTATGTGTAGTGGTTAGATTGTTAAGAACATTCATGTCGATTTAATATTTAAAATATGATTTAGATCTTAGGTTTCATTACATTATGTCTTGTAATGGTATTACTTTTATAGATATTTAGTACAACTCTTAACACTACTTTCTTTGACATATAAACACTACATATTCACTAGAACTCTACAATGTCATGTATCAGCAACGAACATCATGAATAAATAATTAGTTTTAAGTAATATACAACTGTGTTTTCTTTCTCTGTACCTGCCTGGCGCCCAATATATGTATTTTTTTGTTTATTGTTATTGATTAGTTTTCTCTCTAGTGAAATACCTTACCCACGACTGCTCTCCAATGAAAAGCTGCCGTTCGCAGTGGTAATGTTTTAAAAAAAAACGCTACAAGATATTTTCGTCAAACGTCGGCAACACTGTCGCTTTCAGATCCACACCGTCTTCGATATGCCATCGCTAGCCGAATTAGAGAAAATAAGTGTTTTATGCGTTAACTGCAGAACAGTTGTTGCCTCCACCGTAAAGCACTTGAGGCGCATGGGGAAATCAAATCAGCCTTGTCAAGAATTCGCTCATTAGGTTGCATATCTTCCCAATTCTTTCAATCAACGATGCCACTAATAGAAAACAGTCTTTAAATGGTACAAAATACAGGAACATACTTCGTTTCACCAAATTCCTGGAAATCTCAGAGGCAAAGGTGTTTTACCAAAATCTAACTCCTAATGACCTTCATGATGATAGAGGTGATAACACATCAACGATCCGCCCATTGACGCGGAGGCTTCAGAAGAAAAAGGATAGCTGGCGCTTTCATAGATTTCTTTTTATATTTCCATTGCTGTATTTTTTATATTTCTTCTTTATTTTTTATATTTTTTTTTTTATTTTTTATATTTCTTTCTTGTAGTTAAAGTGGCCAAGAACCAAAGAAACTCAGACATAAATTTCTTGGCAATGTTTCAGTGTGGTCACTGTTGTTCTAAGTTGACAATTATAGGGTAGAATTTTTTTTATTTCATAAACAGTCAGAAGATATATCAAATGACAGTGAAATTTTGTAGATGGAGTATAGCCTGTCCAACAAGTCAGGTAATATTTTTGGGCAGATGACATCCACAAAACGACAGAATAAAATTTACCTCTGAATTAAAATGAAAGACACAACTGTGACTTTCATGGATTCTATCGTTGGACAGACTTATAACTGTTTGAACATCCTTCATATTGAGGCCCTCAATACAAATTTTCTTAACTAACATTTTGAAAATTGTACAGTAGACCAAAAAAAAAGTATTAGTGTGGTCTCAAAATTAAATTTTTGTTAGGTATGCCATTTATCTTGTCTTCATATGTCACAGCCTTTGCTATTATAGTTACGACACTGTAGGGACTGTTAGATCGCACTAAAAGACTTTTTTTCGCTCTATCGTAAAACTTTCAAAATGTTAGTGATAACACTGTGCGGAAGGCGACAATATGAGTTATGAAAAAAAACAATTAAATATTTATTACTAGCTAAGAATAAGTTAAGCAATAACTGATAATTAGTCTTCAAATATTTGATACCTCTATTTAAGACCACAATAATATTAACCTCTGAAAGGTATAGTCATAAAATATCCATAAACCCCCCAGTAGTCAGACTGAATTACTGACTATAAAATGAAAAATATATTTTTTTCCAAAACTTACCTCTCTGGAGGAGGCATTACTAGTGGTTGAACTACACCGTTAACGGGTTCAACCACTGGCTCATTCCTTGGTGGAGGCTCACGAACTTCACGGGAGGCCATTGTAGCAGCAGATGCTGGTGGAGCAGCTACACCGTTGCCAGATGAGGCCTGTTCATTCATTTTACCACTCTGAAATTGCACATTGCTCATATAATCCTCTTGAAACAAACACAATTCCGGAATAACTTACTGTGTTATTTTGAACTGTAGCCTCCACTTGTTGCATTGCTTACATTAACTAAATAAATAATAAAATAGTTTAAAATGACTATAATATTAAATTTTAACAAATCCCTACCAGTTAAGCAAATGTAAACTGCCTCAGCCTATCAAGAACTGGTCCAAAAAGGTTCCATACATCCCATGCTTAGGGAGGGTACGACATTAAACAAATGTCATGGTATCTTGTTCCTGTAATCAAAGAAATCAAGACTAGTAGGTACCTACATATTCATAAAATATAAAAGAATGCATATGCAGCAAAAATATAAAAATGCATCATTAAAAATAATGGTTATATCCTATAAGAAAGACAATAAATACCTAATTAAAATGCTTAATGATAAGTCAGAAATAAGCAACTATATGTTTGTATATCAAATATTGAATATGTATTAGATACCTATAGTTTTCACTTAAAAATGAACTTAGGTTTTAGGTGAAGTAATGTATTTAGTGTAAAAGGGTCTTACATTTTTTGTAATATACCTAATAAAGGGCAATTATCCGTAATAGGTACCTTTAACATCATAAATAGAAAGAAATCATTAATTAAATATTATTATTGTATTAAATTTATATTGAAGAATTACTTTAGTATAGTAATATCGTTTTTTTCATTTAGGAATGAAAAACTCTCGTTTATGTAATCTAATTTATTTAAAATAATACCAATATCCCCAACTAATACCAATATACCAAATATACAATATTTAAAAAGGTTTTAGGTACATTTATATTAAACCTATTAAAGGGTAAGTATACTTAATAGGCGACTGCTTTTCAAGATCATAAATAACAAACAAAAGAAAAGTACACCGCCAGGTAGTTGGCCAAAGAACTTCCTATATAAATTCTAGACAAAACCTTGAAAATAATGGCACCTGAGAGTACCAAAATTTCGTATTTACTTTTATACCCGCCACACCCCCTTTACTATACAAACAATCCAAGTTGAATTATTATTATTTTAGTGTTATATTTTTTATACTAATACTGAATTTGTTTATTAACCTTCAAAAACGTTTTAAAACGCTACCGTAATCTTCGAATTTCCATTTATAAGGCCACGTTACTCAAGATTAACTAGAAAGTGATTGTGCGAGTTGTTTACCATTTAAGTATATAAAAAGATCATGTTTTAGAATAAAAAACTGCAATTTCATTGAAAATTAGATGATATTATAACTAGCACAAGCTTGAAACGCCAAGGCCTCGGATGTATTATTGCGGGAAAGTTGAGACAAGCATCGGCAAACTGCAATGGAACAACGGCCGCCACAACATAATCGTTTCCATTGCACTTGACGGCTGCAAAACGCGGGAAACTAACTAGTAACTGTTACTTACCAAGATAAAATAAAAACACAATTAAACATAAATTAATCTAGTTTTTAACAAACGCTTCTTAACGAAAGGAGAAATTAAATTTCTCGGTCGATTTTCAACATGGCGGGCACTTATGATAGTCTTTGAAGAGAAGCTCACCACTAATTTCACTTTTTTCCGGGGGATATTTGCGAACTACTACCAAATAACAACTTTATCATATAAACAAACATTTAAACTAAATGAAAAAACATTACCTACGTATTTTGTCGATAAATCCACATGAGAATCGCGAAAAATACGGAGCCACAAAACACTCACTCCACTTCGCACAGACTCGCTTTACAAGCTTGGCAAGACTGCCGTGATGGCGGCCGGACGCGTCCGCTCTGTTTAAAAGGTTGTTAATAATAGGGCATTTTTACACTTTTTTATAATAAAAATTGCAAAAATACTGTTAAAATAATATTTTTATCGTGAAATCCCTAGTAATTACCCTTTAAAAATAGGGTTTTAATAGTGTTCCTGTTTGATGCATATGGATGAAAAAATAATGGTTGCTTGAGGTCACGTAATGGCCTCTTTTATGACAAGTTTTAACCGAAAAATAAGTGGTTAAAATTACACTTGGCCCTACCAAATTTTCTTATCCAATTTTGTCAATTTTTCCTCCCTGTCCTTGCAAGCACTTTTATATCTGCTTTTATTAAATTAAAGATGACTTAAGCACCTTTCCTTTGTAGCTTTTTACTGTTTTTGACTTATTTACAGTCAAATAAATTAAAATACAAATGTTCGATTTCAATTCCAAAAAAATTTATTTTCTAAAATTTCGTCATATTATGAAACGAAATAATTACCAAAATTTTACAGCCTATTTTAAAAAATATCTTGATCCGAAAACTTGCTAAAAACGCAAGCGCAAACTAAAAATAAAAATTGACACTTTGACAATTTGACGTACAAATAACGCTAGAATGACAGGTAATTGACATACCAGGAATAAGGAGGGAGATTTAAACATTGAAAAATACATATTGAATACATACAAATACATAAACACTTTATTTCTAATTAACTTAAATTACAAATATACACTATGCTACGCCCCAAACTTCTTCAAAGGCCGAACATAACTTGGCGCATGTTAATGCCGCTGAGAGGGGATAATTGCTTATGGAAAGTGTTTCTTCGGTATACTCAACATTTAAGTTACCTCGAGCCATAGCTCCAACAACAATCACGATAGGATCTTCTGATTTTGGGACAAGATCGCGACAATTTTTGACAACTTTCGACGAAAACGAGGTAGCCAGTTTTCTTACTCCTACTGGCAAATGATCGGTGATTGGATTCTTAATGACCTTTAAAAGTTTGGGTCCATTATCTGCCCGAACAGCAAATTTGTGTAAGAGCTGAACTGTAAAGAATAATTAAGTCAATAATTATACCATATACATGTAGTTTTATATAACATACCCATTAAACCAGCAAATCTTTTGAAAGTCCTGGGTATTCTTGTTTGAGGATTTATTTCAATAAGAACATTCTTATTGGTGTGCATATAAACTTGCAATAGACCAGCTCTATTTAAGGGACTATCTAAAAGCATTAATAAACATTGATGTGCAATGTCCGGACGGCAGGACCCTTGATCTCTATTGTTGTTTTTAAGAATACCGGCATGATCATCACAATTTAACAATTCAAACTTGTTACCTACCTAAAAATGTATGTTTAAATACCCTACCAAACTAAAACATATTAATAATAAACAATACTTTAACAGTCTCTAATTGTGCATCTTCTAGGATTATTATAAGTCGTTTTTCTTGATTTTTTAAATGATCGGTGACCATGTGTTTAGGTATAGGATCAAATTCGTATTCATCGTTCTTCGATTCTTTAAGTTTCCTTTTCTTGCCCATTTTGATAAACTATTATCAATCACCAATTTATTCTCCAATTATTATTTATAATATATTTAACTTGATAAAAATAAAATGTATATTATTTTTATTGTTATAACCTCACTTATTTTTGATAAATGTAAAAGTTTTTTGTTCTATGGGTTCTATGGTTTATGCCACAGTTTATGCGACATGCGACTTGTTGCCTTATCTATGGAAACGCTATGGATTAAATACTTCAAAATTAAAATTTTTGTTCTGTGGTTGTTTTTGTCATATTTTGATCCTTAATCATATATAATTTTCAGGGTTGTCAGCCAGACATACACACAACACACAACCCTAAACCACAGGGCTTGCCACCAGGCCATACCACCAGGGTTCGGAAGTAGTTAATTAAGACGTAATTTACCTGATTAACTATGTGTAGTTTTTCTTCAAAAACTAAGTCTTTCCCCGTTCGTTAACTACATGAAAACTACGTTAATAAACTACCTATTGATATTATGAATAATTTTGCTTTGTATGAGGAGTCTAAATAATATGATGTGAATGGTTATATTTAAAGACATATTTCTTCTGTTTTCTTAAATACATTATGTGTTTTCTAAAGCTTTAACTTATTATAACCTCACCTCATACCTTTGACATTTGAAAGTTACATACATATGTTACATAAACTACACCCTCTACATAAACTACATTAACTACATGTAATGTAGTTTATGTAGTTTTTAAATGTAACATGTAGTTTTCCGAACCCTGCTTGCCACTTGCCACCGCTTGCCACAGGGATAGTGTAAAAAACCGTTACATTTTTTGGATATCTGTGGTTTTGGACTTCAAAAACACGTCTAGCAGATAAACGGTTTTTGTAGCCGTATCCTGTTTTAAAAATAAGGTGTTCTCAAATAGTTGCATTTAGATATTTTAAATAGTTTTTTCTTTGTTCTTTGTATTTTTTTTTTGGTTCCGACGACGACGGAAAGAGATATACTTTCCAAAACGTTAAGCATTTTCTGATCCGTTAGGCAAATTTATTCATTAGTAAGCCACTGCTGACAATTAGTCTCCGTTGGATTAACGCATGGTACAAAGAAAACCATGATACAAAGAATACAAGGTATGATATTGCGCAGGTTGGTCACTACGTCACAGGTGATAAACGGCACCATTGGTCGGCAAGTTCCGCGCGCCAATTTCAAATCGTCAAACAGATGACACAATAAATGTCAAAATAGTTTTTCAAATGTCAAGCACGATGATTTGACTATGGAGTCTAACACGATGATTTGACATAACTTTTAGGGTTATGTCCTAATTCTTCCCTATTTTAGGTCTTTTTTTATTAGTGGCAATTGCACAATATGGATATTTTTTTGTATGGCGTATGACGTCACAGGTGGTATGCGCAAACTTAACGAAATTGGGGCCGCTATCGATCATACCTTGTTTTCTTTGTATCATGAAAGAAAACAAGGTATGATCGATAGCGGCTCCAATTTCGTTAAGTTTGCGCATACCACCTGTGACGTCATACGCCATACAGAAAAATATCCATATTGTTCAATTGCCACTAATAAAAAAAGAACTAAAATAGGGAAGAATCAGGACATAACCCCAAAAGTTATGTCAAATTATCGAGCTTGACATTTGAAAAATTATTTTCGCGTTTATTGTGTCATCTGTTTGACAATTTGAAATTGGCGCGCGGAGCTTGCCGACCTTTGTTGCCGACCAATGGTGCCGTTTATCACCTGTGACGTAGTAACCAACCTGCGCAATATCATACCTTGTATTCTTTGTATCATGGGATTAACGCAGCAGTGTACAAAAAAGAGCTATTTTATTTTGTAGATTTTCTTTCAGTGGCGAAATACCCATAGGACTTTTTTGGATAGATGAATCTGCCACATAGGTATACACATTTTTTATTATTTATTTAATTAGGGAATTATCAATTCACATAAAAAAAACAATAATTATAACGGATAACACAATATATTAAAATTATTCTAATATAATACAATTATTATATACACTAGAAGACCAAAACTGTTTTTAGTCAAACAACTTTTTTGTCCTGAGCAAAATCGTTTTTGCCTGTTACAAAAATATCGTAAACAAAATTTTCTCTAAAAATAGTTTCATAATTTTGGTAAATGCGCAAAAGAACTAGTCTAAAAATGGGCGGAGGGGTCATAATTAATATACCACCCAGTATAGAGTAACAGTTGGGTTTTTCAGAATAAAAATTTTATGGAAAAATATACTAAGGTAAAAAGATATATACACCATTCCCTTGACATTTTTTTACTATTTTAGTATAAAAAATATATTGGAATCACCTTGTAGTTTGTAGGCATATCAATAAAAATAAGATTAATGGTGTACTACCAGCAGTTTTACAAGAGTTAAAGTCTCAAATAGAAAACCTCATATTGAACTTTTTTTTGATACCCTAAGTCACTCTGTACAGACTGCTAGGCAAAAGAATATATCATTAGTACAAGTGGTGTGACATATTTGGTCAAGCCTAGATTGTTTAATCTGTCATGTTTGGACGATGTCTGCCGAAATCATATGTATATTCCCTCGCCTAACAGCGCTTTCAGATGGAGCGGAGCGTCCGCGCTGTTCGTCCGCGTGTTTTTTCAAGATAGCTGTCGGACGAAATCATCAATTGTTCATATAAACGCATGGTATTTGCTCGAAGTCGCGGACGGTCCGCTCCATCTGAAAGCCCTGTAACAGACACTAAATAAAATATGTATTATAAATAAAAAAATTTACATGCCTCTAACAAAAAAAAATCTAACTTGATATTTTTACAAGTAAAAAAGTTAAAACTCACACTATGTGTCCTTTTCCTGTTTCATGGTAGCCTCTACACTTGCCAAGTGCTTTTTAGTCAGAAAATGTTTCTTAAGATATTGCACATCTTTCGTCAGGAAATCGCATATTTTACATTCATACATACCTCCAGTTTTATGTGTAAAAACATGTTTGCTATATTTCTGTCTACTACCAACAAAATCACAGAGAAAACATTTAAATTCTTCATCTAAGTGATGAATTTCAGCCCTATGCTTTAATAAAGTTTGCTTCTTCTTAGACTTAAAATCGCACTTTGAACAGGAATAAAAATTCAGGTTCTTATGAATCAGAATCATGTGACGATCTAAATGTTTTTTTTCTCTATATACTAATAGGCATATTTCACATTGATACTTCAGAATGTCTTGTTGGTGTGTCAAAAGATGTTCCTCGTACTGCTCTTTGTCTGTGCCTTCATAGTTACATTCAGACTTACGGCAGAAATAATACTTTAAAATACCATGGGTTGTTTGTAGATGTTTTCTAAATGTCTTTCGTGATACGTAATGATAATCACATAAACTACATTTCACTTTTTTAGCGTCTGACCTAAGATGTGATGCACCATGTTGGTTCAATTCGCTTATGTCTGTGGTACTAAAGGAGCACTTCCTGCATAAATAATAATTTTCGATTTGATGAACCATCTTAATGTGTTTCTTGAGTGATTGTTTCAGGTATTTATTATTACAATGAGGGCACTGTAGTTTAGGTGCTCCATGAACTAAAACATGATATTGAAGACTTTTCTCGTGAATTGTTTTAAAGTCACACTGGGTACAATTATAATAAACTTGAGTAGTGTGAAATATCGAAACATGTCTCCGCAATGTATAACTGGATGTGAACTGGTATCCACAGTGAGTGCATTTGTTTTTTTTGGCTTTATCGGGAGCCTGATGCACTTGATCATGTGTTTGAAAATATTTTTTCTTTGAGGTCTTAAAATCACACTTTGTACAAGAATACTTTGAAGTTCTATGAGTGTTAAATATGTGCTTTTTCAAGTATCTCTTGGCATAGTACTTTGCTCCACAAGTATAACAATCATATGTTTGTTTCTCCTGATTTGATACATGTTCATTATAATGTTTCTTGTAAGTTGCTATCAAATGTGTTTTAAAACCACACAGAGTACACTGATGATGTTTTGGCAGCAGGCTTTGGTCTCTAAGATTTGTTATTCTTAAATGAAATAAGAACCAAATAAATATATCAGCTTACCCAGTTTCATTGAAATGTTTATTGTGATCTTTCAAATTCCATGGGGTCTGTTCAACCTTAATATATTCAGGATTATCAGTAGGTTCATAGTCACCAGCATCACATAATTCTATTTTTTCTCTAATATATTCAGATTTACAGTTGCTAGTAGTTTCACAGTCACCAGTATCACTACTAAAAAATAAATGAATGTCTAAAAACCATTAATTATAACCAAAATGGAATACATGAAATATATTTCCCAAAACTCTGATACTATGCCAGGTCATAGCATAGACCAGGTAGTACAGTACTAGTGTATTGTGATTGTGGATAATATAGAAAACTTACGATTCTGTAGTATCTTCTATATCCATAATTTCAGTTTTTATTTCTCTCTTTAAGTCTTGTTGAAATTCACTGTTTAAATTAACGTTAGGCTCATTTTCTCCGCCTTCGAGTTGAAATTCTTCAGATTTGATCATTGTTCTATATTTTATTTTGCCCAGCTAAGGATTCTATTTAATTTTATTAAATAGAAAATGCAAAAGAAAATAGACAAGAAAAATAAGCTGACATGATTGTGACAGTGACATTATTTTAGTTTTGGTCTTCGTTTTGGTGCAATCAAAGGGTGCAATGAAGAAAGAATTAACTAATTAGCCTCTAATTAGTTGATTAAACCCAGTAAACCAAAACTAATTATTTTTTATTCAATGTTTTGTTTTGGTGTCAAGTGTCAAACTGTCAAATCATTTGATTTTCGACCACAGATCTTGCATGTACGAATATTGCCTATGTATTTTTATGAATTAATTATCATAATCAGTCATCTACAATGTCATCTACATCTACATCACAGATCTCTACATCTACATATATATATATATATATATATATATATATATATATATATATATATATATATATATATATATATATATATATATATATATATATATATATATATATATATATATATATATATATATATATGTATATATATATGAAAGATAGATGACTGATTATGATAATTAATTCATAGGCAACCAAAAATACATAGGCAATATTCGTACATGCAAGATCTGTGGTCGAAAATCAAATGATTTGACATTAGAAAGTTGCTTTTTTTACTAAAAGATAGCTAATTGGCTCTTCTAAAAACTGTCGTCGCCGGATTTTTTGTTTTTCGTTTAATTAAAAAAAATGAAGTATTTTTTTCCTGATGTCGTGGCGGATGCGCCAGGCTTCAACTAGTAATTTATATTTTTCAAATATAAAAATGTATGTCTATTGGATTACATATTGTTATGGCATTGCCCTAGAAGTGATACGATTTATTATTCAAAAAACATAAAAACACATTTTTCTGTATTCCAAAAACTATTTATTTAAAATAAATAACAAAGTAGAACAGAAGTGTAACAAAACCACATATTATTGGAGGTAATGTAATACACTTTTACAAAAAAAAACATTACAAAATCTTTTACAAAAATGTTACAATATTTACATCATATACATATATTTACAAAGGACGTTTACTAAACGTATATAACCGTTTGTCGGTAAAATTCTAGACAGGTTTTTTTTAACTTTTTAAAGAACCACACTATTGACTATACATTTTTGTGTTACCATTATTTATCAATACTATTAATTTCCACCTGGCTACATTACATTATTTCTTGGTTACTAATAATAATATTGCTAACAATAACAATTAATAGGAATTCAGTCATATCAGTCTACAGTAAATATAATAATACAAATACAAGTAAAAAAGAAATAGATTCATAGTCGCATTATGCTTACATATAGGTATTATGGTACCTGATAAATTAAAAGAACTACTACGGATTTATATATAGCCGTATACTCGAATGTTTCTCCTAAAAAAATAGTTTAGAGAGTTAATTCTTTTCTAAGTTCGTGAAAATACAGTATGTTTTAATTAATTATACCGGTACAAAGTCTGTCACAGAAGAATAAGTTAGCCTACACACATCTAAGAAAGATATTTATTTTATTATATGTTTTACTTCTACATAGTCAATGTTTTACGTATGTTGTTTTATTATTCATTAAGGAGACTTTGATTGTACGATTGCAAATTACACGGAAAAAATACCTACTTGGAGTTTATTCTCAGTGTATCTCATTTTGGAATTGGGCCGATTTATGAAACATTACTACAGCCTATTAGTCCCCCATACACCAGAACATTAATTTGGCCTGCGGATAAAAACTTTGCCTTTGTGGGACGGACCAAGGCTGCGGCAGGCCAAGCCTTTCAGTAGCCCCTTATACACGCAAGGGATTTTCAAAAGATTTGGTCCGCCGCGGTCTTTAACTCTAATTAATATCTGTGCGTTAGAGGATTACTGCGGATAAATATTGGATATGTGGCAGTCCAAGGGTAAGCTGATGAAAATATCCGTAGTCTGTACGACTGGGTCTGCGGATACGAAATGTCAATTGCATAATACACATCAGACTCACAGCCGCAATTTTTTGTTCCTATTTATTTTAATCATGTTTGTTTACACATATACTTTTATCTGCGCTAAACATCAGATATGCGCCTTTGTGAATACCAAATCTACTCTGAACGATCGGGTCGGCGGATACGGAATGTCATATCTGGACTGCGGAACCGATCGCTTAAAAATACCTTGCGTGTATGGGCAGCTAATAGCTTCCCATACACCAGAAGATTTGGCCTGCGGACTTGGATTGCGGATAAAGTTTTGCGTTTGTAAGACGGATCAAGTTTGTGGCAGGCTAAGCCTTTGCGTTTGGCAGACTAAGCCTATGATAGGCCAAATTCGCAGACTTGGATAAAGTTTTATCCGCAGGTTAAATCTCCACGTGTATGGGGGCTATTCATTAGACAGCCGGACAACGTTAGTTTTGGAGTATCCACATACCGATTTGGTCATTTTAAAAGTGTGCTCTGAATTGTAACGTGTAAGACAGTGATGTAGACAGCTCAATGGAAAATCAAATGTAGTAAAAAGAGATAAAAGTTGGGTTGATACATTTCTTCTATGCGCTATTGCCGGATTTTACATCAAAAGTGTAAAGCGCACGTAAGTGGGCATTTATGGAAAATGTTGCATCTAAGGTTGGATCCATATTTTTCACAATTAGTTACTCGCATTTTACTACAGATGTAATAGATTATATTGAGCTTAGATATATTATCTACATTTCAGTAGTATATATGCAAGTTTTTAAAATACTTTATTTTTTTCTATACAGATTTTCCTACAAATGTAAAAACCGGCAACACTGTATGCCGCTTTTGATTTAGTCTCTTTGTCTGTCAACCGGTCATTTATATTATTCTCTGTCTTACACGTTAAAATCCAGACCACACTTCTAAAATGACCAAATCGGTATATTTATGAACTACAATAATAAAAGTAGTTAATATATATACATATATATATATATATATATATATATATATATATATATATATATATATATATATATATATATATATAATATACACGTTTGGTAATGTCAGATCTAGGCAGTTACATGCATTGGAAGGCAACGCCTATAAAAAGTCTAAGCTTTAATAGAAATAGACAACTTCCCCGTTTTCACTTCCACTACGACTGTCGAGTTAGACAAACTCCAATTAGGTAACAAATGCCGCCGCCTCCCATCCACCTGCTCTTTATCGCCATTAATATTATTTCTCTTGCCGCGCCTCCTCGTCGCGCCAGCGCGTCAGTCCATCTAATATATATCACAGAGTTGCCAGGTCTACCGATTTCTTCTGTAAGCTACCGATCTACCGATTTAAACAAAAGTCTAACGATATGTTCAACTACGTCTTTAGTCTTTACAATAGAAGCACTTTTAGAAATCTGACACATTTGGACTAATTAAGCGATCATCGTCGTCAAACCGTATAATCTTACTTTCGTAAATATTATTGTTTATTAAATTTTCTTTAGAAATTATAGGCCATCGTTCTGTCTGGTCGCAGAATGACGGAGACATTCACAAACATCCTTATTATCCCTTATTATATGATGAGATTTTTAGAAAATATTTTGTCTCATTCATCTACTAACTCTTTGCCAGAACTTACTACTACTCTTTGCCAGAACGGTATATGAGTACCCGCGCAAATGCATTTAGTCGTTTTTATAATCGGAGCTTTAGATAAGATAGGCGATATCTAGCTAGCTCTAGGTATGCAGAGTTAATAATCGTAAGCCGCCTGGCTGTCTAATGAATAGGCTGTGTTCCTCCCTAATCGATTGATTGTGAACCTGTGGTGGTAAAATGTTTTTTGTACCCTTTATTTAAAGACGATAGATAATATTTCATTCTCAATCTACATTTAGATTCGAAATTAAATCAGCAAATCGGAAAAGATTATTAGGCGTAGGCGTAATGTTGCTTGCATATTCTGGAACATTATTTCTAATTGGGTCAATTGAATATAATGATATCTAGAAGGATTTGGTATTATTGTGACCGAGATCATTTAATATTCGTTACGTTTTTTAGGCTGTTGCCGAAGAAAGTAAAAAAAAATAACATTAATTATGTTCTTTCATTTGGTTTGTCTTTTGTTGTATTGTTGAGATACTGGAATAGGTCTGGCGGTATTGATGGCTTCGGCGTATAAGCATGACGACTCACTACATGAACACGTGGTATCGTGACTGCTAGAATAGGAATTTCTGAAAAAAATGTTAATATTATTAAAATGTTCACGCTATTAAGAAGTTTCAGTATATTGAGATTGGGATTCTCTTTCCTGTTTTCTTTTTTTCCTGTATTCTTGGCTTCATATTAAAATTTGAAGCTGTTAAATTATTATCAAGTTAATTTTAAAAGAATTTCAGATTTCCATTGCATTTATATGAATAAATCCGAACCGTGTATGAACGGTTCGGATTTATTCATATCTATTTTCCAAACCAAACCAAACCGTGTATGAACGGTTCGGTCAGATGTATCATTGACTGTTATGTCAGATACGTTTACTTTTATAAGTCATACATTTAGAGGACATCAACTCTTCCTCTGAGATCTTCTCTGACTTTCCTTTTACATATGGAACAGCCAAGAGGATTCGCCAGGGATAGCCAGTATTTATATATTATTGAAGATTAAATTATTTGTTATTACTATATGAGCAAAAAGAATACAAACCTGTCTAATTCACAGTCCGCATCGCCCCCTCCATCGTCCCAACTGGCAGTGGGCTGATTATACCAGGCTTTTGTATCACAATTTCGCACCTGGATGGATTCTGGAGAGCAGTGGCCTCTGGACGGCCTACCGGAACTACTGCCGCTCGCTACAGAGCAACTGTTACAGGAACGTGCCCGTGGGAACGCCACTGGCTGTAACAAACAAGTAGGAAACCTTTATATGACGAGCTGCTCTCAATTCCTAGATCCAATAGATGCTTCTTATTGTATGCAAGTTTATTATCGATTTACCTGATAGCACAGAATATATAGATGTGTAAAGTAATCGCAAAACACCCAAGCAGCATTTGGGCGTCGGGACAACGTTGTGTCACGCGACCAAACGTCGGGACGCAACGTCGGCACAACCTCGTGCCAACCCTAGTCTGCACTAGTTTGGACAATAATTTTTAGGTTGAAACGACGTTGGATACCTACGTTGGCTAGCAGCCTAATTTAGTACAAACTGCAACGTTGTTTAAAATCCTAATTCACAGAAATACAAAACTATAATAATATGGCGTCTAGTCGCGTTTTATCCTAAATTGGGATAATTATAGTTAAAATATTATTATATGATTTAGTTACAGACATATGCCAGATGGCGGTAAAGGAAAACAAAACAAAAGTATTTAAGTGTGGAGGATGTTTGAAGATCATAATTATTGAAACACTTTAATCAACTCTGTAACTCGTTACCCAAGGCAAAAAAGTTAAATGCAAACAACTTTATCGATAAATGTATTGTTTCTACTTTGAAAAATACTAATGGGCCTTAAAATTAAAGAAGTTTTAAAAAATTTCTTGATTTTTTTTTTAGTAAAATGAGAATAATTTATTCGCAGTCGAAAAAAAATTCCGCGTGTTGTTTAGGATCAAATATTAATGTATTAAAAAAGCAGGAATTGCTATTTTAGGAACGAAACATTTTCTTATTCAACAACATGGCGGCTTTCACTTTGTTGTTTTGGAGATTAAGATGGAGAGTAGTTCGAGTAGTCGCATACTGGACTAATAAAGTCGCAGTTCCGCCTTAACTGGTAGTATACTAGTCGCAAGATTGCCTAATTTACTCATCCTAGAGTCTAGCTTGTGCCGCCCTCTATATTCTAAATAAACGAGGGAGTGGATAAAGTATCGGTAATATGTCGATGTATATTTAAATTTATTTATATATGCCTTTCTTACGTCCCATTTTAATTAAGTTTTTTTTTATAAAAACAAAAACAGCACTGAACTGTCTGACTGAACAGAACAATGAAGTGAAAATTTAAGATTTAAGGTTATGGTTCAATACAGTTGCAAAAAGGTAGTGGCTCGACGTCCTACCAACGTAAGAATAAGGAAATCTAAACAACGTTGGAATTAGTAAAACAGACGACGGCGACGTTTGCATAACGTTGGAATAGGTCCTAAAAGTGTATTGTGGTCCAACATTGTAACTACGTTGTCCGAATCACCTAAAGGTCACTTAAGCAAAAAAGGTTACAAGACAACGTTTATTCGACGCGACGTCGCAGAAGCTTTTACTTTGTAGTAGTACTAGTTCAACGTCGGCACAACGTTACAACAACGTTTACATTTATTTTAATACCCAAGGTACAGAGCTAACTATTTTTTGTAACTAATCCAACGTTGTGTTTAGTAAACATGTGGTCGCAAGTCGTGAAAATGCTACTGGCTACTGGGCATTTTCCGATGCACGTGATCAACTTTGAGTGACAAGCGATGGCGACAGCGCTGCCAGATTGTGATGGATTTATGAGATGAATCTTAATTTAAAGATGACAAACAACATATTTATTATATCATTTTTTAAAGAGTTTTAATTTAATAACTAATGTTTTAGTGATTAATTGATTTATTCGTTTTATAGCTTATTTAACTTATTACATATTGGCAAAAAATAGACCATTATGAAGATTATTATAAGCATTACTATGGGTTATTTATTTATTGATGTACATCTTACAGCGCCATAAGTGGTAATAACAAGTAAGAGGGTGCTATTAATGCACAAACTAATAATCACAGAATTTAATAAAACTAACTTTGAAAGTGGTATAATGTGCTTATCAATCAAACTTACTTTTCTGACTGCAGTCAAGGGTAATAAAGGACCTTTATTGTCACGTTTCGTTCATAGTTAAAAAAAAACAGGGAAGCTACAAGCTCGTTGCTTCGACTGTTTGAATGCTTCGGCATATTTTCAACACACAATTTCAAGAAATGCAATACAAAAACTCGAAAATTTAGTTGTTTGTGCTTAAAAGTGCGAGTAAAAAAAACTATGAAAATAGACAAAAAAAACGAGAATTACTCACAAAAATTCAACAACACGATATTATACAAAATAATGACACTAGGATAATTGTCAAATAATAAAGGATAACGTTGCTGAACACGGCGGCGGCGCAATGTGACCAACATAGCGATAATAATATTCGGTTTAAACTAATTTTTGCAGCTTTAATCTAAATAAAATATCTATATTTTGGCAAAATTTTATTTAGTCAGGTTTATAGACTTTAGTGTCAATGTCGATATGATTGATGACGTGCATCGGAAAATGTTTTATCTGACGCTTATAGAATCTATTTTAGAGTTAATAAATTGGGTTCTTACTTTGCTATAGGGATTGGGCAAGTGCAAGGCATAACAAGTGTATCCGGTACTGCTACAGCTGCTCCCCCCACCTCTGGATGGGGGGCATGGTGGTGGCTCCCTAGGGCAATCTGGAGGAGGGTGATCAGGTGGTGGGGGTATTATCTCTGACCAACTGGGTGGAGGTAGGATCATGGTGGTGGCGTACGGGGTAGGATTATCCAGGTCCTTTTTGCAGTTGTAGAAAGTGGAAAGATTCTTTGTGTCCACTTCGGCGTAGTCAGTAGGCTGAGCCAGGGGGACTGATGAGTCTTTGTCACAATCTGTAGCTTTCCATCTGAAACAAAACGTACTGTCAAATGAAAAAATATGTTGTCATGGAGTTCCAAAAATTGTTCTGAAACTCTGAAAAATGGGGTGTTATTTGATATTTTTACTTCAGTTTCTTAGAAATCACAAGACCCTTGTATATAAAAATTAAATGACAAAGTAATAAGTATAAAAAAATTATTGACAAAGAAAGTTGAGGTGTAAATTCACGAATAGGCAGAATTAATAGAATTAACGAAAAATTATTGATATAAATTTTTTCCAATCTGTTTATTATTGCCAAGAAGTAAATTCGTAGATAATCAGAAATTTTACTAGCCTGGCATTAAAATGCATAAAGTGAACGCTATTGCAACTAGTGATGGGAAAACCGATTAATTTCAATAATCGAGCACTGGAGTTTCAAGCGATCGTTCGAGCGAAATATCGCTGGTATTTAAAAGTATGGTTTTTCGCCGGTCGCTTGTTGTACTCGTAACGCCAAGCATTAAGTAGCGTGGGTTGAGCACATATTTTTTCGGTGATGAATAGCAAGTAGCAAGCGACGAGTAATTCGCTTGATTTAGTTTATTTCAAAGCAATAAACTAAATCAATTTCCGCTCAAGTTATCCCATCACTATTTGCAACTTGATACATATGCATCGAAATTAGTGAATCAAAATGCAGAAAATTGGCTAAAAAATGCAGCATCAAAATTGCACAAATGGGAACCACACTTAAGTGTATTAAAACTTCGCCATGTAAGAATAAAACAATACGCAATAAGACAAAGTGACATAAAAAAAAAGTACATTTCACTCACCCTCTATCTATCCAGAGACTTTCTTTGGCGTTCAGTTGTGACGCGCTGACCACTGGTCCATCCAAGTGACTTATGTCCTTGTTCACGGACTTTTTCTTCTTGATATAGAACATTACACCAGTCAAGACCACCAATCCGACAGCTAAGAGAGCCAGAACCACCACAAACCACGACTGTCGCACTAATGGTACCAGAGGACCTAGAGTTCTGGGACTCTGTGATCTGGAGCCGCTTAGAGACACTGGATTTGAATAGGGACCTATAAAAACAGTTATATGTAATATATACCGCATGTCTCAGTAAAATACCGTAGTTGCCTATAAAGCAAGTATTTTGAACTTTTCAGAGTAGTAAATTAATGACAATGTTTTGTTTTCACTTTACATGCTAATTATCGAGTCATAACTTACCTTGTCCTGCCGTGGTCATGGCTGATATCCTAGCGCTGTACAGTTCGCCAGCTGTAAGATTACTAATCAAAACGGAAGTGGTAGAAGCGTTCATAGCTATAGTCCGCGTAACTCCACCCTTAATCTGAATCTTGTACCCCACGATGACACCGTTACAGTGCTGTGGAGGTGGCGAAGACCACCTAACCCACCCAGTACTCTCGTTAAACATCCCCCCGCTCACTGTATCTGGCGGTGCCGAAGGTATATCCTCCATCGTCTGCGCTATTCTGGAGTTCGATGGCTGTCCTTCAACAGACTTGTAAAAAGGCGATATAAAAAATTCGTATTTGGTGAATTTCTTCAGATTCGTCACGGTATAGAAGGTGGTCTCGATGTTGAGTACTGTTAGGATGTTGTAGTTGTGGGAACCACCGGACAGTTCTCTGAAGCGTATGTAGAAGCCCTCGACGTAGTCCACTGCGGAGAGGAGCCAGACTAGGCGCACGGAACTGGAACTCTGGGGTCGGGCGTCTCGTAGTTCGATCAGCTTCGTGCTTAGAGCTTCTCTGGCCGTGTCCAGTTCTGAGCCGGGGAATGTGCGGGAGTTGGCGAGAGTTCGTACGGACGGAGACACTTTGCTGGCGGGGGAAATACCGTGGGCATTCTCGGCACGTACTGAAAAAAAACGTTTCTTGAAAATATGTTTACTTGTTTATTTACACATTATCTTCTGGTTGACCTTACAATATGTACGGTAACGTTCATGCAACAGATTCTAAGTTATATAAATAATTTGCATATTTCTTGTAAGATGACGGAAAGTTGCTTGAGTGTATGTATAAAAGTAAACGTGGAGTGAATGATGGAAGGGTTTTTTTCTGAAAATGGGAGAAAATTGAGGCTGCCCAGATTGATCTTTAATGTTTCTTTAAAATGGAAGGCAAAAATCGGATCTTTTCATAAAATAATGTGTTATTTCCCTAGATCATATACGTCCATAAAGACCATTACGTGGTTAAATCAACGCCATAAGTTTAGCATTAAAAAATATGTCCCCAACATCACGACGTGCCATTTTCAAACCTTCTTTATTGCACTTATGAAACGTTCAATAGGTTTGTCTTTCTGGAGGACCTGACTTTACGTATGCGCATTAAAAGTGGCACGTATTTCCAAAATAATTACATTTTATCCGGTTTAGAAAGTACAAATTATACATTGTTATGGAAACCAACTTTTCAATGTCATCATATTGTCATAATATTTTGTCATAATCATATGTCATAATGTTATTATTTCCATTTCCATAGATTATTTCCATCACTCCACTGTGTAACGACGCTTGTTTTTTGCGTTTTTTATTTTAAACATTGTATTAATTAATTACTCGTTTATCGACCGCTTTTATATGGCCAAGGATGCAAGTGTGTTAAGTGAGAAGTTAATTTTAAGTTTGTGCAATTATATTTCTATTTTTTATTGGTTGGGTTTTAATTTTTGGGTAAATATTCATAAAAATGACAAGAAAGTGTTTGGTGTGTGGAAATTATAATATAAATGTCCCCGAATTATCTTTTTAAAGGCAAGTAAAGTATTCAGTTGTTCTTTTATGTATATTAAACCACATGCATACTTTCTTGTTAGATTTCCTAAGAATATTGATATTCGTACGGAGTGGCTAATTTATTTTTGATATAATTTAATTTTTGTGACAGTAAAATTCAATTATTGTTCAAATATGTGCATTTTACAAATTAAATTTTTAAAGTTAAAGTTCAAATTTGGCGCGTGGGCGATAGGTCCTCGACAAGGATAGATAGAGTAGAAGCACCGCGTGTGCAACAAAAAAAGAAGATAAATGGAAGTCGTTGATATGTTTGGGACAGTTTCCATAGTTATTTACTTATCCACGTAAGTATATATTATGATCTAGGGTTATTTCACACCTCTACGTTTGTTCCCCAGGCACCTCTTTTTACGTTACCAAACACTTCCACAGCCGCTTGATTATCAGTGATATAAAGACTGTTCAGTCATTGTTCAACGGTACGTCATCATTATTTGTCAAATATGAGTTTTAGGGTGTGTCTGAGATCAGTTCATATTGTTTAGAAAATTTTAAGTACGTTCCTATATTATTGATTGAGCGAGTTCCGTTTTTTACGGCACTTTTTACATAGGAATATTACACCTTTTTGCATTGTACTTACTTCATATACGGCGTCCCCGGGCAAGAGTGTTCTACCAGTCGTCTCTTTCTCGAGAAAGATAATTTATAAGCTTAGCAATGAGCTCTTGGTTCCTTTTGGTTAAATCTTTGAGGCATTTTTGCAATAAAAAAAAACTGAATTTTGTTTTACAACCAAATTTTAATTTTGACATTGATGGATGTCTGTCAATACTCAAATCAAATGAGAATGACAATTACTAAAAAGAATATGCAGTAATTTACGAAATGCCGTAATGACGGCACCAATCTATTTCATCTGGTTGGCAAGTATTTGAGAGAGTTCGACAATATATGACGTGCGTTTGAACGATGGGTGAACATTCTATACTTATTGTTTTCTTTGAGAGAAAAATACTCTTAAAATACTAGGTAAATAATGTATCTCTTACCTATAAAGACATACGAACTGTCCGGTTTCAGTTCTCTGACCACCATGTAGGGTGCCTGGACTCTGTGAGCAGCGATAACCCATCCCGTTTGCAGATCCGGACTCCAGTACTCAACGGTGTATCCGACTAAAGTACTATCTGATTCTCCAGGATCCCAAGATAAACTCACACTGGATTCCGTGGCATTTAGAATTTTTGGAGTTGAAGGGGCCTATAGAAAGGAGATTTGTATATTTCGTTTAAAATTAAATTTTTAAATTTAGAAAAAAAAAACTATTAAATTAATACAAAATTTGTCTGATCTGTTAGTTTGCAAATTGTAAATTTAATTATAATTGAATCAATACACAGGGTGTCCCAATATTCCGTGGACATAGAACTACTACGTATTTTTGGAATCAAAATAAGTTCATTGGACACAATTTACCTCTATCCAAAATCGCTTCGTTTGTGCGTTAGAGGGCATCAAAGTTTAAAAAAATAAACACATTTTTTCAGATATTTTAAGAGCCGTTATTCCTATATGAATTAAATTTTAGGTGTCTATGTTTCGCAAATTTGACTTCACAAAAATCAAGAAAAAATACAGGAAGCGTGAAAACTACCCCCACCCCTGCATAAATTTTAGTATAAGTATTTTCCAACTCAACCGACGACCGATTTTTTTTCCTAAATGGTCCTTCTAGTATTTGCTACATTTTTTGTCTCTTGTAAAAAAAAACACCACCGCGTATACCTTTTGCGGAAAAAAAAAATTCTGAAGCTGATTTTCAAAAAAATGTTTTTTTGTCACCTCCAGCTATGGAGGCGTATAAAATCTATTATGTTCAATAATCTAGTTATGTATGTTAGTATGTATGGAATATGTTAGTTATGGAATTTTATGTTAGTATCACAAATTATATTTGACATTAAGCTTCATAAAAAAGCTTAAAAAAAATAATAAATTTTAAATTAACGTTCGGGCAAAGAGTAGATAAGACAAGAGACGACAGTGAACAAAGAAGTCGAATTTCGCGAGAGAGACGCAGATATATTAACATTTAAAGGTCCCATCAAGTCTCATTTCCTCTGTTGCCAAGTATATTTCTTTGAAAAATAAACAAGATTTTCTGAAAATAAATTAATAATATAAGAAGAATATAAGTAACGTATGTTAATACGGAAATGTAAATTTTTAGTTTAGGTTGGTTTAGGTTCTTTTTTCGTAATGTACTGATAATATCAAAGAAACAGAATGACTAAGTTGATCGATTTCAAAGATAAACGATAAAATCTGACAACGGCGTATTTTATAACCTATGATTTTAGGACGCTAATCAGCTGTGCTAATCAGGCTTAAACATAAACAAATCTGATTAGTTGTTTTCTTGCATTTTTGCCTTTTTAAAGTGTGTGTTTCAGAGTTTTTCGATAAATTATCGTTTTGAGAGTTTTTAAGGTTTAATTTTAGTATCGTTTTTGTTGCGTACTAATTTGTAATTATTGTTAAATATAAATACTGAACAGCACACGAGTAGCAGTGAGAGTTGTAGAATGGAGGGGAGTTAATCACCGCGACCTTATAGATATATTGTGTGTTCATTGTAATATTACACTTGTTCAAGTCCATATGTAAAAAAAATACACGTAAATAAAACACTTCTTACAAATCGACTTGGTCACTTTATCTTGTTTACCAACGATATACAAAATATTGCTTTTATTATCTTTATTCCCCGACAAATATGTTTCTAATTATAATTTATTTTATATAATATTTAGAAAACTCATTTTTTTTTCGTTTCTATTTATTTCTTTACCCATACAGTAACTATTTATAAGCTATACAGGCAAGTTTTAATAATAGTCTATTTCAAATTTCCCGCGAAAAAGTTACGAAAATTTAAAGGGACAAGCGAGACGAGGTCACTCTCCCCACCACTCAAACATGAAAGGTACCGCGCGAACTGTCGTCTCTTGTCTTATCTACTCTTTGGTTCGGGTTTATTTTTTATTGATGCCCTCTAACGGACAAACAAAGCACTTTTGTATAAAGGTAACTTATGTGCAATTAACTTATTTTGATACAAAAAATACGCAGTTCGTCTATGTCCACGGAATATTGAAACTCCCTGTATATTTTGTAGGCCTGCTTTGAAAAAATAAATCCTCCAAAAAAATTTTTCTCAAAAATTAGGCGATGTGGCGTTTTTTACAAGAGATAAAATGTAATAAATACTAGAGGGACCATTTTACGGATGCGTATAAACTCTCCTTTAGTAGATATTAAAATTTAGAAAAAAAAACTATTAAATTAATACAAAATTTGTCTGATATGTTAGTTTGCAAATTGTAAATTTAATTATAGTATAAATAGGTGTGTATGTGCTAAATAGGATTTTCAAAAAACCTATGTTGCCAATGTAATGTTACCAACCTATGTTACTTTTATTTATATTTCCTAAAGAAATTTACCTTGGGAAAGGTGGACGGATCTGGGCTGCGATGCAATGGAGTTCCTGTACCTTCGACAACGTTTAACGATGCAGACCATGAGCTTTCGCCGCTGGTTGATGTAGCCGAGCAGGTGTACAACCCTGAATCCTCTAATCGTAGATCTGTGAAATGAAAGAACGTAGAATGTACAATTAAAGGTTTAGGATTGTAAAAGGGATATTTCATTACTTTGTGTAAAAACATTTTAAGTAAAATTAGACGGCGATTATTTTTATCAATCGTAAAACTGAGATTTTCATTGTTGTAGTAATCATCATAAAAATTGTTGGAATGTTGCAGCGTTGTTTTACTGAGCCTTGGTAAAGATTAGCTGCATTCCGTTTTTTAATTAGGTATTAGGGAGTACGAAAGGAACAACTAAACTGAAGGTTTGACTAAAATAAAATGATTTTGCTTTTGATTTGGTAAAGCAAACAATTCTTTAATTTAGTTTTATAAATTACCTACCTTTTAAATTTTTTATTATAAATTTTGAAACAAAAAAAAGTGAAACTTCTTACTAACAGCTATTATTGAAGGATTTGAAGGATATATATTTTTTTATGAATGCTTTTTAAAAAATTCAAAAAAATTAGAGTTGATATAAAACTGTATACTATTCTAACTTTATAATTTTATAATGTTTTTTTTTTAATTTTTATTAAAAAACGATAATTCTATCATTCGACCGGATAGCCGGGCAGCTGTGGCCATTAAACCAAAATACTACTACATCTATATCTCTGATGTTAAATTGTTTTTCAAAGGGGTAGATGGGGTAGTTGTGGCAACACTGCCGCTATCACTTTTCTTCTCGCTAGGTCGCGCGTCACGGTCGTCTCGCGGTCGTAATTCAGGGCCGTGCGTCACGGCTTTGAATTTTTATTCCCAACACGAGGAAAGAAGTTTCACTTCAAAAATATTTTACTCACTTTTGATTTTTAGCAAACCAGATACCTAATTTAACCGTCTCTCATATTAAAAAATCCATTTAATGTCGACTTTTTTGTGAAAACTGTAATTCAGTCATTATACCTAGCGAACGAAATAGTCGATGGTTCAATAAAAATTATATAAAGAACATTTTTTACAACACCTTATAGCATTAAATCGATGACAAATCGTTGCAATTATATAAATAGATAACATTCCAACAACTTTTTAACAGCCAAACACTGATCACCGATTTTCCCTGAATTTCTTTTAATAGGCCACGCTGCCAAGTCTACTAATCGGTTTAAATCAGTTTTTATTCGATTTTTCAGGGGGCGAACCAAGGGAGGAACTGGAGAGAAACAAGAAAAGGGGGTAAAATAAAACAGGGTGATGGACTGATTAGACTAATGAAATCGGGCAATTTGTTAGCTCGATGGCTCTTTGGATTGACCCCCCCGATAATTCTTCAGTTTAGGAAAAATTTACGGATTGAAAAATCGGAGTAAATGACTTGGTATATAAATATCGATTTTGGGTACGAAAAACGCCTAAAAGACGAAGAAAGTTGGAGTTTTAAAAAAATAAGTTTATTTGAAATAATAAAGACAATAATCTATCTAAAATGCAGAATATTTAATCTGATATTTGTTATTTTTTAATAACTACTATACACTATGTCCCCGGTTTGACTTTACAAGAGGAAAAACCTTTTTATTATTGACATTTTGACAAAAATGCCTTCTATCTAAAGCTTCATTCAGAACCTCGCAATTAGTGGTTTCAATTAGCGTAGAAGTTTGTTCCTCTAGTTTCAATCTAAGCGTCAAATTAGTGGTAAGAATTTTCAATTAGTGGAAAAGTTAACAAACTTTCAACTTTTCCACTAATTATACTACAAAATTTGCAAGTAATGTTATTTTGGCCTTTGATTATCATCTGTCAAGAGAAAAATGTGGTTAGCAATGAAAAGTTTATTGTTTTATAAGCTAAATATTAGGCTTTCTCTATAGTTACAACTGATTACCGCAAGCTGTTGCTAGGATGCCAGTGCTAAACTAATCTTAACATAATTAAAATTCTATCTGGCACCACCTGGGAGTCAGACCATGTTTCTCTTTTGCGGGTGTACAATGCTTGTGTCTTATCCAAAATCAATTACGGGTCTCAAGTTTATGCGTCTACACCACGGTCTTATTTAAATAAGCTGAACGCGGTACATAACATGGGAATCAGGAAATCACTGGGCGCTTTTCACACGAGTCCCATACCAAGCTTAATGTGTGAATCAGAACAACTCACAGTAATATATATTAGAGAACGACACCTATTAGCATATGCGTTTGGTCTACATGTTAATCCGGAACACCCTAATCACAAAAAATTCTTCAAAATTATTTACCCCCAAATCACACATAGATACAAACAGTATCAATCAGCATCACACCACCGTTATGTAGATATAAAGGAAAGACTGTCAATCGATTTGCCTCCTCCTTTCATTATTGCGCCATTTTCCCGTATGTTTCCACCATGGAGTCTGTACCCACTCTCGCTTGACCTATCATTCAAAGTCCACAACAAAAAGGAATGCTCACATCTCACTATAAGAGCACAAATTTAAGATCTCATCAACTCGAAGTACAAGAGTCATAGACTGGTTTACACCGATCGTTCGAAAAGTGATAGGCACACTGGAGCGGCTTTTCATACGTTTGATAAAGAAATGTGTTTCTCACTAAGTCCCATAACGGGAATATTCTCACAGAGTATTGTAGCTAAACGACAAGATTTTTACAAATTGTAAGTTTTGGGTTCGTTGAAGGACTATTAGAGCTACAATTTAAAAATATTTTTACAAGATACAGAGTGTCCCAAATAAATAAAAAATATCAAAGTTGTATTTTTTTAAATGGAATACCCTGTATATTATTACATTTTTAGTTTCTACGATTAAAATAAAGGTAAATTTGATTAAGGTTTATTACACTTAAACCCTACCGTTTTTGAAATATTTTCAATTTTGTGAAATTGCAGTATAAATTTTAAGGCTTTATTTCTCCGAGGGTATCAAAGTTTTTAATACTAAATATTTACTGAAGTTTATTTATTGGTCAGTTATTGTGTTGCAATAATACAAACTTTATTAGCTTATACATAGTGTCTAAAAATTTATTTTAAATAATTACTAGCTTTAAACGGCAATAACTTGTTTGATTTAAATGAAACACCCTGTATATTTTATGAGAATCAGATAGAACAATTTAATTGTCTATCAAATTGTGTTTTTTCTCTATCTCTTCAAGTTTCCGTAGAAAATGCATTTTCTTAGAACTCATTTATCAATATAACCATGGAATACTGACATTTTAGGTTATTTTTAAAGATGTACCAAATTTTTAAAGAGTACAAATACTAATATTGTCGATATAGTTCGTTCATTTCATTAAAACATAAAAAAAACTGTTTAAATATTTGTTAAAGAGGACCAATTAATATGATTCCAGTATTCAAATTACATTAATTGACTGTTTGCGTTGATTAATAATAATTGCTCCAAATACTAAAAAACTGAATTATGTATGTGTATTAGACAGTGTGGTAAAAAGTAACACCTTAAAAATTATATTTAATTTTTTGACAAATGCTTATTTATAACAACAGAGACGTTCATTTTCATAACTTATTATTATATTGATTTCTGATTCAAATCCACATTTATTTAGAATAATTTATTAACGAACACAATTAAGTATGTAGTTAATTAGTATTTGGGCGGAAATACTGGTGGTATATTTAATTAATGGTATACTCTTTTATAAAGATTTAAATAGTTTTCTTTTTGCATACAAATGGGCTAGTAATATTATCGTTTTACTAAAACGATAATATTACTAGCCTGTACATTTTGTACATTTGTTGTTTTTAAATCAATCTAAAATGTCAATATTCCATGGGTATATTGATAAATGAGGTCTAAATTATAAGAAAATGCATTTTCTACGAAAACTTGAAAGAATAGGTATAATACAATTTGATAGACAATTAAATTGTGCATCCGATTCTTATAAAATATACAGGGTGTTCTATTTAAAGTAAATAAGTTATTGCCGTTTAGAGCTAGTAATTATTTAAAATAAATTTTTAGACACTCTGTATAAGGTAATAAAGTTTGTATTATTGCAACACAATAACTGACCAAGAAATAAACTTCAGTAAATATTTAGTATTAAAAACTTCGATATCCTCGGAGAAATGAAGCCTTAAAATTTATACTGCAATTTCGCAAAATTGAAAATATGTTGAAAACGGTAAGGTTTAAGTGTAATAAACCTTAATCAAATTTACCTTTATTTTAATCGTAGAAACTAAAAATGCAATAATATACAGGGTGTCCCATTTAAAAAAAATACAACTTTGATATTTTTTATTTATTTGGGACACTCTGTATCTTGTAAAAATATTTTTAAATTGTAGCTCTAATAATCCTTCAACGAACCAAAAACTTACAATTTGTAAAAATCTAATCGTTTAGCTACAATACTCCGTGTCGTATGTGGTGAACAACCCTAATATATAAACATATATAAATATTTACGGAGAACGTTTAGTTTAGACATAAATATATAAATAATGGGATAAAGTGACGCTAAAAGACTCTACAGTCGATGCGTCTTTAACACATTTCTCTCTCTCTCTCTCTCTCTCTCTCTAATTGTATTTTTTAGAAATTGTGAATGATCGTAAACTAAAATGTATAAAATGTAATTGAAACCACTAATTTATTCCACTAATTGCCAGATTATTAATGAAGCCTAATTCCTAAAAATCAAAAGGTGTTTCTATGGTTATATCATTTCGATTTAATTTTTTGACGGATTGTTATTAATAGAATTTTAATTAACGTCATATTTTTTGCTGTTTTAGAATTTTAAAGAAGTACAATATTTTTAGTTCATTTCTACGGAAAGGGTGATAATATAGTTATCGGAAAATGTGACACCTCAACAGTAAAAAATATAACATTAGTGGAAATTAATAATAACCATCTATCAAAGAATGAAATCTAAATGATATTACCATAGAAACGCCTTTTGATTTTTAGGACATAAAAAATTCAACTATATTTTCATGTTTATTTAAATTTTCTCTAAAAAACGGTATGGAAATTTGGAAAAGTATAAACGGGATTAACCATTTTAGAACAAGCAAATATATTTATGAAGAATGTGTGTTTTTCAAAATGTCAATAATAAAAAAGTTTTTCCTCTTGTGAAGACACCATATTGTATAGAACTGTAACCAGTGAATCTACAACTTTATTTTTCCAAAAAAATTTTTATGGGTATTTCGCCACTGCACTGCAAGAAAATCGACAAAATAAAATAATTATTTTCTGTAAACACTTCTGCGTTAAACCTAAACGGATGCTGCTTGTCAGAAGTTATGTTTACAGTAATACAAATTTGTCTAACAAAAGCTTTTTTCGTTTTCCTGTTATGACCGATTCTGAACCGTCCTAGAACTGTGATGCGTATGCGCAGAAGGAAATATGAAGACATTATTTCATTTGCGCATGCGCCGTTTGTATTACTGTAAACATGACTTCTGACAAGCAGCGTCCGTTTAGGTTTAACGCAGAAGTGTTTACAAAAAATAACTATTTTATTTTGTAGATTTTTCTTGCAGTGCAGTGGCGAAATACCCATAAAGAATTTTTTGGAAAGATGAATTCGCCACATAGGTATAGACATTTTTTCCAACTTTATTATTTTCAAATAAGATTATTGACTGCAACTGATAAAATGCTGCTAAAAAACTAAATCATTCTATATATTATGTAATGAGTTAGTACCATACGATCAGAAAAAAAAACGATGTCAAAGTTTGTTTAGAACTGAAGATCGCTGTCATTTTATATGAAAAATTGTAATGGAGATTGTCATTGATCGCCATTTCAACGCCAACTTGACCCCGTTTTTGTTTCGATCATATACTGTAGTAAAATGTTGGCGAAGTACTTAAGTAAGTTATTGAAATCTTACCATCGATTATTAAGGTACCACCTTCCTTAAGGCTGTACCGGCTTGGTACAGTGTCCTTGGTGAGATGTTGACCATCTTTCAACCATCGAACCACCGGTGAGTCTCCTTCAGGGCTAAAAGCCTTACAGTGAAGAGTGACATCACTTTTCAGTGGTAACGTTTGGTTTGCTGGTCCGATCTGGATGATGGGTGGGGGAAGATCAGCCACAGAAGTGACCTAAAAAATTTAAAAAATATGTTTTGCTAAAAAAAGCAGTGTGTGCACTATGTGCGCATATTTGAAGCTGAACTTCTTACTAACAGCTATTATTTTTTTGCAATTTATTTCTGTAATCTGTACATTTTCTGTTTCCTCAATAGCCTGCAAATTTTGTGGAATACCACCCAAAATACACACTTTTATGCAAATGCCCAATAATGTTACCGCTTAAATTTATTTAAGAAGAGAAAATATTTTGAACCTAACCAACAATTCGTATACAGGGTGGCGCACCTCATTCGCCTCGGTTGATTATACGAAAACGGAAAGATGTAGAAACGAAATATTTTAAGGGTATATGTGGGAAGGCAATGTGCATAATTTGAAACTTTTAAATATATAGGGTGTGTCAGAAAAAAAAGTCATTTTCTATCGTATAAAGTAAATAAAAGGTGCCATTTAAAAATCAAAAGTTGTAGTCATATCCGGTGAAACTGGAAGTGACCGAAAGCAATAATTGAATATGCCAATCAATCCTAATTTATGTCATATACTAACATACTAAATCTCGTTGTTTCATTTAAAACAATAAAAAAAAGTTATAGGGGTGAGCTATTTTTGAGACGCACCCGGTATAGTCTAACTTCAGAAGAACCTAGTTCTGCACATTAGTTTGCGAATGAAATGTATTCGAACAGCAGATTTTTGTCACTTGTACGTAAATTTCAAAATAAATTTCTACCATACCCGAGGACCATACAGTATGACAAGGGTATGACCGAGAGACCATTTTAGAACAAGCAAGTGACCCGAGACCATACCATATAATGAATGAAATATTTTTTATAGTTTTATAGGGATTTTTATAACTTTTACAGTTATTTTTCGATTTATTATTATTTATATACAGGGTGGGCCACTGAAAACTTACAATGGCTATAATTCTTAAACCAAAAAATATACCAAAAAAATAAAAAATACCGTTTCTATAATATCGAGGGGGAATACATATGACGTATTTTTTGAACCACCCCGACCTACCCCTTAGGCGGCACCCCTACTCACTTGAAAATCTTAAACGGCAACACCCCACTTGTGGCGTCTTTTTGGAAAGCCCATGAAAAATGCTAAACGATGATCATAAAGTTTTTAGGGTGAAATTGAAAAACTACCCCTTACACGAAAAATTAGGTGGACATTAATGAAAAAAGTGATTTTTTCAGCATAAGTTACAAATTGGGACCCAGCTTAATGAGGCAAATGAGGTATTTTTCAAACCACCCCGACCCACCCCTAGGTGCCACCCACTCACTTCTAATCTCAAGATAGCGATACCCCACTTGTGACACTTCTTTGGAAAGCTAATTGAAATTGCTAAACGATGGTCATACAGATTTCAACTTCTGTCTTCTTTCAACAATTACTGGTAAGTAGTGATAAGAAATGTAGGTTTGACAATTTGAAAGAAATTTAAAATGTTAATTTATTTTAACAATTGCTCAAAATCACAGCCGTTTTGTTCCATACAAACGATTTTCAAATTCTTCTCTCACTTTTTGGAAAGTCTCTCTCGGAATATTTCGACATGCTTCAGTTATCCTCTGCCGCAATTCTTGCAACGAACCTGGTTTTGTCTTGTAGACTATGGATTTAGTGTAACCCCACAAGAAAAAGTCTAAAGGAGTGAGATCAGGTGACCTTGGCGGCCACTCGATTGGACCTCTTCTGCCAATTCATTGCCTTGGATAATATCTATCCAACCACCGCCTTGTGACAATAGAATAATGCGGAGGGGCTCCATCTTGCTGAAAGTGTATGAGGTCTTCATTAAGAGTTAAATTTCCTTCCAAATCTCTTTGATTTTCAACCTCATTTACAATGGCTGGCTCTATCAAATTGTTCAGCATTTCCACATAAGCATCACCAGTGAAATTTCCGTCGAAAAATGGATCTATAATTTTATCGCCTAGTATTCCGCACCAAACATTGAGCTTTTGGGGATGTTGGGTGTGTCCTTCAACAACAATATTGCGGATTCTCATCGCTCCAGTCGGCCTGCAATCAAAACTAATGCGCTGGCAAATTGCACCTTCATAGCAGAGCCATAGAGCTGCCACAGCGAGGGAGGCAGCTCATCATTACCATACCATACCTCATCGCTCCAGTATCTGCAGTTCTGCTTATTCACAATTCCGTTTAAAAAAATGAGCACTCATCACTAAAACAAATATTTTTAGTAAGTGAAGGTTCCCTTCGAATTTCCTCAGTCATTAGTTCACAGAACTGAATCCTTCTATCTGGATCGTCATCGCCAAGTTCCTGCAGAATCTTCATTTTGTAGGGATGGAATTTGTGCATTTTCAATACTCTCCAGACAGATTTTCGAGGTATACCTGTGATTGATGCCAACTGGCGTGTTGATGCTTCTGGATTGACCGATACCTGACCAATAACTTCCATCTGCATTTCTTCATTCAGTACCCTGGACCCTGTCCTTGTTTTATTTTTGACCGACCCAGTTTCTTGAAACTTTAAAATCAAATCTCTAACATAAACGTGACTTACGTTTTTGTCCGGATTTCTCTCATTGAAAGCACGGGCCGTTCTCAAATAACACATACCTTCAGCACCATATAGAAAAACTATTTGAATTCTTTCTTCCGCAGTATAAACTATTTTTCTTTCCAATAAGCGAATCAAATAAACGTTTAAAATACCACCAAATTTACAAACGATTGAAAATCGATAGAAGTCAGTGCAAAAACGCAAAGATATGCCGGTTTAAGATTCCTGTTTGTTGAAAGTAAAAAAATAGATGATAAGGAAGAATTTGCGCTATCGCAAAATTAGGCTGTAAAAACATCTTTGTGTTGCCTTTCTTATTATCTACATTTAAAAATGGCATTGATGAGATTAGAAGTGAGGGGATGGCACCTAGGGGTGGGTCGGGCTGGTTTAAAAAATGCCTCATTTGCCTCATTTAGCTGGGTCCCAAATTGTAACTTATGCTGAAAAAATTACTTTTTTGATTAATGTCCACCTAATTTTTCGTGTAAGGGGTAGTTTTTCAATTTCACCCCGAAAACGTTATGATCGTCGTTTAGCATTTTTTCATGGGCTTTCCAAAAAGGCGCCACAAGTGGGGTATTGCCATTTAAGATTTTCAAGTGAGTAGGGGTGCCGCCTAAGGGGCAGGTCGGGGTGGTTCAAAAAATACGTCATATGTATTCCCCTTCAATATCATAGAAACGGTATTTTTTATTTTTTTGATATCTTTTTTGGTTTAAAAATTATAGCCATTGTAAGTTTTCAGTGGCCCACCCTGTATTTAAGTTTTAAAAAAAGTTGATTTTTTCGATTTAAATCACATGATTAAAATGAAAAAAAATTAAATGACTGACATTATTCCCTTTAAGCACCTCTTTAAATTACCATAACAAAGTACCCCGACTGTACCAACATCCACTAGTTCCATTCCCCATAAAAAAAAAACACAGATCCGAGACCATCTAGGCAGCCCGGGGGACCCCCAGCCAGCTAGAGTCCGCGGCGGCGGCAGCTGCGCCGGGGCCCCAATTAAAACAATTAGGGTGCGCTGAGCCGTGACGCGCGGGGACCCCCGGCTACCACGGCGGCTCGTTATCGGCCTATCGAGTGCCGGGGGGCTTCGGGGCGTGGGCCGCGCCGCGATTAACGGTCTCCGGTAAAGGCCCGCGGGGTCCCGGTCCGGTATCTGACCGTTTTGCTCGCTTCGTTTTGCTTGTGCTGTTTGTTGATGCGGTGGAAGAAACGGATCGGTGTTCCAAGGAAGGATCTTTTGTCGTAGCGGGAAATAATATTTTCACAAAAACTTCGAAACAAAAATAATTTTATAATGTTTTGCGGATTTTCATGCGTCTGATTAGGGATTACACGTTTAACGATTTACCGCTACCTCGTTAAATTGTCTTCTAATATCGGTTAAAACTAGCGATGGGAACTATCGAATGAATTAGACTATCGAATGGTTAATGAATGAATGATTTCAACTATCGAATGGTTTTATTCGAATAAAATCATTCATTCATTTGTAAACTAAAGCATATATGACAACCTCGCCGTGCGACTAAATGGTTATCGTTGAGCCACGACTATCGAATGCTTTTGATAAATGAAATTTAGTATTCGTTTGAATTTTGTATGCGTCAGTGCATTATTGGTTCTTCCAAATTTTTATAACTTCGCCGTATAAATACTGTGCTATTTTTGCGTTTATTAAAATTGTTAAAATACTAAAATAGTAGTTATTTTTTAATTTTATTTATTGACGATTGTGTGCATGTGCAGGTGGTCAAAATTTTTCCGATAATTTGTGTGGTTTTCCGTAGTCCGATCTTTCAATTATTTCATTTTATATGGTATATGGTCTATTTTTTAATGGGAAATTTTGAGAAGTAGCAATTTTTAAGAGAGATGAGATGAACTTAATTTTAAAAATACATATTTGTATTTTAGATGTTTTAATAATACCTATGAATTAGTTGGAACTTAATAATTATATTTAAGTAATGTGGTTAAATAAATGGTTATCGAACTCAAACTATGGGGTGAGAGAATTAAAATGAAAGTTTTACACGTGCCAATTTAAAAAAAAGTTAACGATGTTTGTATTTTGTTTATGCTAATTCTCTTACATGTAGTTTTTTGCGAAGAAATATTTCATTTATTTTTTAAAGTAAATGCCAGTAAAAGTAAATATAATTTTTAAATAGTAATATAAAGCACCTAATATAAATAATTTTGATTTCTAATTTTTATTTATATTTTCCTTCCATTATACCGCTTGCTTAGAAAATTAATAAATGTTTATATTTCATGATTTTAAAATTTGTTGTTAATATAACAAATTAGTTCTGTAATTATTATTATTTAAAAACCAACGTTGCCAAAAAAATTAGAGACTATATTATTTTTAAATAGGATCTAATATAAATAATTTTGACATCTAATTTGTTGTTTATATTTTGCTACTACTTTAA